GTTGTATGTTTTTTGCCCTTTGCAGCAAGGCTACTCTTTTTGCACTGTCTGCTGGAGTAGTGGCGATGCGTCAATTCAATGAATAGGAAGTCTTGTCACGCGGCCGCCATCGTGCAGATGGCGGTAAGTTGGTGGACGCGATAGAGGATGGAAAGGCCTCGCATAAAGAGAAAAGGGAGCGGTAGAAAGCCCGGTGGGGTCGGATGGAGAAGAGGCTCAAGAACGTGCAAACAAAACGGCAATCGAAAGTATTATGCCTAGAAAGTCGGGCGCAGACAGGTCACCACGATGACAGAATTTTATTATCACAGATGCGGCGGGAATCATGCGGTACATCGCTACGGCCTGGTAGAGCGGTGTGCGAAGAACGTCCAGGCTGACGACGAAGGGATGGTCGTTTCAAGAGTCACGGCGAATGGATGGTCAGGAAGCGACTTGAGAGGAGTAGGTTGGAAACTAGTATAGTGCATTGTATGGTGTAGATGGTCGCTTGCAGAACAATCAAGAAGGGTATATACAGAAATGGCCCTAGAAACAGAGGCAAGATGCGACATGGATGCAAGGGTATGATGCGTGTATCAATGTCAGCAACGACATGCAACAGAATAGACGGCGTCGTTTGATGTGTTGGACATAAGAAGGGTGGGATTCAGCTTTCGCCTAGCCCAAGGCTCCAGTCCCAATCTCGTGCGACGGCACCTGGGTAGATAGTCGGAGAACATGCAGAACGTTGTCCGACGCCTACAATCTGGCGTGGTGGTAAGGTAAGAGCGTACCCAGCCCGGCACTCGAGTGTCGAACGACCATCTTTGAAGGCGATCGCGAGATGGGTGCTGCCGAGACAGGCAGCGCTGTGACTTGAACGGCGTTGTAGAATTCGGGATCAGGCGAATCAAGCGACAGTCAGGGCGGTGCCGGGCAGCGGCAACGGGTGAGCTCCGAGTTGAAATGCTGACAATTGATTGTGGTAGAGCAATCGTGGTTCAGCATAGGTCGGGCTCATGAAAGGAGCAGCGGCGGCGATGGCGATGGCCACATGCGAGGTCGGAGGACATTACGTAGCTCAGGAGCTGCTATGCCTGACCGGGCGCGCATCGACTTCCAGTCGTAGCAACCCTCCATGGCTTGAGGATGCAGTGATGGTGGACTCTGGCGAGACCCCATGCTCAGCCTGTGAGACGCGAGACAATATCGTCGTACACGTCGCTGCGGACCTTATCAAGAAAGTCCCTCGCCACACCATTCTCATCGCGATGCTCCTGGATAGAGTCGACCTTGGCGTCAAGATCCTCAAGATCGTCTCGCAACTCGACCAGCCTCGTATCATATCCTTCCATAACGTCGGTGGTCTGCTTGTCTTGACCTTGAAGGTGCTCGACGTCTGTCTTCAATGCGTCTAGGTTTTGGTGGAAGGCTGCGACCTGTTGACGGATCTGTGCGAGTTCGTCTCGAAGGGTATTGTTCTCTTTCTTCAAGTCGGCCAGCTCATGCTGTATTGTTTGGTCGCGCTCGTTTCGTGCTTTCAGCTCAGCCCATATTTGTGAAATCGCGTCACTGTCTTTCCCTTCGCTATCGACTCGACGGCGTTTTCTCTCGTTGATTGAGGGAGGCGGTGGCGGGGATTCGGTTTCGTTGTAGGATGGGGGCGCGTCTTGTGTTGGTGACAGGAGATCGACGATCTTGGCTCCTGTGCCGTGGTACATGCTTGCAAGGTCATGTTGATCGCGGAAGGGCTTTAGACCACCCCGTTTCACTGCGTCGCTGATGGATACAAATTGTTCATTCGATAGCTTCTTGTCGCCTATATACACTATAAAAACAGTTGCGTCGGCAAGCATGCGAACAGCATCGAGGACTTTGCCGGATTGCGCTTTTGACGGTGCGAGTGGATCCTTTGCAGCGACAGGAGCCAGGATCTGGGCAGTCTGATTGATTTGAAATGCTAGGCGAGTCACTCCTCCTTTAAACTTGTCTTTCGCAGCTTCGGGAACCGTCTTGGGTGTGGTAAACTCGAAGGATGTGATGGAAGAGGGTTGGATAGAGATCGTAATGGCCGAGACACCATCCACACCCTTCAGGTTGATGGGGAAGCGTATTTCGAAGAGCGCGCTGGAGCCGCTCAACCGAGTTCTAAAGATAATACTGTCGACCTTCGGATCAGGCTTCGCAAGATGATGCGTAACACCGTCGCATTCCCACTCAACGACAGCGGGCGCAGTCTCGTCGATGTCAAGACACGGTGAGGGTGTTGAAGAAGACATTCCTATAACAGATCATGAGAAGCAACGATCACAATACGTACCTGCAGAACCTCAACGAACAAACAAATCCAGGCTCGTCAACAGGCAATCAGCTCTTCCCCAGCAAAGCTGCAAGACAGAACCGATCCCTTCTGCAGAACCCGGTCCTTCCAGCAAAGGATGTCAAAGACACTCGTTTGATGGGTAGGAGTCGGCAATTATAACGCCTGCAGAGCCGAGTTGCCGGTTGTTTGCGCGTGAAGTCTGATGTTTTGCCGACCACGACACGAGCAAAGAGCGAAAGCCTCGGACACCAGGCGATCCGCAAAGTCTCCAGCACGCTGCGAAACTAAGCAAATCCCTTCTGCGGAACCCGATCCTTCCAGCAAACGATGTCAACGACACTCGTTTGGTGGGTAGGAGTCGGCAATTATAACGCCCGCAGAGCCGAGTAACCTGCTCTTTGAACTTGTGTGGGTGTCGCAAGAATTGACTTATTGATCTCCAGCACGCTGCGAGATAAACGGGTCGCTTCTTGTGATGCGGCGTTGTGGTGGTGATGGAGCGAATGTGGTGATGATGTGAGGTTTGGAGAGCTGGATTGATCGTGAAGGGGGACGTAAGTGGGTCTGGTCACGTGGGCTACGCGTTCAGGTTGCGGTCGGGAATCAGCAATTCAGATAAGAGAGGGTACCCATTTTCTCTTGAAGAGGGAAGCAAAGCAGTAACTTATATGAAGTATAATCGTTCGATTCAGTGACATGCTTAGATATTATTTTGATTGAACATGATTCTGGTCCTACTGTACTGGTACAATTTCCTGTTGGCGTTCTGCGATTCACCGGAGAGGCTGGTGGTGGCCTGTGCGCGCTCTGCGGAAAGCACGTTAATCCGGCCCCGCACGATTCCATCATCTCTGTTCGAACCCAGCTCGGTGAGTTACCCTGCACAAGATGTCAAGATCTCGGTATTGCGATGAATATTTCATGGAAGGGTATTCTGATTGAGTTGGGGTCTTTTACGTATTAAATTCAATATATTATGCTGTTAATTCGTGGATATAGTGGAGTTTTTCATTTGTTATGCTGCGCTCACCAAACTTGATTGATCGCTGACCAGTTTGTGCTCAAGACTTGGCAGCAATCTAACGCGGACAGTGAAGTCGAAGTATTCTAAGCCCACCACCCACTAAAAACTAAGATGAGTGAGAGCTGGAATGATATAAAAGAGGATATAGCTACATGCTTGTGGTTATTCCTTCTTTTGCATTGTCTTATCGAATGTGGAACTGTAGAGGCTCCCGTTCGTTAAACCGGACGCGAACACTCGCGCTAACACCCGCTTCAAAAACAAGCACGCGTAAAGTGGTTCAAGTACTGAGCCAGCACGAGAAATGCACAGAAATTCTCATATCAAGGATTGAACATTCGTATTCAACGTTTTCACTACAAACCATCATAGCAACAGACAGGCTATCGGGTATCGACAGAACCATTATTCTTAGTGATCAGTGGTCTGTATTGGTTGACTGGTGTACATGGACTGTGACTGGTAGGATTTAGTCCACCGGCACTGCGTAACGCCAATAGAGTAGTCAGGGGAACTTGAGTGCTATGATGGACAAGTTCGGCTGGATGGATGGGATAGTTGCCTTAGTTAGTGACTAAAGTGTTGGCACTGGGGTGCATACGCGATCCATTTGGCTGCATGACCCGAAGCGCTGCTACAGCGACTGCATGGTTTAATCCTATAGCCTATTTGCGAATGTAGTATTCAGTGTTGAACATTCTGCCGAAGCTGGTATTATCATGTTACGCACTCTATGTGGGCGTTCGCTGACTCAGATCCATCATGAGACAGAAAACATGGTGTATTAGAATGGATGACTTGCCCGCTTTGAGCAACCTCTTTAGCATCCTACAATTCACTCCGCAATTGCGAAGTGAGGGACTTTGGAACCAGCCATCTTGAGCCCACAGTTGCGTATCAGACCGGGCGTTCTGTTATGTTTGTTGCCGAGGTCGAAGAGATCGGGAAGGTATACAGACGACTAAGCCAACAATGTTGAACATGACGTCAATTCATATGGCTTGAACAATTACAGATTGTGATTTACGAATGCCAATGCTTTGACCTTCCTAAGAGGTATCATGACCGCCCGGTCTGGCCGTCCCTAGCGTCGTCTAGTGTGCTGTCAGCCTCGAGGTCGGCTGGTACCTGAATGAGTGAAGTCCTACTCAGCCCCAGTGACCCCGCATAAGCCAATCGACGAAGTTGACAGGTTCGCGCGTTGTGTAAGACGGATGGACTAATTGGTTGTGAGACATATTCGAAAGAGTATTGACCTCTCATCTCAACCCAAGCTTCCAAGGAACTCATAAATAAGCGCTGCCGTGAAAGACTTTTAAGCCGACGTGTAGTTTACTAACAGTATGCTCGAATCACACATCCATGCCCCTCTGGCTATTGGAGTGCCCAGAAACATAAACAGTGAGCACTACGGCATACCCAACAGTTGACAGATCTTTTGAAACAGAGAATACTCGCTAACCGCCGCAGTTATCCGAATGCGGAAAAGGTAAGCCATAGTCTATTCATAGCCAAGACTCTTGGTGGAAAGGGAACATGCCGATAAACCGTAAAAGCCGCGTAACGTTGCGAACAAGCCCGGAAAACGGCATGACCAAGTGGATCTGTAGCGAGATTGGCGACAGTGGACCCCTCTGAGGCTTAGCACCCCCAACTTGTTCCAGACCGTGGACCCCTATATTTATTACGATTGAGCCACTGACGCACCATCGTCTCTACGGTGCAGCCAATGGTTTTTCGGACTCGCTTTTCTTTTCTTCTAGAAGGCCTTTGTCGCTTACGACTGACTTGGTGCCGAATCCGAGAAATGTATGGCTTGTTCGTATTTTAATATCGCGGGAAATTTAACGATACGGCCAATGCCATTTGGAATTGTTATTTTATGTACCTAGGTTATGCAACGTGATGCATCGTATAATACTCCTCGACGGCACTTGCCCGGTGTCCGCATAATAAGAATGATGGAACTCCCTGATTAGCACTTTCCTTTGCTGTACCCAATATCCCAGTAACTCACTCTCTTTCCAAATCGTTTCTTTTCTTGTTATTCTCTTCGTCATGGCGATCCAGCGTCATCCTCCCAAGATCCAGCTCTTGGAAAACAATCCTCTCACGAGACTACTTCCTTACGGCTCTCTCATCCTCGTATGCAGTATCATAGGCATAGTCCTACTCGCCAACATCCTCGAACGATGGGTTCTCCTACGTGTACATCGAAGAGTCTACGCAGAACTCCAAGAACGCAAAGATGAACGACGACGACGCTCCTTTGTATACTTCCATGTCGGCACATTTATACTTGCATCTTTATTAGTATCGACGGCGTATCCTATTTTCGCTTTTCTTGTCGGCAATGCGCATTTCCATACACCAGTGAGCAGAGGCGGTACGGTCACCGTGGGTGACTTCTTGTTTGTCGCGGCGGAGGTTTACAGCGCCTATTACCTTTTCGAGATGTGCTTTCGAACCAAGTTTGCGAGTTATATCAGTATTGCCCATCATATCGGTCTGCTTGTTATCACACAGACGGCTATTAGTCTTTTCGCGGAGCCCGAGAAGCACCCTGAAGCAACACTGGAGTTTTATATGTGCATGGTCTGGGGTTAGTATGCCCATCCTTGTATCGCGTCCCATGCTAACATCTCCCAACCAGGTGCTTTCGATGTCATCGTCGAGCTACCCATCTTCATAACCATGATTATCTGGCGAGTCAAGCGCGAAAACTCTGCCTTGCTATCCAAGCTTGCCTTTGGATGTTGCATTTGGGCAGTAACAGCAGCCGGTGTGGAAACAATTGTGACGATATACCTGCTCAATAGTTCTTGGACTCGATGGGCTATCGAGTGGAAGATCGCTACACCGACTGTCTTTGCACTGTGGATTACCACGCAGTTATATGGCGCGACTCGACTCTATGCGATGGGTCGCGCGGAAAGTCGCAAAGGCAAGATTGTGTCTGATAGTCACTCGGTGTGATATGTTTATACGCACTAGATGTTGAGTAAAGCGTTCAGTTATAATTCTAAAAAAATTAATAGATGAATCCAAGTAAAGTTCTCGAACCCCAGGCTCGATGTATTTCAGAAGTCGTTCAAACACTACTGAGTGCTTTCTTATTCCCCAAGGCGCGAATGACGAAAGAAGTAATATCCGCTGTAGCCCTGCTATCCATGAACTCCAAAAAGTGCTCTACCTTCATCCCGTTTTCATCCATGGTCATAAGAAACATGTACTCCCCCCTCAGATCCCACTCGCTGCTATCTCCGTCTTTCAGCTGCTCATGAAAATACGCTTCAGACTTGGCCCAGACAAGGACCTCTCTCAAAGACGGATTTGGCCAAGCATTGATGATCGTAACAGGAAACGTAGACATCACTCCCTTAATGGCGCTGACGCGAGAAATACAGGCGTCTCGATCGAGTGTTGGTAAGCTTGCCGAAGCTGGAGCCATTTCGAGCGTGAAATCATCGCTGAAAAGGGCTGCGTAGGCCTCTGTGTCCAGCGTTGTGTAGACATTCAGGTATACTGTCGCTGTTGATAGTAAAGTTGACGTGGTTGGTGTATGTTCGGCTGAAGACATGACTAACTGATGGACATCGTCCAAAAGAGATTAACATGTGGGCTTGCAAGATTTCTGGGTCATAATTCACGAATGGTCTTACACGCAATATTCATACTTTATCTGTCCTAAGAAAGAACATCGAGACGTTATAGATCTCGGGGACATAATACAAACGTCGGGTGGGCGCGTGTAAGAACCCTGCTGCTGCACTCCTCGGCATTCTCACGGACGAAAATGTCCGAACATTGGCTTGAATGATACTTCCGAACCTGCATTTGCTATCTGCTTGCCACGCAGAAAAAGGCTTGATAAGATGAACTATACATGGAATTCATATGATGATCAATTCAATATCCTCCTTGTCACAAAGCTTCGGTGCCGTAATAGGAGGTTTCGCCCTGCCCTCGCCCTCCTTCCATGGCCTGACACTCTCCGTGAACCCAATTCTCGTCAGATGATAGTTCTTATCCAGAGTACATATCATACAACCTCCAGGATATGGCTCCTCACCACGTGGTCTGACTTCTGATAGCATAACGACTTTGACATCAATGCCCTCACGCACTGGCTCTTGTGTAGCTTGACTCTCATCCAACCAGACAAGATCCGATGTTTCCCCTCCTTCAAGCATCAAGAAAGCACACCTTTCCTTTGGAGGAGCAACGGTGTAGCTGCCAGATAAAAATGATCGAGTATTGTTACTAAAGTCGTAACCACAGTTTGGAAAGACTGTCCCGCGAGCGAGTTTCGCTTTGATCTGGAGGTAGCCACTGGTACAGCGTCCAAAGAAAGTGCCATCTGGCACCGAGGCTTTCCATGCAACGGGCTCTGCTACAACCACATCGTCAGATGTACCAACGAGACTGTAGCTTGTATAATTGATAGCTGAATCTTGACTGGCCCATGACCAAGATGGTGCACGGTACTTGGTAGCCTTCTGACCAGGTCCGCCACGTTTCCAACAGAAACTTTTGACAAGTTCGTCATCGTACTCACCCCAGTGGCCGACCATATAACCCATGGGTTCGATGTCATCGAGTGCCCTAGCTACACCGCCAATAGCTAGTAGCTTGTCCTCGGCATAGGTCAAGGAGCGATACGAGTAATCTCCACCTACTATATGAACATACCAGTTGTAAAGCATCTGTTTCAACTCCTTCTTTTTAGTTCCGTCATCCTTCGCGGATTTGATGCGGTGGGCTATCTTCGGGATGGTAGAGCTGCGACCCATCCAAAGGAGCTTGTCTTCACTTTCCTGGATGCTATGGTAGCACTCCCAGTAAAGTTGATCAGAAGCGTAGTGAATTATGCGAGGCGAGAGGATACGCTCTTGCATTGTCCAGCCTCGGTCTCTTAGTGTGCAATGACACAGAAGATCGCCCATATCTCGAATGTTGGTGATCGACTCATCGAGCCTTGTATCTTGATTGGGGAAAAGGTATAGTGTGCTCTCATCTCCTGCCGAAAGCCTATTGGAGATCCCAATACTCTCTTCTCTATTAAACATGGACGTCGATCTGTCGTTATGCAGTCCCGCCTTGGCGTCTTTGCTAAAATCTGCAGAGATAGTGACGATCGCGTTCTGGTAGATGTTCGCCATCTTGACAGCTTCTTTCGCCCAATCGTCCTTGTCATCCTGAACAATACAGAGACTATCAATCCATATCCATTCGAAGCCAAGATCGCGAGTAACTTTGACAGCATCGCAAAGAGTCTTTGGAAGATCCTCGATAGAGAATACGTCTCGGCGTGAGTTGAGATTCTTAGTTGTTGTCTGCCAAATTGCCTCAAGGCCGCCCCATCTGTAACTTAGAGCAACGTATGGAGTGCACTGCGCTGAGCCTTCGACCAATCTCACATCCTCTGTATCGATGATCTCGACAAGCCTCCCGGCGCGGTCTTGGTCGGGAACTTGCTCTGGAACTCTCATCTCGTAGAGAAGCTTGATGTCCTCGCTAAGTCTCTGGACTTCCGGCATACTGTTTGAGAGCGGTAAGGTGGTACTCGCCAGGCCTCTCGCAAGACTGTGGTCGACAGTATGCGAACAATGTTCGAAGCGATCTTGGCTAAGAAGGCATTCTTTCAGCCACTTCAGGGCCTGGACCGTCGACTCGTCGCTCGAAGTGCTCTCGGGCACCACGCGTACCGTTTCTGCGCCCAACACTCGCGCGGGATCTCCATCAAGTATTCTCATCAACAGCCAAGAGTATCTCTGCCCTTGAGTTGGCGTTGGTGATGACACATCTGATACTACTATAGTAAAGCCCTGTTCGGAATGGACATGGTGATTGTAGAAGACGCGAGCTTGCTGACTGGCAAGATATGTCTCATTCTCTTTAGAATGATTCAGCCTGCTGTGTCCTGAGCAGATTCGTTCAATAGCTTGGTTGCATAGCCGACACGATGATGCAGATGCGTGAAGTTGGAGGATGTTAGTGTGTAAGGCGAAACCCCGGTCAGAAACAAGGTCTTCGATATTAAGCTTGATACAGACGTCGCACAGGCGTGACGCCATGATGGCAGGACAATCGGTGTTGTAGGCCTAGAAGTAGAAAACATTGAAGGAAAAGGGACAGTTAAGTGTGATCACCGATATATAAATTCTCAATGTTTTTAGCTCATGCCGTACGGTAAGCAGATGCCTGATGGGCTTTTTCCACTTCCGCAAGTCTCGGTGGCGGAGTTGGGCGCTTGGAAAAAGCCGTTGCGAAAACGCCGAGGCTAGGTGTTGAAATATGGGGCACAACTCCTCCCTGCAATGGATTGTTCCTGGCGCTAATCTAGCGACCCAGCACCTGAAGATCAGATATTAGCTCTAAATCATGGTGGTTATTGTGCTATCTCGAATCCATGTCTTCTTAGAAGAAAGCAGTTAGTGTTTGAACATCATCAGTTAACGACGCAAAATACCTTGCTTTTATCAGACTTGCAAGGCAGGCACACGAGACATAAAGTCACGGGCACCTATTCATCATATCTTACAGGATAGGTACCACAAGAACAAAAGAGATGGTAAGCTCCTTGAACGGTACCGGCAGGAATGGAATGCGGAGAGTATTCAAGAGGTACTCCCCCGTGTTCATCCAGAAGCGATGCCCAAGCAGCCGGCGATGTCAAAGGCGTCCAACAAGGGGACAGACAAGAACAAAAACAAAGCGTCAACAAACATTCGCCTTACCCCAACTCGCTTTCTGACATATCTTGGCGACGCACTGGACCTCGAAAAGGAGGAGCTCGCGTTCCCTTGCCTATCCATGAACAAAACTGTCTTTCAACCATTTCAAGCAATCAAGGAAGCATGCGATCCTACCGTGAAGGAACAATTCCAGTCAGGCAGCTGCGACAAAAAATGTGAGATACCTTTCATACCCGGACAAATTCTGATCTTGGCACTGAAGATGGAAGTCCTCAAGTCCGCAGCTGGGGCTTTCGAAATGATGGCTCCTTCGTTCGACTCTGCCAGTCGTGAGATGGATAAGCTGATTGGACGGGACTACAAGGTGGAGAAGGATGAAGATGGGCTTGTCGAGTCGCAGGAAGAGCACTAGAACAGCTTACACGGTATGGTGACGCCATCTACGAATACATTTGATTCATGGGACACTGACTTCTCAAGAGTTGATTGACTCTTTGATACTACCAAATCTCCAAATATATTCATTAATATTGACTACTTTCTAGTTCTTGTGAACTCTATGCACGTTCTCTAGGGTCAACGAAAAAATCACTGTCCGGTAAAGTATACGTCTCAACCCACTTCTCTTCAAGCGCAGCAATACCACCAGCAGTGATCATTCGACCAGAATCCCACATGACATAACCCCATTCTCGAAACAAACGTGGTATCCACTGCCCGAAGCGATTACTGCTTGTTCCTTTCCAGATAGTCACCCAGGCCAACGGAGGGCTCCCTTCGCTGTCACCCGTGAATGGCATTGGCGCTCTCTCAAGTTCAGCTCTGTCGCGAGCTGAGAATACCCAGTTCCGTCGTCGAGCTTGACATTGCGTCGACACTGTCTCTTCGATCCATGGATCCCACAATAGTTCGATGTGTTGCGCAACAAGGCTTACCAAGGTCTCATGGTCTGCGGCGTTGAACATGTCAACAAGAACGATTAGGCCTAGAGAGCCAAGACCCGTCTTGTAAATCTCGCGACTTTGAGCTTTCAAGCAGTCATTCTGCACGCGTTGAGAGGCGTCGCGTTGAGAGGCGTGGCTTTCAAGAAACTTGGCTAGTAAGCAGTCAGCCTGGGATATCAAAAAGTGAGGCGAGGGTACCCACCCAAGTTTACCTCATCAATGGACATTCCTGGGGATAGACGAGGCTCTATTAGCACAACGTCCCACCACGTATTTTCCAGTAGTCTGTCGTATTCGTCATTGACGAAGTCGTAAACGCACAAGACCTCCTCTGTCTCCCAGGGCTCGTATATGCCGAGGAACAATTCCAATTTCTCATCTTCTGATACATAGGGCTGTATATGCTGCTCAGGACGACCCTTGACACCAAAGACTTTACAAAACAGCTGGTATCTGTAGAAGCCGCGGAGGATGCGCTTCATTTCCGTATGGCTAAGGCCTCCCGACAGCGACAAGCCCTCGAAATTACCCTGAGTCCATTCCATGAACCGGGAAACCAACGGCATCACTACAGTACAGTGGAAGGCAACAATGGAAACGATGTCTGCTTTGTCGGCTAGGGCAGAGTTATGGTCGATTGGTGATAAGACGCGTGAGAGATAGGTGCTGATGAAATGGCGCATGTCCTCCAAAGTGCGCTGAGTTTCGTCCAAAACATGGTGTTGCCGAGATGCGAATGTGTTGGCCAAGTGAACAGAAATGGCATCGATGATCGTATGTCCAAGCTCCAGCCCTAAGCAGTGATACAGCCATTTTTCAGGCTCGATAGCATAGTCTCTATAGAAAACAGGTGAAGCTCGTACAAGAGCCAAGAGATCCGCGATAGTAGGTACCAAAAAAAGGATTAAATGCCTGACATCGTACGGAAGCTCCTCAAGACACATGGAGCTGGCATTGTTTTGGGTAAGAGGTCGAGAATTTGAAGGTAAGCTATCTGTGATAGCAAGCGAAGAAATACCATGCGGATGATTGCTGGTTGTGTCCATGTTGAAAATAGTTGCGGTTGGGGGAGGGTCTAAAGATTGAAAAGAAAAGTGCGAAGTTTTCCAAAGGCTATTTGTAGCAAGACAGCGGAGGGCTGAGCTGCCGTGCTTCCAAGGGCTGTAACTTTGACCGGCTTTGAATGGTGCCAGTGGAACAGAGTTTGAAAACACATGTGAGCAGTATTTGGTAGATCTGTGATACACCATAACGTACCTCTTAAATAAGGTTACAGTTCATGATCCTGAAGGGCTATTTTGTCAGGTACGCTGGTGGATGTCAGAAGATGTCCTCTGAAACTTAGCACGCCAAAATAAGGTAACCTAAAATCTGGTCTAAGCTCACATAAGGTGGCCAAACCTTTCGTCTCTAATCAATCTGACACCCTGATAATGCGCCTGTAAGAACCGTTCATATAAAAAGACTTTGATGGTACGCTACCGCATTAGTCCATATGTATAGTTTGATGTGGTCTTATGCAATCTGGGACCACAGGCTGCCTGTGCGGTGAAAGGCTATTTAGGATGATGCCTGATATTCAGGGTTCAGGTTCTGGGGATGCTGGTGACTGAGGACTGTAAATGGGACTCCGAGGACTCCACGGAGTACCAACATCACTTGAGGAATGATAAAGGCGTGGACCATCAAACCAACCACCAATCTCACACCCTTCCAATATCCAAAAGCCGTTCTTGTCTCGATTTTCCAAGTGAAACGGCGGATCAGGATAACTGTTTTTATATAGTAGCTTTATCGGGTGAAGGCTACCATCTAAGCTGTCCCAGACCTGGCTGTAAGTCTCTCGTTGCCAGCCTAACTGAGGGAAAGTGGTGATATATTGGAAAATGACTGGTGGGAGCGCAAATGCACATTCGTCAAAGGGTTTGGACCATGTCTTGACGAATTGTCGAAGCTTCTGGAGCATGAAGGTATACGTGATAAACCGCGATAAGATTGGTTGTTTGTCGTGTTTCTCGAATGAGATATACAGTCGTTTGAGGTATGGAAAGTGCTGAGGCGATATGGCATCGGTAAAGATGTTGAGATGGCTCAAATCCAAGAGAAAGTTCCTTTTCAGGTCTGGTGTATTAGATGAGCTGGGGGTAAAACCTTGTCTTTCGAGATACTCGTGCGGTAGTCCCTGGAGTGACCATCTGATCTCAAGGGAAGTTATTGAAGCGAGCCTTTGAGGTAGAAGAAGTCGATGTATGTGAGATATTGTTGCTTCTCCAGACATTGCGATTGTGTTTGTGGAGTACAGAACGTCTATAATCTCGGCGTAACTACTTTAATCAGCATTGAAGGGACTGAAATTGGTATGTGCCTTACTTTTGACGACAGGAGAGAAGCCAGCCCATGATTCCCATGTACCGCTGTAACGGATCGCCGCTCTTACATGTATCAGTCCAAGGACCATAGTGGTTCGCTCCACTGGTCATGGGAATCTGAGCTTGGTCTGGCACGACCAGTCGATGACAGAAGCTGCCAAACCATCGCCACTCTTGAATATTTGTGGACTCATCCTCGGCGCTGGCCGGTCTGTTGAAAGATAGACCGATATGAAGACGTCGATCTCCAAAAGCCAGCCGCAGAATGTCGCGCCGAATGTTCGCTGCAACCTTGAACCATGGCGACGTTTGGTACAGAGCCGTGGGCTTCTCTATTGAAGTATCCTCTGCATCGCGGAAGCCAGAGGGAGTAATGGCGCGTGGTCGTGGACTCGGCAAGACGGGAGTATCTTTTGTGTTATCTCTCCAATTGGGCAACGAGTCATCTGTAGGATCTGCTAACGGACGACCTGGCGAAGACGGCAGACTGAGGGTGTTGTCTCTCGGAATCTCGTCATAGAAGCAGCAGCCTCCCGTAAAAATCGGATTTGAGCTTTGAAAGGAGGGTGATGACATGTTTATCGCTGGAGTGTGTAACGTGTCAATGGAGTGAACCTGTGAGGCAACATGAATAATCTGCATTGTCTGGACCGTGCGACGTTCATGCGAGTCATCACCCACGTGATGCTCATCATTGCTCCATATCTACAGTCAACTTCACGATATTCTCTCCACAGACGCTGGTTCTGTATAAAGCTTCATGTACAACAGCGCCCTATGTCAAAATTCATGACAAAAGATGATCCGATCTCGGGGTAATCGGTGGAAACCCCGCGCAAGGGCAATTGACGGGAGGCGTTCCGGCAATGATCGACAGCCCCAGTCAATGCACTGCGAACGCTACCAGCCGTGATCTGCCACTATTTGCGTTAGTGTATAAAAGATCTGTCTACTTAAAAGATTGATGGTACCTCGATGTCGATCTGAAGGACTTTTTCTATAATTCTCTCCAATTTATCCGAGGTTTGTGATTATCCGGACTAAGCAACATGTCCGCCCAAAATTCCCCAACGCCCAGTATGAAGAATGGAGACGAGCCGATGGGAGGGGAAGGTCATGTCTTTGTACCACCAGACATAGACAATCGGATTAAACAAAAGGTAATCTCATTCAACAACGTAAAAAATCATTGCTAAAAGTCAGTTCAGCTTGACCGTCGTGTTTTGCCCATCGTCTGCTGTCTTTACGTACTTTCATACTTGGACCGCGGCAACATAGGCAACGCCAAGACTGCTGGCGCCCAAGATTCACTGGGTCTCAGCTCTTCTCAGTGGGCCTGGGTCCTGAACTCTTTTTACATTGCGTACATTCTGTTTGAATGGACGACCATGTTCTGGAAGATCTTCCCTGCGCATATTTATGTATCAGGCTTATGTATTTGGTAAGTCGGGCGCACTGATCTGTTGGTAGCATCACTAACGTGGTTCAAGCTGGGGAACAGCTGCTATGTGCTCAGGTGCAGCTAATAACATGGCTGAATTGGTCGTTACTCGAGTATTCCTGGGCATTTTTGAAGCCACATTTGGCGCGGGAGCCCCGTACTTCTTATCGTGCATATACAAGAGAAGCGAGTTGGGTCTTCGGATGTCTATTTTGCTAGGAATGTCTCCACTTGCAAATACTTTTGCCTCAAGTTTGGCATATGGCATTACGCATATCACTGGATCTTTGGAGCCATGGCGATGGCTGTTCATAATTGGTAGGAGCAATGTTTTTATCTCTTGATTACCAGGCTGACCGTCTTCCCAGAGGGAGCACCGACGATTCTCTTCGCGCCTGTCGTCTATTTCTTCCTGATCGACTCACCATCAACAGCCAGATTTTTAAACGAAGATGAACGAAAGCTCGCCGTTCAACGATTACAACTACAAGACAACACGGCGAAAGAATCCGTCAGCTGGAAACAAGTTCTGGCTGGAATGATTGACTACAAGAATTACATGCACGCAGTCATGCACTTCTGCTGTAACTTCTCCTTCGCAGCGCTATCCAACTTTCTTCCCACCATCGTCAACCACATGGGCTACGATTCTGTCACAGCACAAGGTCTCACTGCACCCGCTTACTTCGCCGCGTTCCTGCTGTGTATTGCAGCTGCGTTCTTCTCGGACAAGTATGGATGTCGTGGGTTTATCGTTGCGGGTTTTGGTGCGATGGGTGCTGTTGGTTATGGTCTTCTTGCTGGCGTGCAAGATATTGAGAAGACGGGACCGAGATATGCTGGAGTATGGCTTGCGGCTTGTGGAATTTTCCCTGCTCTGGCTATGAATATTACTTGGCTCCTCAACAACCAGGGAGGAGATTCGAAGAAGGGTGCTGGACTTGCCATTTCGCTGATCATTGGACAATGTTCGTCTTTAATCAGTAGTACCGTGTTTCCAAAAGAAGATGCGTAAGTTGAAGCCTTTTTGCCACTGTCACTACTCCAACTAACGTCGGTCTAGTCCGTTCTTTACCACAGGTTGCGCAATTGGTTGCGGCATGAGTGGAAGTATCGTTGTGCTATCTCTGATTATGCATTTCTTATTGGACAGAGAGAACAAGCGCAGAGACAGGGTGTATGGTCCTGTTGATCCCAATGCTGAGATTGATGTTTCGGAGCAGGGCGATTATAATCGGCAGTTCAGATACATGACGTAGAGGACAATGTTTTAGTTTCGGAATATGAAAACTTTCTTGGCTAGACAAAAGAGAACCGCTGATGTACTTCTGTGTCATTTACATGTTCAAATGCCGCATCATCAACATATCTAACGTCCAGCGCCATTGCCATGCCCCTCGCCATATGAACCAGCATATGGCAATGTAACGCCCATATGCCAGGGTTATCGGCTACCAAGGTCAACACGACATGTCCACGCCGCGGCACACTGACTGTATCCCGACGTACCGGATACTCAAGATTGAGGCCATTCGGTGGTGCCTCTCCGGTATGTGGGTTGTAGCTCCCCCAGCTGTCACGGCCGGGATTTCTATACGAGGATAAGACATAGAAGGAATGGCCATGGATATGGAAAGGATGTGCGCCGTCATCAAGATTGTTGATGATGATATCGACTCTTGTGGGTTGTTGTGGTCTTATGGGGATGAGAGGGACGAGTTGGTCGTCGTCCCAGGAAGATCGGTTCTGCGATATGTGAGGGGGGGTTTGAGGTTTCCAGGATGTGTGGTTAACAAAGCTGACGGGTTCGTAGTTGAGATGTGCGAGCTTTTCTGTCTTTACATAAAGGACGATAGTATGTTGTGCTTTGTGCGGTATGTCGGTAACTCTCCTCGCCGCTTTCAAGTTTATTGAATCGAGAACCTGAGTCTTGGTGACGTTTGCAGCTAGGCCGCCTTTATCTCTAACAGGCTCTTTCATATCTTCGGCAAAAGCTGAAAAGGCTTGTACCGGCTCCAATGAAGGGTTTGGATATCCAAAATCTCTGTTCGACCATCTCGTCAGCATTGCATCATCAATATTCCCACCGGTCCTGACAACTTACTCCTCATCCATGTATATGACGATTTGGTGATTGTTTGTATGATCTGAGTCCCATCTGACAATGAAATCAACTCGTTGGCCAGGGTAAATAGTACCGACAGTTTTCACCGCTTGGGATTGAACACCAAAACCCGCATCGACGAACACTGGTTGAAGGGTAGCTCCTTCTAGACCAACACTAAAACCGGCGATCGACCCGGTGTTCACAACTCTCAACCTCATAGAGTCACTCAGCGATTTGAATAGAGGTCTTAGTTCGTCTAGCATTACCTGTGAACAGTTGACCGGTCTCGCAGGAACAGCCATAGAACAGTTAAATCGCCCCCGGCCATTTGCCAACAATGAATCCGGTACAGGTTCGTTCCCTCGACTGCTAGGATCAGCGTACCAACTCAGCACCTCAGATTGGTTTCTATGGAACCAGTCACCGACCATGATGAGATAGTCGTCTTGGAGAGATTTGTCTTCCTTGGGGGAGTGTACGACCAAACCCCCCCATAGTCCATCCGCGCGCTGGAGATCGGAATGGCTGTGCCACCAGAAAGTACCATGCTCGTCGTCGCCTATCGTGAAGTTGTACATAAATGAGCTGTTAGGCAGTGTGGGGTCTTGTGTGAAGCCCACGGCGCCGTCCATAGCATTTTGGTTCTTGAGAAGGAGACCGTGCCAGTGCAAAGATACACCTTCGTCTTCCAAGCCATTTTTGACGTGGACTACTATGCTGTCGCCAGACCTGGCTTCGATCAAGGGCCCCGGAAACTGGTCTGAAGACAGTGATCAGTCAAAGTATTGGGTTCGCAGATGCCATCTTACCGTTGACGAGATATACGTGCTTCTCTACACCGTCAGGTGATCTGAGTCCCGAAGTGATGGTCCAGTTGAACACAAGTGTCGTCGGCGGACGAGCGGCATGTTCGTGAGGATGTAACAGGTAGGCAAGCTGTTCGGGTTCCTCATTGGTCAACGGTGTCGTCCTTGTGGTGTATAGTATAGTTACTAGGCCAAGAGCGAGAATGAGGATAATGGTCGTAAGACATGCTCTCAGACGTCTGCTAAATGGTCGCTTGGCGTGGGGGAGCAATGATCGGCCGTATCTTGGTCGTAGCGGTGTATTACCTTCGACAGTTTTGCTCTCATCATCCACCTCAAACTTGTCGAGTAATGCATGAGCTTCTTCAACGTGGGCGACCATGGTGATCATGCCTTGTTCAAAGTAGTTGGACAACAGCAATAAATTCAGGTCGTTTTGTAAGAGAAGATAGATGCGACAGTCTCAAGGACCCATATCTGTGCCGGACATCCGGTCGGTACTCCAAACCACTCGAAATGTCGATGATAGGTGCATTCAGAGAGAGTCATACTTACTGGTGAGATAGCCCACGAGATCGATTGTGAGCAGCTTATTGGTTGGCTTGGCACGTGAAATGCACTACGATAAAGTAGGTGGCCCAACCCAGTGAAGATCTTCAAGGCGACACTCGCGATGCTCTTCATGACTACATCTCTCTTCTTTCAGTAAAATGATCTCGACTTGAAACGTGGGATCAAAATCTTTCTGATCGTCGCCTCGAGATCTGCTTCAAGCATTATCCCATTTTTTCTCCACTTGCAGAGTAACACCTCAGAACGACCTACCTAGCTGAACAAGAGCGAAATCGAGACATATATATATGCAATCAAGATGCGGCAATTAACAGAATCAGCAATTCTCTGGCTGCTAGATTTCTTACAGGATCCTTCATGTTCACTCAAGATGTTGTTCCTACGATCGTCAGGCTGGATCATTGCGTCCCTTCTAGCAGCTACAAAGCCTGTCGCGACAAAAGGTCTGGCCGATATCGACCATGTTATTCTGTTTATGCAAGGTACGACAAATCGGTTTGTGTACGTTGTTGAATAATGCTGATGATTCGACAGAGAACCGTGCATTTGACCACTACTTCGGTACCATGGCCGGAGTTCGCGGCTTCGCAGACCCCAATATGCATAGCACCACCTGGAAGCAAAAGGTCACTCCACAGCAGAGCAAAGACACAGATGCCATCACGCCTTGGTACCTGAACTACCTTGGAGGCACATGGCCAGAAGCCACTCAGTGCATGAGCGCTGGTTCCAACGGCTGGGATGCTAACCACGCTGCGTGGAACAACGGAGGAAATGACCACTGGGCTATGAATAACACACCCTACAGCATCGGCTACTACAAGCGTCAGGACCTTCCTGTCCATTTTGCATTGGCGGAGGAGTGGACTGTGGGCGATATGTATCAGGAATCCGTTATTGCCTCCACGAATCCCAATCGCGTTATGTGGATCAGCGGATCTATCAATGTGCCTGGTTCTCCCCAGGGGAAGGACGAGGGCGGTTATCCATATATCGACAATAACGAGACGCCTGGCTGTGACAAGCAGGGTATAAACTGCTACCCTCTCAAGTGGACCACAGCTGCAGAGAAATATGAGGCTGCCGGTGTGTCATGGAGCGTATACCAGGACGCGGACAACTTTGACGACAATCCTTATGCATGGTTTGAGCAGTTTCAGACGTCCAAGAAAGGATCCAAGTTGAATGAAAAGGGTATGAAGGGCCAGTCACTGGACGCTTTCTTTTCGCAAGCTGCGGCTGGAACACTCCCGGAAGTCTCGTACATCGTCGGGCCTATGCAACTATCAGAGCATCCTCCCTACTCACCGAACGATGGCTCGTGGATACAGAGAAAGGTTGCTGAGGCAGTCATAAACTCACCCAAGTACTCCAAATCCGTACTTATCGTCTCATACGACGAGACTGGTGGATGGGCTGATCATGTTGACCCATATCACGCCCCTGATGGAACGCCAGGCGAATGGATCGATGACCCCTACGGAGAAGCAGGCCACACACCCATCGGCCCAGGTTTCCGCGTGCCATTCTACATAATCTCCCCCTTTACTCGAAAAGGCGGTGTCTACACCGAACACTGCGACCATACATCCCAGCTATCCTTCATCGAGAAGTGGCAAGCTGCCAAGGGTCGTGATGTCAAGACGGAAGAGATGGTCCCCTGGCGTCGGAATAACATGGCCGATCTTACCAACGCTTTTGACTTTGACAATCCCGACTACAGTATTCCAGATCTTCCTGATGCACCTGAACCTCATCGCAATGGTAAGGGAGACTATGATGGTTCCTCGCATTGTGCAAGTCTGTATGGGAATGGTCGACCGAATGTTCCGTATACTGATGAGGCAGCGAATAATGATACTGCGAGTTTGGCGGAGAAGGGGTTTAAACCTGTCCGCGGATTGCTCACCGAGGGGCGGAACATCGTAATTGAAGCATCTGGGCAAGCTGTCAGTGTTTCGTTAAGTGGCGATGCTCTTACTCTTAGCAAAGCCACAAAGAACCACGATGATGTCCAGCAGGGTTGGATCATCCAAGCCGTAAAGATTGGCGCCAATGACTTTACTGTGTCATCGATAAAGAGCGGTTTGTATATCTGCACTGGTCTGAAGCTTTGCAAAGACTCCAAGTCCTCTATTATTTTCACGGTCGGATTTGAACCGAGCAACGGACACTCATTCAAGAACAAGAAGTCCGGGAGGTATCTGGCTGGAGGTAAAGAAGGTCAACTGGGCTGGCAGAAGAGCGAAACGTTTTGGAAGGCTTTCAGTGTTACGTACTAAGAGGATACGAAAATACGGACATAAATCTTCATTTTATTCACTCCAGTCTTTGCTTTTTAACCCTTACGGAGATAACATTTCGTGGTGGTGAGTAACTCCGGTCTGTCAGCCAATGGCGGCGAGTCGCCTCCAAAGCAGATCTTACTGTGCATGAGATGGCGTCGCAAATGACCAGTCTTTGTTCACAAAGTCCGGACTTCTCCATAGGAAACCTTATCCTGGGTGAGTTATAAGTGAAGAATAGGGTCCTGGGAATATTTGCGCTCGTGTTCAAACGACGACATATTTCTTCAGTATTCGGGAAAGGGCTCGCTTTTAACAGCCATGTCAACACCTAGCCAGACCAACGCCCAACAGGTCAGAGACTTTGTCCAAACAACCCATGACAAGCCATACGCTGCTATAGACCCAACGAAGGCCACGCTACCAGAGAATTATGTCGTTTGCGTCATTGGAGCTGGCGGTGCAGCTGGTGCAGGTCTAGCCAGATCATTTGCCAAAGCCGGCGCATCCGGTATGATCCTCGCCGCTCGAACAGAAACGACGCTCGAAAAGACAGCAAAAGAGATTGGGTCTATTAACAGCTCCACCAAGGTTGTCTCAGTAACCTGTGACATCAGCGCAGAGGCAGATGTCGTTAAAATTGCTTCAGCCGTGAAAGAACAATTCGATGGCAGGCTAGATAATGTCATCGTCAATTGTGGCTTCTCAGGCCCTTTGTCTAAAGCGACTGTTCTTGACGAAGACATCGCTGATGTCCAGAAGGCCTTTGCGGTTCACTGCACTGGTACATGGCTTGCTGCTCATTACCTGCTACCATTCCTGCTTGAGAGTCACGGCAGTTTCATCGTCATAAGCTCAATTTCAGCTCAGGGTATCAGTGGCTTTGGCACAACATCGCATTACTGCGCGAGTAAGCTTGCACAGGCTCGCATGGTGGAGATTATTCATGCCCAGTATGCCGAGAAGGGGTTATTCGTTGCCAGTGTTCATCCTGGTGGGATGAAAAGCGACTTTTCTATGGCGGCTTCGAAGGACATCCAACATTGTAAGTTACAAGCAAATACTCATGTACGTCACTGACTGGATATAGTATTGAACGACGACCCAGATCTTGTGGGTTCCTTTTGCGTCTGGCTAAACAACACTCAAGGCGTGAAAAGGCGAAAAGAAGCTTTGAACGGGCGATGGGTGTCGTGTAAATGGGACGTCGCGGAACTGGAGCAGAAGTATGCCGTGATCAAGGAACGCGATCTACTCCGATTCAGAATGGCAGTCGAATAGGTCCGTGTATTGTATCTGTTACTTTATGATAAATATTATTCAGTACTTCTGGATGAGTTTAGAATAAGTCAAGCATCAAGAGCCTTCTCTGCTTGACATCCATCTTGCCCAAGGTCTCAATCTCTGCCTTCTTCAACGCAATGAACCACTCAACATACTCCTGTCCCAAGACCCGAGTCGCCCAAGTCCAGTCAATCTCAAGCTCTTTCAGCGCTTCCTCTAGCGAGGTTGGAAGAAGTTTGGTCAATCCCATCTTCTCCTTCTCTTCGTCCGAGTAGAAGAGAGTGAATTCTGCAGCATGGTCAACCGATGTAGATTAAATGGCTTCAAAGTGAAACTTACTGGTAGCGGCCTCAATCTGAAGAGGCTTTGGATCAAGCAAAGCGCCCATGACTCCAGCTACCATGGCGTATGGGTTCGATGTTGCATCATTGACTCGAACTTCCCAGTGATTTTTGGTAACTCTTCTGACGGGCATATCTCGGTTATTGTCACCCCAGCCAACAATACCACCTGTGCACATTTTTCCAACACCGACCCTTTCGTAAGAGTCGCTCTGTGCCATACCGATTGCCATCAAAGCAGGTATATGGCTCAGTAGTCCACCCATAGCTGCATCTGGATCCCAGATCTTGTCCTTGATCGTCGGTGTGACGGAAATGTGAATATGCTGCCCACTCTTCTGACCAGTTTCCCCCTCGTAAGGTGTTGGATAGAACGTAGCCACCATCTTCTTCGCATGCGCGAAATTCTTGATGAGCTCGACAGCATAGAAATACGCATCGACAGCCTCTACCGGAGGCAGTGGTGACAGAGCGACTTCGTAGGCTGATTGACCATACTCCTTCACAGATTGCTCAACTTCAATACCAGCCTCCGCCAAACCAGTAAGAACCTCGTTTATCACCGGCCAAATTCTGGACCGAAGAGTCTTCGAGGTATGCGCAACGCCCGCACTTCCGGCCTCTGCGGCATCCAACGTTCCAGGCTCAAGGAAGCAAAACTCCAACTCCATACCAACCAAAAACTCCAGTCCCTCCCATTTCTTAGCTTTTTCGACCAGATTCTTCAAATTCTGCCTGGCATCGGTATTCTGAAACGCGACGTTACCGAAACACACAGCTGAGTTTGAGCCACGCCTCGCGACCTTGAGTGACGAGACATCAGGCCAGATCTTGCCAGAGTCGATAAAATACGGCATGATTTTGGGAATGAATTCCGCTGTAGTGGTGACGCATGTGTCGAGAGGTGCGCAGCTAAGAAATCCATTTGTCTCAATTATTTTCTTAAATGTTTTGACGGGGACTAATCTTGTTCTTAGAACACCGCAGATGTCAACCCATTGGAGAATGACGATCTTGATAGGTGAGTGCTGGGACCAGAAGTCTTGTTTGGCGCTTGATGAGCTTGCCATGCTTGTCATGCTTGAGCCGCTACGTCGGGAAAACATGGTGATGAGGAGATGGGGAAGACAGTTATGCGCAACCAAGATCTCGGGGCTAGGCCAACATTTATAGAGAACAAGACATAGGTTATTCAATTGGTGGTAATTATGTCTGCCTATTCATGACTGAACCGCAGGATCTGATCATACACACTTCTTCATGCGAGTGGCTCACCAAGTAAGCGCTAGATAAGCGTGGTCAGATGGGGCGGCAGACAGCCAGTCAAGTACAGAAGCAGCTGCAAATTCCCCGAGGAAGGTCAACTCCGTAGGAATTCATTTCTGACAGGATGCTGACAGATAAGCTCAAAATGCAGTGATCAGCGGTTTGTGGTATTCTATTGGTGAGAGTGCCGCATAAGCACAGCTTTGCAAGCGAGGTGCCACTTGTATGAGCATGAGTTGGTGATCGCTATCACTAAGCGGATGATATGGTCTCTGAGGCCGAGCCGCTGATGGTATCAAGTTTCAAGCGGTGGCCTGAACAGGTGTAAAGTCGCCAGGTTAATCTTTGTCTTATGCTCTCAGCGATGTATTTCGCAATCTCGCTGATTAAGCATAGGAAGAGGCGTACATCCTCTCTCCAAATTCTTCAGTTTATGGTTCTCCGTCGGAATCGATGGAGTTGCCAACCATGATGTCTTGAAGTTCGACAGAGTCGAAGGCTGGAATCACTCAAGGTACATGGACTTCAGATCATGTGCTTGTTCCTAAATTATGTCTTCAAAGCAATTTGAGTATTCACTGAACGAGATATACTGAGATTCAAGGGCTTAAACATTCGAATGTTCAATCGAGAGGTGAAAGCCTGTTCACAAACTATCATTAATCGAGAAAGACGACTGGTCGTTTGTTCACTGCGACAAAGGCATCGTTGCCACACCTCTGCATGAATGCCGCGAGCAAAGACTTCTCATACAAAATTGTATGTAGCACGAGCACTACAATGTGAAGTGAACAGTGCAGATGGAGTGTTCAATTATTCAAGGAACACGGCATTGCTTCTTCATTTCTTCAAGTTTCTTAAAAGTATAAAGCCTTGACAATCCTCCACTCTACCAAGAAGAAATCCCACCACACTCATCTTCACTCTTGCACCTGGTTTATCGCCTTCGCAATATCTCACAACACATACACAGACTTATAACACAGAAGAAACATTTAGCAACCGCAAAAATGGATTCATCTCCTATTTCCACTCCTCCCCGTTTCACCTCTCCTCCTCCTTCTCCCAGTCCTGCCTCTCCCAAGCAGGCCTGCTCTATTTCCGTTGACCCGAGCATTCCCCACCACGACCTGGGCAAGAATTACGGTACCTGCAATTGCTCTGGTTGTACTGGCTGCAACCGTAAGATCTATTGCATTTCCACTCAGCAGTGTTACGACTGCTACTGCAATTGTGCTGTCTAGATGAGGACTTCTGGATGGGTGTTGGAGCGTAGGTGGGATGGTGGGTTGAGCCTCAGGCCTCGCGGGCTCGAGGCTAGGTAAAGGCTTGCTCGATATCACGAGGCCGGTCCTCTGCGATTCACACTGGTTTCCTTTTTCTTTTGTGTTCTGAGATGGTGAGTGTCTCTGCAGATCGCATTGTTCCGCAAGGAGCAGTGGTTAACAAGAATAAAGATCTTTTTTTTTCTTTCAATTGCCTTAAACTGTTACTTCCAACAAGTCAACAAGTGAGTGTTTGCCATCAAATCATTGACCAAATATATTTCATTTCAAAGACTTTCAATGTTCAAGAGAATACCGTGCACACTGGTCCAAGTTGAACCTATGCGTCAACCATCCGTTGACCCTGTCTGAACTGATTTTCGTTTTGCTGGACCAATTTGGGGATATATTTTAGTCTTGCGCATGGGTCGTAGTAGTTCTCTTGAGAAGCAGATTTCTCGAAGCCTTTTGACAAACCAACACACTGGCAGTCTAAGGACAAGAACAGCAGACCTTGGCAAACGCCACATCGACCACGATGTCCCTGTCCATCCCAAATTTCTTGAGCAGTACCTCAGCCATCTCTTCACACTCGTCGAATTGCTTACGCTCTCCAAGCGCCTCAGATAATTCATCTTTGTTTTTCACAACCTCCAGCTCTTCCAATGCAACACATGCTGCTTTTTTGACCAACTCGTAACCGTGGGACATGTGATGCCTGAGGTTTCTCTTCCGCTCCGCTTTCTCCTTCATCCGCTCATCAGTCCTTAAAATCGTAAGATAGATCTGTGATATACGAGGCCGACTCTCCAATATCCTTGATAAGCGTTCATATACCCAGTTCTCATCATAGCAATCAGGAACAGAGATCTGGGTGAAATCTACCCACCGGACGTCCCTGTCCTCGAAAAGATTCCAAGGATCAAGGTGCAATATATCCAGTTGCCGGTTGAAGTACCCGATTTTGCCATGTTCTTGACATTGGAAAGGTGAAGGATCCAGGCGACATGCAAGACACTGGCAACGCAGGAATGGAGTCAGTACCTTGCATGCCACATCACGAGATTCCTTGCAGACACTGAGCGCGACGGGTGGCTGGGGCGATATGATCTGAGTTCCGTGGTACATGGGTCTGACACAGACAATCTTTGGGACTGCTTTGTGGATTCGCGGACCTGCTAGGCTGGATCTCCAGATCATACGGCGAAGTTCTGGCGGAAGATGCGCGAACTCGGTCGGCTTGTCGTGATCATACGAGCAAGTGCTTTGTGGTATTGTTGTTTCAGTCGTGATAATGGAGACCATGCTGTTGGTGGTTGGCATTAAGGGACTGGACTACTAACATCCTGGAAGATGAAGAGCTATTTATCATACTTGTCACATTGTTAACATTGCATAACGTGCGATATAATCGTGGGCTCTGAACCTTGATTAGCATAAGGTTTGAAATTTGTAAACATGACTGTGATAGGTCATTGAGTGCGCCATTTAAGAGTATTCTTTTTGGATTTGTATGTCATCGCCAGAACTTAAACAAAGAAAATTCTGTGTCCTTGAAACCTAGAATGCATGAGAAAGTCTCAGATACCATACTCCAGACGGGATACTCGGGGTTTGCTTGTGACACATCTGGTGATAAAGATGCCCGCAATGCGTACTTAATAAAACAACACTTTTGATCACACAAACTGTCATTCGACAGCTCCAGACGGGATGTATTTATGCCAGCGCCTATTGGCAGCAGATTGAACCTGATGTTATGGTAGGGCAAAAAGGTCTTGCACAAATCCGAGTCATGATACTTTAGAATCGTTACTCTGCCGATGACCACCTTGAAGATTACTATTCGGAACGATTTGTCGGAAATTGATAAAAGAGTATAACTTTATCTCAAAACAATCGATCACTTGTTGTTAATTGATCACTGCATCTAGACCACACTTGGCTATGGATCCTTCAAAGATGGACCACGAGTAATTCCGGTTCAAGATGATAACGAATTGAGGAATAGCCGGCGCGACCTTTCGACTCATAATTCTTTCGAAGACAGGCTCTTCGAATTGGGAATAAGAGCGGTGAAAGATTGTCATCCCTTTTTGCTGGCCCATATATCGTGGCTGATTGCGCTGCTCCGCCATGCTTGCTTACCGAACAAGGGTTCATTACTAACCAAGCCCTGGTCAATCTAGAAGACATCTCGAGACAACATAAACGTACATAACTGTATATAAAATCTAGCAGTCAAGTTCCTTCGGATTAGCAGAATATTTTATCGTTGCTAGTTCTACTAAAATAATTGCATCATTGTCCTGAAAAGCAGAGATCGTCAGAATCGTTGACCAGCCAATCTTACACGATCCACTCAACTAGTGGACTCGTTAGGCTGACTGACCACTAAGTGGTAATAGCTTCGGAGAAAATATGGAGGATCAAGGGTTCGTCACTCCGTCTGACAGCATGGAAATCCAGAAGGATGCAACGAGGCTGTGAAGCGAGTCGATATTTTAAGAAATCAGACGGTAAAAGATTTTCCGATATTAATATTATGTAGTAATCCCTTTCCTTGTTAAAGTGGAAGAAAAACAAAGTTGTTCTTACTCTTTTTCTGGAAGCTGTCAACAGATCGAAGGCCCTTCTTTCTCATCTCAGATCTGAGATTCGATACGAAATTAATACTATCTAATATGGCTTCACGTCGCCCCGATCTAGCCCAATACCCCACCGGTTTTACAATTCTCCGCATCTTCCAAGCGGTCCTCAGTATCATCACCATTGTGGTGACATCTTTCACAATCCACGCTATTGTGCTACCAGGAAACACCTTGTTGACCGTTGCTGTATGTTCATCTCATTCACAATGTTTAGCAACTTTGACTGACATCACAACTACAGAGCTCGATTACTCTCATAGTCTCACTATGGGGAGCTTTCGCACACTTGTCATTTAGTCGCTGGTTTAGTTTCCGCGCAGCTTTCGGTCTTGATGCAATCCTCACTCTGCTGTGGGGCATCTCGATAGCTGTTCTGGGTGCTCAGACATCGATTATGTGGATGTATGGCTCCGATTACTGCGAGAGCCACAAATGTCCTGAGGACCTACGATCTATTAGTCGCTTTTATGCATATGTTTTTGCCATTTGCTTCGGCCTTGGCGTTATTGGCTTGTAAGTTGATCCATCACCTCACTTTAGTCACAAGATTAACATTATTTAGTATCTTCTCCTGTGCAACTCTTGTCTTTCATGGAGTTGTCAGTTGCCGTTCGCATAAGTACAACCAAATTGGCACGAACAAGGAGGCTGTACCGGTTATTGTTACGCCTGAACATCCTCAGGAATCTACTTCATACCAGGGAGCGGCTGGGTATCAATCACTAGCATGATTTCCCAATAATATCCATAGAGCTTAGATCAATAGATATCAACTTGTATTTTACTGTGTGTTAGCCATCCTTCCATTTATGTTGGGTGAAAAAGAAGATGTTTTGGACTGAGCCGTGATGGTCAGATTATCGCGTATCGATAAGATCACGATAAGATAGTCAACGATAAGATAATGCCACCTACCCGACACCATTGACAACAACCCTGAATTTGAGCCCAACAATCGGAGAATCAACATCGCGTAGAACTATATCTCATGTTTGCCGTTCAACATTTGTTTCTTTTCTCTATTGTAATTTTTCTAAGTTCAATCACTGGATGGAAGAGCGGTTCTGGTCCAATGCTACGGATGCCACACAGTCCTATGGACAGCGTCAACTTAAACGCGTCCAAATGCTTGGTGACGGATTGACAGTACTCAATCAATGTCCATGCCAATTGAAACAAGAACATAACAATTCTCACATGTGATGCTTTCCAATCTTATGACCGGTGACTTGATCGATGGCCTGATATATTTCTCGTTTTGTTGAGTTTCGCGCAATATCGGACGAATTGGTCAATCCCCGGTTCGGCGATAGCTTATTTTCTGTCGGCGACTAAACGCGGGAGCCAAACAAGACACCGACGATGGAAGTATTATCTACAATTGAACTGCCGGACAGTCCGGAGACCGGTCTCTAGAAACTGGAATCATAATCTTGCTTTTTAGCGGTGTTTAATTAATTGAACATCAATATCTTTGCATACCATCGCGCAAACATGTCGTTCAGAAGACCTGCGGTGTGTACCTGTGATAAATCTCTCGCCAGACTCATTGTAAGTTCGACCAAGCAAAAACCACAGTACTCTACCTTCTGTCCAGCTCAAAGAGTCATCGCAAGAGATACAGCATCACTCAAGCTCTCTAAGCGTGCGTCATCAAACTTATACAAACCCAACTACTCTCCAAGGTTCTCCACTCCCAAGTACACAACCCACCGCGCTAGCTTTGCAACTCATACGAAAAACATGTCGGAGCCAACTATTCATCCTCTGTTCGAGCCAGTCACGGGTACATGGCAATACATCGTTGCCGATCCCAACACAAAGAAGGCTGTTATCATCGACTCAGTCTTGAATTATGATGCCATCAAAGCAAGAGTGACAACTGAGTCAGCGGATGCCATACTCAAGACTGTCCAAGATAACGGCTATCACGTCGATATGATCCTCGAAACCCATGCGCACGCCGATCATTTGACTGCAGCATCCTACCTCCAGTCGAAGCTGGCCAAGAGTCAAGGCTCTAAACCAGCTATTGGCATTGGAAGTCGCATCAAACAAGTACAGAACCTGTTTGGAGAGAAGTACGGTGTTTTGAGTAAAGAATATGAGACTGTCTTTGATAAGCTTTGGAGTGATAACGATGAGTTTGCAATCGGCACACTGAGTGCTCGTGCTGTTCACCTGCCTGGTCATACACCGGACCACATGGGCTACCACATCGGTAGTAAGTGTCCCAGAATCCCACTGTCGCATTTCAACTAACACTCTCAGGCAACGTCTTCGTCGGCGACTCAATCTTTCACGTTGACATAGGCTCTGCCCGTGCAGACTTCCCTGGAGGCAGCGCACGAGACATCTATAAGTCAGGACGCAAGTTGCTCGCACTGCCCGAAGACACCAAAATTTGGGTTGGTCACGATTATCCGCCAGAAGGGCGAGAAGCTCCTGTGCCATTCGCCACTGTTAAGGAGCATAGGGAGAATAATAAGCATCTCAAAGATGGGACGCAAGAGGAAGAATTTGTGGAGATGAGAAGCAAACGTGATGCCACGCTTGCTGCACCCAGATTGATCCATCCTTCGTTGCAGGTTAATATTCGTGGTGGACGGCTGCCTGCTCCTAGTCCTTCGGGGGTGAGGATGGTTCATCTTCCGTTGGCGAGTCCCTCTTGGTAGTATAGGCAAGGCATGGAAATCGGTCGATTTGTAGGTTCATGGAGTAGTGTATAATGCATCAATGTACTTCTAGTGTTCAATCAATTCTTTAATCATAACGCACTTCCTATGTAAAACTGTAGTGATCTATCGCAGTAGACCCAGGCAGTCTGTAGATGCTTACCCTTTGACTTTATGATCAACCGTGCTAGCGATATTGGCAACTGCTGACCTTAATTTGGGCAGGGAGTTCATTGATCAGGGCGACAAAAGACTTGTCAATATTGACGATAGCTGAAAGTACGGCTCCCTTTTAAGAAAGAAATGCTCGAAATATGATTTGGTTGCCGACATCAACTCGTCTAGGATTTCGATTCCATTTCGACGTCTACACTCTATAATTGAACTAATACAAATAAAATCTTTACATGTATAAGAAAACAAGACCATTAAGGGAATACAAGTCTGAGCAAAACTCCAGAGCCAAACATGGCGGCGATTGTGATGAAGGAGCTGACCCCCATGCTCGCCATACCACTGATACCATGACCACTCGTACATCCGCCAGCCGTACGCGCGCCGAAAGTCAGCAGAATTCCTCCCAGGATCAACCTTGGCAAGGATTGTTCTTGACTGCTGACCATAGCGTCCCGTAAAGCAGGGACTTGGACCATAGTCAACCAAGAGCCCGCAATGATCCCGCCGGCGAATAAGATACTTTCGGGGATTGATTTGACCATCTTCCCACTAACAACATCCCAGAACATATTCCCAAACTCTCCATAAGCACCGCTCACACCAACCGGCTTCTTTGTAAAAAGAACAGAAGCAAGTTGTCCAACACCAATGAGTAACCCACCGACAACCGGATGCAGCAACGTCTCACTACGCGGCGCCACAGCCAAAATCGCAGCCAAGATACCCAACAACGTAATCTCATACGCGACAAGAACTTTGTTCGCCGACCATCCGGTAATAAGCATCAAAGTGTTATTCTCGGCGCGGCTTGTCGGCGGCAGCGGCTTGATCTTGACCCAAACAATCCCTGCGAGGAAACATGTGCACGCGAGCAATCTGCTGTGTCCAATACCGGCCGTCGCCTGCACGAGGACCGTTCCGGGGCATGCGCCGGTTAAGCTTATCCCCAGACCGAGCATTGTGCCACCGATTAGGTTGCCGTTGTATCGGCCGAGCCTGGATGCTGATTTGGCAGGGATTTGCGACGTGGATATCTTGTTGTAGGCCGAGAAGACGACGGCACTCGTCGCAGAGGCTGTGAGGAAGGTGGCGAGCATGTGGAAGTCGGAGAGGCTGAATTGATCCCTGATGACTTGTGGGTTTGCCACGCCCGAGAGGGTGAGACCCGTGCCGAAAACAGCCCCGGTCAATAAGCTTGTCATGTTGGTCACTGTCGCTGAGATGTTGTGCCAAGTCTACAACTGAGCTGGAAGCCAAACACGACCATCTTAAGGAGAAAGCAGACACTACTAAAATTTCTTTAATTACTAATTAATTAATTCATCGCTGTCTAGAATTTTGTTCTAATCTCCCCTTTTTTCAACGCCAAGTGGACCCAAAACTCTGTTTAATAGATTTAGACGCCGACAAACAGCCCGGCAGATCAAATGTCCGATATCCACACAAACCCCGGATGATCCGGCCGGCTCGGTAGTCGGACAAAACCCACCCGATAAGCTTTCCCGTTCTTTATTCCGAGTCGGTGTGCGAATGGGAACGGCACTCGCTTTTGTGCGCGTACTTCAAAGCCGCACTCACCGCTTCGCCAAGATCCGCGTGGAACAATGGTCTGTCCACTGCAAACACTGGGCACAGCTTTTTGTCGCCACTGAAGTCATTGTGTCGTGTGCCAATTGAGCTCTCGTCATCTTGTCTTCTGTGGTCGCCTTCTGTTGCTTCCCCAAAGGATGATGTTATTGACGGAACAGCTGCCCAGCTTGCGATTAACGGATCGTTTTCTGTACTGGTTTGGCCGAAGCCGACGGCTGCTAGAGCGCGTCGTGCCCATCGGTTGTGCAAGCCGCCGAAATGCCATTGTATGGTGGATGGACTTGCCCATCGGTCTAAAGCATTCTTGACATCTACCAAGCCTTGGACGCTGGTGATGTCGATATTATTAATTGTTGAGCAGTCTATGACGATGGCGCGTAGTACGGGTAGTTCGTTGTCTTGTTTGCACAACCCGGATGTGTCGCACCAAAGAGCCTCAGTCTTTTCATCTGTTTGCTCTTCGTCTGGACGTCTTGTGTGAGTGTAGACATAATCTGTCAAGTTCTTCAGGTGTTGTGCCTGATTGAGGTAGTTCAGGCCTTCGGGGAAATGATAAATGAGAACTCCGCCGCCAGGGCCTTCTACCAAGATGTCCTTGTTGGAAGCATCGTTTCGCTCCAGACTCAAGTAAATGTCGCGAGTAGAAGGTTTCTCGTCGGTATTTATTGATGTCTTGTCATTCTGCTCAACTTCAACTTTGCCCAAAAATTCGCCTCTCGTTCGTGCAATACGCACGAGCAAAAGCAGGAATGAGAGACCTGTTGTGGTGTAAATGGCTGGTTCAAGGCCGGTAAAGACAGCCATAACAACGCCAATGACCCAGATAATGCACTCAAATGGCGATAGATGCCAATACTTGCGCACGGTAGAAGGCGAAGCAATGAGATTGAAAACAGCATGGATGATAAGTCCAGCCAGTGCTGCTCTGGGAATGAAGTAGAAAACTCCAGTCAGAGCGTAAAGAGCGAGAAGCAGCATGAATGCACTGAAGAGTCCAGCTAGTGGTGTTCTTACTCCAGCCTTGGATAGAACAGCCGACGCGCCGAATGAACCAGTACATGAGTATCCACCTAGGAAGGGCCCGAGGATGTTTGCAGTTCCTTGAGCCATAATTTCCTGGGATGGGACAACATCGTAACCTAGCTTCTTGCCAAAGCTCTTGGCAATAGCGATATGCTCGACGATGAGAATCACAAGAATAATGGGGCTTTGTGGCAAGATGACACCGATAAGGTCTGGCTTGAGTTCTGGTGGACCAGCATGAATGAAGCCTGATAAATGTCAGTTGGTGATCGTGATAAGAACGCTGGAGAGCTGGCATACCTTGGTTGATGTGGCCGACAATTCGAAACTTGCTTTCATCCTCTGACAAGTTTCGATTGACCAGAAAGCTAACAAGTGTGTACAGAATCATTGCAAAGGTGAGACGCAGAGAGGACATAATCGACCAAAGTCGCTTTCTCGCAGGCTGTCGCGCCTCCAACTTTGTAAAAGTGTACTTGGCCAACTCCAACAGCACCAAACAAGTGATACCAATAGAAGCATCAAGCTTGGTGTTGGGAAGATTCTTCATCGTCGCGATAAAGACCTCGTATGGCTTCTCTCGTGTGTTGATACCAGGGATGCCCAGCAGGACTGGCAGTTGTGTGCACATGATGATGATGCTGGCAGCGGTAATGAACGCCGAGACGGGGATGTATGGGATGACTTCTACAAGCCAGCCAAGACGAAGAAGACCTAATGCGAAGAGGATAAGGCCGGTCATGAACGATAGTGTTTTGGCAATCTCGACGCTTGTGTATGTATCCGGTCGTGCTTCGTGGACGTGTGAGACGACTTCTCCGACGAGTAACGAGCCAATGGCTGTAGTCTAGGAACACGAGTCAGTAAAGCTCAATGGAAGAGGGGGCAATCTAACGTACTCCGATAACGATATCTTTCGACGTTCCGAAAAGCCAATACGTCGCCGCACCGGCGAAGGAAGTATACAGTCCGAAGTCAGGCGGTAACGTAGCCAGTAGCGCATATGCCATAGCCTGAGGAATAACGACAAGGCCAACGGTAAGACCAGCAATGCTGTCACCGACAAGCCATCGCCAATTATACCGTGGTAGCCAACCAAAGCAGGGAAATAGAGACGTTAAATATCGTAATGTGCCATCTTTCGTAGGGATACATTGTTTGAGTTCTTCCGCCACCGTTGGTTCGGCTTCGAAGAAGGTGTCATCTACTGGCTTCATCTTAACAGTGATCCATCAATGGTGATTAGAGGAAATAGAAAGTAAAAGATTCTGGGGAAAAGAATGGCTTTATTTTGTGGGCCGATAAGGGCGAGTTTATACGAAAGATGTCCAGACGTCAGGGGGTGACGGATCCCGTCCCGACAGCCGGGCCCGGGGCGGACGGGCAGGCTCGGCGGGTCGCGCTATCTTTTGACAAGTCGGCGATCCGGACACGGCAAAAGTGGCACCGATAACCTTGATAAAGCGGTTAGCATCGAGATGAAGGCCGATAGTATTAATTGATTGGTTGTTTTCTGGCTGGAAGTCGCATGTTCTGGTCACCGACTGTCTCCCTTGGGCACCGACAAACAAGCCGCACAGACCCAAAGCCGGGTGGTCTAGAATTGAGATCGACCGCGTATGTCTTTTGGAATTGTTGAGTGGTTGGACGCGTGTCATGATGCTGGTTCAATATTTAATTTCTGCGGTTGCTCCCCATGGGGTTGCCGAGTAGATGACGGAGGGCTCCGGCCATATGATATTTATTTAACAAGCCACTTCTTCGGCCTTGCAGGTTATGACGTGAAAAGACAAGCCCTTGAATGCAATGGCTGACATGAGAGGTGTCGAATTTGGCGCTTGTCCCTTGTATCATTGGTAGACATTGATACGGCTTCACATGTCCAAGCTAGGAGTGGTTGAATTGACATCACGTTGTAGGCTCAATTACAGAATGGCTGAACTATGTATTATTTTTACCGATTACCTATATCCAAAGAACGCATTGAAAGAAAACCTCATCGTGAGTAAGAAACAATTGCTGGCTGGTACAGTACAAGAGAAAAGAGAAAGAAACATTTTCCAATCCGGTCATTCAAGAATCAAGAATTGGCCCATACGCCGGGATACCACGAGTCTCCAATCCATACACCACCTTCGCGGTAACAGATCTGTTGGAAATAATACAAACGCACTCGGCGCCACTCTCCTTGTACGCCTGATACGCCAACTTCACCATGTCGGGTCGACCCTTTTGATCAGTGTCCCAGATGGTAGCGTCGGGATCGCAGGCCGTAATTGTGTCGATGATACCTTGGCCGTAGGTTGTGAGAGGGTTCTTGGTGGACCAGACAACCTTGCAAGGGACGCGACGCTCCATGATGACTGGCAAACAGGGTCCGATACCAGAGCCAGTGGCGACGAGCACGACCTTCTTGAAGAGAGGTGCAATGGCGAGGACTCCAGAGGCAGGCGTTCCTCGTGTCCAGATGGATGTGGGGGGCTTCTCGATGATGCGCTTAGTCCAGTCACCGGCCTTGGAGACGACGATTGAGAAGCCCTTGCCGCTTGGTTCGGGGATGGCGGCGAAGGCGTGCCATTCGACAAGAGGACGATCGGTGATACGGACACCTCGAGAGGAGCAAGGTGGAGGAGTGTCGAAGTCGAAGTGCAGACGGACGGCGTGCTTGGATAAAGGCTCCGGGACGACATTAACGCGACGAAGTCTGGTCCATGGGAGGGCGATGCTCAGTGTGATGAGCGAAAGCAGCCAGATCGTGGGGGTCTCGGCCAGAGCTGGTCCAAGAGGTCCAGTGGTAGATGCTGCGGTCGAGACGATAACATGAGCCCAGACAAGAGCAACAGAAGTCCAACCGACGAATCGATGCGCCCACTCAAACTGATCGTGCATCTTCATACGAACAGAAGGATACGCCATACCGAGGATAAAGCAAAGGAATCCCAAGATGATATATGTCAAAGCGAGGACAACAGATTTGATCTGAGCGGGATGCTTCTCCGACAGGAAATCGCGGCTGACGGAGATGGTGTACATGAACCACCAGGCTGTAGCAGAAACAGCACAGCCAGAGTGAACACCACCATTGTGGTACACTCGCGCGAAATGTCGTCGTATAGACAGAGGGAAAGATGTGGGGACTCGAGAGCAGGTGAAGAAGATGGCGTTGACAACGTACTCCTGTCGAATAAGCACTGCGGCAAGAAGATTCGAAGCAACGGCTGTAGCGACATGTGTTGGCTTGGGATAGTAGTCGTTATCGGCACTATCCACCAACAGAGCGATGAGAACGATGAGGTTGGTGAGGAAGATGAAGCCAAACAACTTGCGATACGCTGAGAAAGCAGTGTGTCGCACCCAGCGCCATCCATGGAAGCCGCTCTTCTCCGGAAGAGGAAACTCCTCCTCGTTATACTCATCCACAAGCGGCTTGTCATCCTTCTCCAGATCGCGCACGCTGGTATCTGTTCCAACGACAGTTCCATCGCTGGAACTAGTCATGGACATCATACGCTCAGCAGAAGGCCACAAAGTCTGTGGCCTAGCCTTCTCAATAACCGTAAGACCAACAGGCTCAACCACATCACCCTGCTCAGCAATCTTCATCAAAGCGCGCTTGTCAACCTTGCCGTTAGGCGTGAGTTCTAGAACGGGGAGCCATTTCCAGATCGATGGGACGGCGTAGAAAGGTTGTGATACAGCGACGGCGTTCTTGAGCTTGGTCTCGTCGATCTTGGAGGGTGCGGAGTAGAAGCCCCAGAGGCTGTTTTCGATCTTGAGAGCGCAGCCTTTTACGACGCCGGGGGTTGTTTCGATGGAGCGGGAGACGCCGTCGAGTTCGACGCGGAATCCTTGGATTTTGACTTGGTCGTCTTTGCGGCCGAGGGGGAGGAGACTGCCGTCTTCGGTCCACTGGGCGAGATCGCCAGTGTTGAACATCATTCGTCTAATTCATGTTAGTCACAAGTGATGGATTTGTGGGTGACAGTGTACTTACCCATCGTTGGTGAACTTGTCCAATTTGTATCGTGTGGCTGTCAGTTCAGGCAAATTGATGTAACCCGCTGACACACCTGGACCACCCGCCCACATAACACCTGGTTGACCAATCGGCACAGGATTCTCATCATCATCCAGAATATACACATTGGTATTAGGATTGGGCTTTCCAATCGTCAATGGAATACCGGGTCTGTGAAGATGACCTGTGTTGAGCATGCTGATCTCTGTAGGACCGCACACATTCCAGAAGTTGACGTAGGGAGCCCACTTCTCAGCGAGTGCTAGAGGACAGGGCTCGCCGCCGACGGCGATTGTATCGACGTTGGGGAAGTCTTCTGGGTTGGGCATGTATTTGAGGACGACGGAGGGAGTGGCGATGATGGTGTCGCAGCGTTGGAGACATTCTGTCCAGGGAGCCAGACCACTGCCTCGGATGTGGAGGGTACCGCCGTTCATCATTGTGCCTAGAATTTCCCAGGCGCCTGCTCATGTCAGTGATGCTCTTCAGGGCAATGAGGAGGTTACTTACACATATCGAAAGCGACGTTGAGCTGTTGAGCCACGTTCCTGCCAGGTCGAATACCAAGCTTGGAAGGTTCTGCTAGTAGAGTGTTGGTGACACCTCTATGTCGCACATCGACACCCTTGGGCCGGCCTGTGGTGCCAGATGTGTAGATAACATATGCGCCGTCGTCGGTAGTGACCTCAACCATGGGATCTGATGGGTTTCCCATGTGCCAAAGTGGTGAGCTCGAATCCAGGTCAATAACATTGACCATATTCCGTCTATCATCAGGAATACTTCGAACAACCTTTTCAAAGAACTTGGGTAGACACAGAACAACAGGAGCATCTGAGTCGGCAATGTCAAAGCCCAAAGTATCATCCGTGACGATACCACCATCCAATGGCACATACTGTCCACCAGCCTTGAGAACAGCCAAGATGAACACCACCATCTCGATACATCGTGAGTACACACACACCACACGATCACCTATCCTCAATCCATAAGTAGCAATAAGCTCGTTCGCCAACATATTCGCTCGTCGGTCGAGCTCCGCGTATGTGATTGTGCTTCCATCGTAGTGTCGAACAGCGACGAGGTCAGGATGCGCCTGCGCAACCGCCTCGAATGCATGATGTGCGACCTCGAAAGGAATAGGGACCTCGGGACCTTTGCTGAATTCGTTGAATAATTGTCTATCCGCCAGGGACAGGCTCTCGATGGAGCTAAAAGAAGAATAAGAAGACATGGTGACGAGTGTTTGGAATACAACAACAACAAGATCGACAACACCATCACAAAGGTCTTTGCGTTATGGGGACACAAAAGCACTTAAGTAATGTATGCCAGACACATGCTATATTCTTGGCTTACGGAAGTCACCTTGTCGAAACCAGCTTCTTCTCCGAACAGGATAAATTACCGCTCCCTGCTCCGTGAACTGTTTCGGAAGCAAGAAACTTCTTTGTCCTATTCCATCGTCTCGGCAGCTCGTACATCGACAGCCCTGCCCCGATAATACAGCTCCAATAATTATCCCTTGTGTATTTGTCTAGTGGGCCTCCGCAGGATAAGGTTGCAGTAGTTAGATCTTTTGGAACAATGGACAGTAGACCTCCGTGGAAAAGTAACTCGCCAAGGCCTCCAGAGCTTGATCGCATTAGCTGTGCCTTGGAAGCTGATTGCCCAGTAAGATTTTCAGGGACCGTTATTGTTGTCATGTCCCAAAACAAAACGGAGTAAATGCAGTTGACGTTTAGCGTACCGTTCGGAGTGGGGGGTTCGCAGGGGGTCCCTGAAACGGTTGTCTGCAAGGGTTTATTCGCAGAAGCTGGCAGCTGTCAAGACGAACTTCCGTTTTTGTGAGAAACGCACTGACATTACTCAGAGAGTTGTCATCAACCTAAACGGGTATACAAAACCGTTGACAGAAGGGATCGACGGACTCGCCTACTCCAAATGCCGAAACGACCGTTCCGGGACCTGTGACATGTCCACTTGGTCGAAACTCGAGTTCTTTACTTTTTATCCGAGTTGCATCGTAGGGACCAGGTGTCTACTGTACGGGACTCGAAGTTGAACTTAAACTTGATCTTTGGACACAGAAACAGTTTTGCATCATCATCTTTTCTTTTTCTCAACTCTTAACCACCTACGCCAAGAATATCTATCACAATGAACAATCTCACAGACCTCAAGCTCTCCATCGTCGAAGAGACAGGTGTTGCAACGATCCAGTTCAACAGACCTGCAAAGCGCAATGCCTTTGCTCAGAAGACCATCGATGAGATCGTGGCTACTTTGGCCTACCTCGACTCGGTGGAGTCTGTGCGTGTCGTGGTTCTGACTGGTGGACCAGAGGGCCATTTCTGCGGTAAGTTCCTGACGATCAGTGCCGTGTCTTGTTCCACCAGTGATTAACGATGGTGGCAGCGGGGATGGATCTCAATGAGCTGGTTGAGCTGTCTACTTCCAAGGCACACCAGATCGCCTTTCTCAAGGATTTGACTGATGCGCTTGATCGATTCACCAAGCCGATCATTGCAGCCGTTGTAGGCTATGCTGTGAGTATATTGTCACTCAGATAATCTTACTGCTAATCATGTGTTTAGTTGGGTGGTGGGTTCGAGATTTCTCTTGCTGTAAGTCCCGGTATATCACATATATGTGTAGCAGTTAAGCTTATTTCACTCTGCAGTGCGACATCATCTACGCCGCCGAAGATGCCATGTTTGGTCTCCCCGAGGTCAAGATTGGAACGATCCCTGGAGCTGGGGGTACACAGCGTCTGGCACGTGCCCTGGGCAAGCACAAGGTTTGTTACCTACGCAATCTCAGGCCACCTTGCATGAATTACGACTGACATGTGACATTTAGGCCATGGAATTCGTACTGACAGGCGAACCTGCCAGCGGTGCAGAGTTTGAGCGTCTTGGAGTTGTTACCAAGGTGTTCCCCAAGGCAGATGTTTTGCCTGCCGCTACTGCTCTAGCTGAAAAGATCGCTAGACTTTCGGGCCCGGTTATCAAAACGGCTAAGCAAGCTGTTTTGACAGGTATGTCTCAGATGGTATCTTATCTTCTTTTTGATCCACCACTAACTCGTATTCAGTGGAAAACAGTACCCTTAGTGCTGGGATGACCCATGAGAAGGCGCTTTACTACTCTACTTTTGGCCTGAATGATTTCCAGGAGGGTATCCAGTCCTTCCTCCAAAAGAGAGCACCTACGTTCAAGCACTCTTAATCCAGAATAGCGTACATGCAGAATAGCGTAGCCCGTCGATGTAGCATTAAAAAAGCAATACCCATTATGCAAACAGAATTTATTCTTCAATTTCGGGCATCATTTTTCCAGCGGTCATTTTCCCGCATCTAATTCTATTAATATTTATCACGCTAATCTCCCTAGTGTCCATATTCACATTCTGCTCCCGTGCGCTTTTACGATTGAGTTTTTGCGCAAAGATTGAGTTTGTGAGGAATTCTTCCATGTCGACGGGGATCGATGATGTTGTTCCTTCTCTGGATAATTAACCGAAACTTACTTTTTAAAACCTGGTTTTTTGTTACTCAATTCTTCAAGGTAAAGCTTGGCATCCCTTCTTTTACAACAGGGTCCCCTTGCCGACTTGACACTGCAATGCTACGGTGGCAGTGGAGTTCGGACCACAACAAGGACACGGCGTGCTCCGCGGTCTGTTAGTGGTTGGTAGATTTAGCCTTACACGAGCTAATCCACCGTTCTGAAACGGTGAACCCTTGGTCATAACGGCTGAAGATGTCACCAAGGAGACAAAGCAATTTTCGCATTGTGAAAGCCTGGACCAACGTTGTAGCAAAAGCAATGAGCTTTGATTACTACCTGGCTTTTGATTACGTTGGTGGTTCCAGGTCTTGGATCTGAAACTCTTGACCGTTGGGAAAAAAGAAAGGGCGCTGCATGTCATTGTCGGGGAACTCACTTCCATTGACCAGATCTGTCTTGACATCCGTCTTCCGCGGAGAGTCCATCATTATTCCGTTTCAACGCGCTATAGGTAATCGCCTCAGGGTTTATCGATCGTATGCCTACCCTGCTCCGTATACAGCTTGTTGTGATCCGAGTGGGATGAGATGAATAGTATCTCGACCTGCTAAAATAGGAAGGCGATTGAATTCCTGATAGAGGCGTCAGGCCTTTTTACGAGGAAGATGTGATAAACGTCGGATAAAATCTACGATCGGACAGGCCGCCAAACTTTAAAGCGACCAGCATACACGGCGTAGCATCAGCGGTTATCACAAACGGCAGTTCAATTAAGGCCTACCCTACAACGTCGGAGCACCGTGGGATACATATCCCACCTTTGCCGAGAAATGTTTATCAGCATCCATCTACTCATGCAAATCCTTTCTGGGGGTCAAAACAAAGTTCTGACGACCAGTCATAGCCTTCGAAGCATAGCAGAAGTACTCATCAGCCTCTTGTTGCCCACGCGGAAACCTCTGCCTATAATCATCCGTCCAGAGAATAAACTCCCGGATGTATACCCTCTCTGTCTCTGTAGCCCCTTCAAAAGCAAGACAAAATGACGTAACATATAATACAGCGCCAAGTTGGCCTTGCTGACGCAGATACGGGATGTATTTTGTCATTTGTGAGCAGTACAAACAGTACTCGGACCATATTGTTTCGTCTTGGATGTTTTGAAAGACGTTCAGACTGCGGATCATAAGTTTGAGGATGAGACATACTGTGTAGTATGAAAAGGATAGGTCGAAGGCTTTAGAGGTGGCGAATTCGTATGCAAAGCCGTTGGGTGTGTCACCGCCCGGGACGTCTCGTATGATGCGTTGCTCTGTTGCTTTTTTTAATGTTGGGGCTGTCAATCTGTAGACCTGATCAAAGTGGTGTTTGAGACGTGCTTGGAGGCTTTTTGCATGGCTTTGAGCTGCGATGGGGTCTTCGTTGGAATGAACGTCATTCATCTCATGGAGGAACTCTGGCCATCGACCGATTGCGACATCCACGACGAATGAGGACAGATTGAGGTCGAACTTGTTATCTTCAAGGCCTAGCCTCTGAGTCCCTTCTTGCAGGCGTTCAATCCACGGCGAGCGCAACATGAAGTTATCACCGCGATGAACCAGCCAATGCACAGCCTGTAATTGTGTCAGCAAATCAATCTCTCAACAGTGTCCAGAGTCCGAGCCTTACCAACGTGACTTGAGCTTCGTGCGCCAAGTGCATATCAAGAGGATCATCCAAACTCGGCGGTCCCTTCTTAATCATGAGCGGGATCATGCCGCCTGAATGAATCGTTTGATGATTTCCCCTCTCCACATCAAACAGCAACTCAATCTTTTGTAAAATCGCCATCGCGGTCAAAGTCTCAACACGGAGCTGTGCTGGTCCATTCAGTGCAGCATGCAAACTTCTCAAAGCCAAACCATATAGCCTTGCATCGATGAGTTGTGCCGGAGGAAGACCGCGTTGATAATTCGACCATGAGTTGCAGAAAACATTGAGACAGCTTACCAAGACCGGACTTTCGCTCAGGCGCTGAGGGAGATGCTTGAGATATGCCAGATTGACGATCAAGTCTGGGGATTTGGAAGATTGGGAGATGAGGTAAGATCCGAGGCGCTCAGTGGGCGTTGAAGAAGGTTGCCGTGAGAGACGGAAGAAACCATATCCAGGTGCATCTTCACCAGAAGTGTTCGTTGCTTTGGGCTTGTAGTTGCGGATCCTAAGCCATGGGCCTGTGGCATCCTTCGCTGTCACGCTCGCGCTGGCTGATGAAGACGGCGTTTCCTCCGGTTGAGAAGAGTGACATCCATTGACAATAAACTTCTGCAAACTCGAAGGCCCCGAACAAACCAGTTTCAGTCTCTTACAAGGAGTGCAAGTTGGCCAATTTAAATCGCACTTCAGATATCAGCACAAGAACAGGTATGATGTCAGAGGCTCACCTTGACTCTTCTCCGCTTGCATCCTTGGCATCGTTCTACCTTTGGTACACCAGGCATTGAGGCTTGAACTTAGAAACAATTGAAGAAGACTGACTGGTTTCTCCGGGTTGTTATTATAAAGATCTTTTGGTGGTATTAGGCAGAAGGAATTTCTCACTGAAGGTCATCTCGCTCTATTCTTCCGAATGAGGAAAGTTGGGGCCATTTGGTGTGGAGGTGGTACGGTGCTTACGGACGTTATCAGTGGATGATTCTTATCTCTGCAGATAAGCGGCGATATGATGGAGAGAACACGACGTTGAACGATTGGGGGCGAGATACAAAGATTTCATTTTGCCTAAATTGTAGACGAGCTATATACCAGTTTGTTCAAACGGCTGAACCTAGTAAGCACCACAAGAGAGAGGAAGACTGTTGCGAGTTGATGACGTGCCAATAACCCAATAGCGACTGATGCTATGGATCTCAAGGGTACGAAGCCATACCAGTCCAGGACGAGCGATTACCAAATCCGTTCAAATCAACAACCTCCGGACCACAAGAAGGATCTTCAAGGTCAAAAATCGCAACAGCAGGAGCAGCCTGAAGTGCATACAGTTTGGATCCCACGATGGTGCCATCGAAACTTCCCATGCCTTGCTCGTAGCCGGGAAGAGCACGGCTAAGAGCCTTAGTCTCAGTACTAACTGCATAAACATCTGGCACACCACCGTCGAGTAGGTAGATAGATCCAGTGTCGGTAGACTTGGCAGTCCAGCAAGTTGCCATTTGTCCGGTGACGTTTACAATAGCGTTGGTGGTAATACTAAGATCCTGGGCAATAGACACAAATGCACCACCGTAAGCGGGGGTGGCAACGACAGCAGAATTATCGTCCACGAAACTAATGGCGAAAGGAAGTGGAAGGTTCTCGGGTTGAGACTCGACAGCTTCTTCGCTAACAATGCCGTTCTCCACTTTGTAAGCATAGATGTAACCAGAAGTCATACCATCACCCTTGATAGCAACGAAAAGAGCGGTCTCGGAGGGATTGAAGAGGATGTTCGAAGCAGTATTGGGTACTCCAGTGATGGGGTTTGTTTGACTCATGATCGGAAGGGGTCTGAGTCCGCCGACTGGCTTGATACCGTTGGAGCTGGAGACACTGAAGCATTGGACTCCAGGTTTGGTTCCCGTATTGGCGACGCAGGCGATGTTGTGTTTGCGGGAGTAGGCAACTGTGTTGGGGGTAGTGCCGACAGTATCAACTGGCTGGCCCATGAGGACAGGGTGGGATGGATCGTCCTTTGGGATTTGGAAGGATGCTAGAGTGTTGGAGCCTGCATTGACTGTGAAAAGGTAGTTCCCATCGACGATGACTGAACCTTGAGAAAACAATGGATCTAGATGACCCGTCAGCACTGAAGGCACATATTGGGCTTTTGAACTCACCGACTGCAACGGAGCCGTTGACGTTGACGCCGACGAGACCTTGTCCGTCGGTTGAGGTTCTGAGGGGTTTGCCCAGAGAACCATCTGCGGACATGGGAAAAGATACAACTGAGGCCCCTTGAGGGTTGCTGTCCAGGAAGTACAATGCTCCTGGCGAGTTCCCAGGCTTGGGGTATGCCCAAGCACCGGCGGAAGCGAGGAAAAGAAGATTGAGGTATTTCATGGTGTTAGACTGGGGAGGATGGAAGTGCAGTGCAAGCAGTGAATTGTTTGAAGGGTTGGTATCGTCGAGTAGCCTCACCGGCGATGAGTAACCTCTTTATAGCCTCCATGATGGTCAAGACCATCTCCATCCTATATCGAGCCTCAGCAACCCGAAAAGGTGGCTAAGAAACGAAAAGGATCTGATTTGCTTGGCATAGAGAAAATAGAGTTCTATACTCCGCCAGATCCGCATGTTAGTCTGGCCATTTGTTTGCCGATATTCCGGAAAGCAATAGCCAGCACCGACCTGACTGTCGTTTCGTCTCACAGTATTTACCAAGACAGCCAATCAACGGTTATACGACAAGCCTTGGCACGTGGGTAACCGAGCCTACCGGACTATTCTCCAACGTAAGCTGACGACGGGTATAAGCGACGTCGCCGACTAGAGCGTGAGGTGGCGGAGTGTGATCCTCAGCCCTATCCGTAATAGGCAATTTGGATTAGAAGCTGTCTTGCACTATGTTTCCCAGATTAGAATCCTAGTGGCATTGTTTTACAGATCGACAGATTCCATCATTGCCCTAGATTGAGGCAGTGCAACTAGCTGGAGTGAATATTTGGGTCTTGGTGTTGCTCGTCATTGTTTTCAAAGGTGCCGTAGTCGACCGGCACTGTTAACCCCAAACTCCGAGATACATGTGATCTGTCCGAAACTTGAAGATGTCAAACTCAAAAGCTGTGTATTATTCATCAGATATCATAGATTCGAGCTCATTTGTGGAGTAGCCAGAGATCTCAACAGTCGATAGCTCTACAATTGGCCAATCACGTGTCGGTGAGATTTTAGTTCCTTGCATAAGCCCACATCAAGACCAAGAGTCACGAATACAGACCTTGACACAATCACGATATCTGGCTCACTTTTACCGATAAACGCGTCGAAAAGCCAATGGAATTACCGACTTGATATTGGTAAATTTTGCAACGTTGGTTCCACATTCACCATGCGCCTCATCAATGTCGAGTCCCTCGAACTCGAATCCTTCGTCGGAGACCTCGGTCGCGGACTCCCAACATATGCCATCCTCTCACACGTATGGACAAACGAAGAAGTCTCATATCAACAGATGACAGGTCTTCTCCCTCTATCTGAAAACTCAAAAGGATATTGGAAAATCATCGACTTTTGCGCTAAAGCCAGAAATGAGGGATTTGATTATGCCTGGATAGACACATGCTGCATAGACAAGACGTCAAGCGCAGAATTATCAGAGGCTATCAATTCAATGTTTCAGTGGTATCGTGACTCTGCGGCATGTTATGTCTATCTGGAAGATGTACGCAGTACAGAAAATCCTGTGTCTCAAGATTCTGCTTTTCGTCGGAGTCGATGGTTTACGAGAGGATGGACACTGCAGGAGTTACTCGCGCCGCATGAAGTAATTTTCTGTGCCGATGATTGGCAAGAAATCGGTACAAAAGCTAGCTTGAGTCAAACGATATCGGCGGTCACGAAGATTGATGTCGCCACTTTGCGAAAGCACACGTGGGCACATGTCAGTGTTGCCATGATCATGTCGTGGGCCTCGATGCGACAGACTACAAGACTTGAAGACCAGGCGTACTCTCTTTTGGGACTCTTTGACGTCAATATGCCGCTCATATATGGCGAAGGTCAAAAGGCTTTCTATCGGCTTCAGATCGAGATCATGAAGCTCTCCAACGATGACTCATTGTTCGCATGGTCTACGGAACCTTTGGAAGATCAAGGCTACTCCGCTGGTGAGGGAGCTTCATCCCGAGGTTTTCGTTTCCTGGGGTTACTTGCACCATCGGTTCTTTGCTTCAGGGATTCGCACGATATCATGGCACCAAAAGACTTTCCTGGCAGTCATTCACCCTACGACATAGTGAAGGAGAATATCAGTCTGTCAGCGACACTCGTCAGGCTCTGTCCACTGCCCGTCAATCCGAACGACATTCCTTGTGGAATAGACAAAGTTGACGTCGTTGGGACGGTCCGATTCTCGAAGAACGTTCACCCTGTAAAGGCTGTTGACCACGGCCTTGTTATCACGCCAGCTAGACAAGACTCCAAAGGAATGAAAGTCATGTGTTTACTTGCCATCTTACGATGTTGGAACAAAGATGGCTACATCGCTATACCGATCAAGAAACTATCCTCTGTTGGATACCAGAGAGTGGAACATGCGTATCGATGCCGATGGTTCAGAGTGCGTTTGATGCCGTTACGCCTTTGTCTGAAAGATGAGGATGAGAAGGCAGAGAATGAGTCGATTTATAGATTGAGACAATATGACTCCGAGTACAGCATAAGAGGACCACCGGCCGATCCACCTGAGACTATACTCATCAAATCATACGTCCCACTGGATTTGTCATATCCTTCTTCCCAAACATCAACAACGGGATCTTTACCCTTCAAGTTACGCTCGCTACCCCTTGAGCACGCCGACTACATTCTCAGTAGGGACTCTCCAGAGAACCTCGTCTTCCCATTGCCGGAGTCGCGTGTCCAGGCTCACGTCCTGGAGAGGTTCAACAAAATAATCGGCACTGACCAAATAGCGAGTCTTGTCTTCCAACCCATGATTACAACTGCAGAACTCCCGCCATTCTCCATCAATATTGCAACTATGTGGATCAAGAAAAGTGAACAGAAGTACTTAGGAGTCCATATTGATGAAAGGCTGGGATGCTACTACTCGGGACCTTCCAGTGACCCATCTGGTGATGAGATAACCCGACGCCCAAGAGTTGAGTTTGTACCTATAGATCCCAGTCGACCTTGCACTACAATTCCGTTGTCGGATAAGTTATGTCTTGTGTTCCGGGTGCGGCAAGGTATTTTCAGAGACGCATCATGTTACATAAATGTTGGTATTGAGAAGAAGCTGGAATGGGGCATGGAATCGAAGAATGATAGCGATGAGGCTTGGGTAACTGCTGAAGACGCTTTATCACGTCGCTTCACCGATGTTTCAATATGAAACAAATACAACAGATTTCAATTACTACATATCAACGCCACGAACATTCCTCCGAAGCTAAACATACTATTGAAAGCCACTATCATATATCGATTACCTCATGAAATATATTCCAAGTCTGTGGCAATATCCCCCCATCTCGCTCCCGCCATATCAGAAAAGTAGTGGCTCTTGGGACTCCAAGGACCCGTACCTCCCTTAGGAAACACAGAACTGAGATTCTTCAGGTATGTCGAAGAAAGACTCATGACTTGCTTGACAGGCATACTCTCCGACGAAGTCAACTTCGGCACAACAGCAACTGCCTTCTTCTCCTCCATCTTCTGCAGAACGCGTACGAACAGTCGAGCACTGACATCCGCACCTAAAGTCCAAGATGCGTTCTCGTAACCAAAGACGAAGACTAGGTTGGGCACATCTTGCAGCATGGCGGACTTCCAGGCGTACTTCTCTGCTACGTTGATAGCATTGCCATCGACGCTGAACTTGATACCGCCGCCGAAGCGAAGCTTGAGACCGGTAGCTGTGACGATAAGATCAGGATGGAGCGTTGCTCCGGACTCAAGCTCTATGGTCTTCTCGGTAACCGTCTTGATCTTGTCCGTGACGACATCAGCCTTACCAGACCGCAGCGCAGAAAAGAAGTCGCCGTTCAGACAAGCACATAGACGTTGTTCCCAGGGATTATACCGCGGTTTGAAGTGAGGATCCCAGCTAACATCAGGAGGAAGTTGCTTGACGGTGACATTCTTGATGATCCTCTTGGCTAAGCCAGGACAGGACTTGCAGAAGGCGTTGGTGACGTATGTTCTGACGAGCCATAAGAGGCGGTTGATGAATAGCGCGAGACTGGCGGGGAGGATGGTGAAGAGAAGACGCGTGAAGAAACTGGTTGACGGGACGGGAAAGATATAGCCTGGACTTCGCTGGAGCATTGTGACGCGTTTGGCTTTGTCGGCCATGGAGGGGACGATGGTGATGGCTGTGGCGCCGCTTCCGATGATGACTACTTCCTTGTTGGTGTAGTCATAATCTTCAGGCCAGAACTGGGGGTGTATGACTTTGCCTTGGAACCTCTCAAGTCCAGGAATGACAGTCTGCAATGGTGTCTGATAGTCGTAGTACCCCGTCCCAAGAAGCATAAACCTCGCTTGGAAAGTGACAGGCTTCTCATCGCCATTCCGAAAAACCTGAAGATTCCATTTCTTCTCTTCAGAAGACCAATTGGCCTCTTTAACAGAATGATTGTAACAGATATGATGATCAATGCCAGTTGAGCGAGCTGATTCGATCATGTAGTCTTTGATCTTATCGCCAGGCGCCAACGACTCCTTGTGCTTCCATGGACTCCATGAGAAGCCAAAGGTGAAGATGTCAGAGTCTGATCGGATGCCAGGGTACTTGAACAGATCCCAAGTGCCGCCGATACTATCGCGAGATTCGAGAATGGCGTAGGTGAGGTTTGCTGGACCTTCTGTTTGGAGGCGGTATGCTGCGTTGATACCGGAGATGCCAGCGCCGATAATGATAACGTCATAGGACTTGTCTTCTGCCTGATGTGCCATGGTGATAGTCAAAGTCTGTCGGTTGAGATGATCATGAAAGACAAAGCTGGTCTTGCCAGGTAGTATAAGTGCAAAAGTTTATGATAACTTCAAATCTCAATGAGATGAACAGGCCTCGGCTATCTTTCAGCCCACCTCGCATCATGCCACTACTCCGTAGAATAAAGGTTAGCTTCCGAATCTCGGGGTCCGCGGCAACGATCGTCGTTGAATCCTTGCTCGGGCCATGACGTTGTTGGCCCACGCGGAAACGAGGCCGCAATCGCAAGCTAAACTGCAAAGAGAAAACTGACAGCTATGAACAGAACATTGCGGGGTATTTTCCGACAATCGTTTCCGTAGAGGTTGCATTACGTTTGTTACGAGTCTAGTCGTGGATGTTTTTGTATGTCACTAGATGCATGACCACGCGACAGAGGGGTAGTTGACAAGTCAATTCTCTACTGTAGCATGTGAAAGCTATACGACGATCTTTGTTGAGGATCTAAGCTCTACCTTGTCATCCATCACAACTTCCGCGGGGCATAGCTCTTCAGCTTCAACCCCGCATTCACATTCAAGAACTTTCTAGCTTCCCCAGCAGCTTTCTCTGCCTCGGCCCCGAACCCAATGAAGTCACCCAACAAGATAATGTCATGAGGACACCCTTCCGATACGTCCAGGTGTACATTCCAACCAGCCTTCTTATACCGTTGGCAGAAGTTCTCGATGTCATGGTACAGCACTTCGCCTCCACCTGCGTTGACGTATACTGGCATTGGCTGTGAGAGCTTGAATGGGTTTCGGAGGGGTGAGAGGTATGGGCCCGCGGGGTCCGTTGCGCCGAAGCCCGAGATTGTGGTTGCGCCCCAGCGGGCGAAGAGGATGTTGAGATAGTCTGTTTTGTAGTGTGGTGATGACTTGATATCCTGTTCTAAAGCACCTGCGATGTCGACCCAAGGTGACCACAGGGCCATTGCTCGAGGGAAGGGAATGTCGTCGGCTTGTCCGTATTCGTGAATGTATCGTACCAAGGCAAGAGCCAAGTTGGCTCCAGCCGAATCGCCCGACAGGATGATTTGACTTGCAGGAATGCCCTTGGTCTTGATCAGATTGAGGTAAGCGGTAAGTGCGTCTTGAAGAGGGGCTGGGAATTGTCCGTTGTCACTGCTAGAAAGTCGATACTGTGGTGTGCACACATGTGTACAGCCCATGTGCTTGACAAGAGTTCTCGCCAGGTATCCAGTATCTTCATCGCGACCATTTCCAATCACGTAGCCTCCTCCATGAAAGTGCAGAGCAACAGTCATCCCAGAATGAACCAACCCAGCAGGTGGAGGTCGTGCTGGCGTCCAAGTCATTCCAATCTCCGCAGGCAGGACTGCATAACCTGAGAGGATGCCTCGGTATAGCTTTGACGATCTCGGTGCGACGACTTCGAATCGATTCTTTTCTCGCTTTGGGTCAAGACACAGTTTGTCGCCGGCTTTGACGAGGGACCAGTAGAGAAGGGCGAATCGGACGAGGCGTACGTGGGCGGCTTGGTTGAGAGACCATTTTCGTGAGGGTCGGAAGAATGGGATCAGGTAGAGGATCATGTCAATAGCGAAATCAGTGACTAGCCATGGAGAGATTATTGCGGCGTAGAGCCAGAGGAAGATGAGCTTTAGCCAGCTTCCGATCGCCATGTTTGCGGTGTTGAGTTTGTCTTGCGATGGCGGCCAGGTGCTCGGAGCGAAAATTGGCGAGACGTTGAGAACAATGCAATGTTTATGCAGGGAGGGGCAGGCCGTCTTTATGTGTTCGGTGAGAAATTTGGCACTAAATTTTGGTCTCGTTCTAGGGCAAATCACGATTTGCACGGACAACTAGATAACTGCTTGGAATTTATACTGTCTATTCATGACATGTGCAACTCCTACCTTTGACTAATCTAGACTCTTCCGATCATATCCCTCAAAATCTCCTGTAACCAAGTAGGCCATCCTCTGATCCCCGAGATAGCAGAGGCTGACTTTGGAACAATAAGTTGACCGCCACGTCTACGTTTGATCTGTGCGACAACCTCCTTGGCAATATCATCTGGGGTCAAGAGTCGAACACCACCGCGCTCCAAACGATCAACAAAGCCCTCAACAAGAGGTGTTCTGACAAAGTTGGGATGAACAACCGTCGTCAGGACATTGGGCGCTTTGTAGAAATGCTTGATCTCGCTGGCCAGTGACTCGTGGAAAGAAAGCGCGCCGGCTTTGGTAGCAGAGTAGTCAGCGCCTGTAGCCAACGCAACGAAAGATGCGATGCTCGCGACGGTGATGATGTGGCCTTTGTTGAGCTGGATCATCCTTGGGAGGAATTGCTGGGTCGTGAACCACAGCGACATGAGATTAACGCCCATGATCTTGCGCAGAAAAGACTCTGACATCTTAAGGATGGGCATGGGAGACGTGATGCCAGCGTTATTGATCAAAATGGTAGGATGTCCAAGCTCGCGTCTCACAGCATCAGCAGCTTCGGCCACAGATTCCACGGTGGTGACATCGCAGCGATAAAATTTGACGCGGTCATTGGTTTGCAGTTCCTTGGGCAGATCTTGAATATCTAGGACGGCGATTTGTATACCCATCCCAGTTAGTCGCTGGACAATGCTGAGGCCTATCCCGCTAGAGCCGCCAGTGACGACGGCGATTTCATTCGTCCAGGACCAGTTGGATGCGGGGCGGAGGCGCCAGGAGTTGTGAGCCATCATATTGAGGATCCGGTTGATGGACCGGAGGATGGAGAGGCTAGTCCAGATGAGGAGCACCTTGTTGATCGTTTGAAGGTTTAGGGTAGGTGATATCTCAGGAGGGAGATGAGATGCAATTGAGGACAGGACATTATCGGTGAGGGTCGGAGCGTAAATTGATGTGAGAAGTAATGGGCATGATAGCATTGGGGACATAAGAAAGTCATTTAGACTCTGAACATAGTTCAAAGCTGGGTGATAAAGTAAAGACGACATGGTTATGAAATTGCGTGGCGTATGCGAAACGACGGATTGTTCAACGGTGGAAGGCTAATTCATGATTTCATTGTTTCAAAAGTCCGTCATCAGCGACTGCCGAACCGTTTTATACAAAGCCTCACGCCATATGAAAGTGTCAAAGGCTATCCCCAGATTTCCCGGCAATCCGCGGAGTCGATCACGATGCTGAAGCCGAGGTTGACGCTCGTGTCAAACAGGAACCAAGCGAGTGTCTTATCGCAAGCTTGACCACAACGAGCTAAAATGCAGATCTTCCCTCTTCTCTCCACTCCCCGGTAGTTGAGGCCCCATCCAGACTCTCCCAACCCCTGCTGCTCTCTTGTCAACAACCCTGTTTCCGCACAACCCATGTCCTGGTAGCTAACGCAATGATAGTGTCCGTGCTCACACTGTCCGGTTCGCTTCACTTTCCCCATCTTGTCTCTTCTCTTTCCCAACTCGAACTCAAACCGCCCAGTTGCCCGAGCTCTTGAGATATTTTACACAAACTATTGAATCATGGTGTTTCCTGGAAGATTTAGTTCAGGCTGTCTACGCTGTCGACAGCGCAAGGTCAAGGTATGTGATGACGGGACCGTCAAGAGGGTTGAAGCTGATCATGATGATAGTGTGATGAGGGGAAACCCACGTGTCGACGATGCTACAACTATGGAAAACCTTGCCTTGGATATACCGACGAGTTTCACTTTCGACATTCTGGTCAAAAGCCGAAAACGCCACCTGTTCCAGCGACCACAGCGCCCGTAGAGACAACAAAGCCGATAACCGTTATAACAAGTCCGCCCAAGCCCAAAGAGAAAACGCCACCGAAAACCACAAAGCGACTCCCCGAACCATCAACGCGCCGAAGATCTCTAGCCGTCATCAAACAACCCACGCAGTCCTACGATGACATGTCACTATGCTATTTCGTGCGTCGCTTCGTCTCACCCGACGAGGGCGACGGCTTCCCAGGTCACTTCAGCTTTCTCCCGAGCTTCTTTGACCATCACAAAGATGGCGGGTTAGTCGAGACGGCGACGTTGAGCGTGGCTCAGTTAGCCGCGTATAATCACTTGGGTAATGAAGAACTCAGAACGAGGTCGATGAGGAATTATGGGAGGGTGATTAAGGGTTTGCAGCAGAGTATACAGTCTGATGATCAGGCACTTGATGATAGTGTTATTGCGACCATCTTGCTGCTTTGCACGTACAAGGTAAGTTGGACCTGGATGTCAAGGGTTGATGAGGCTAACTTGAGTAGGACTTTAGTGGTGAGGGCTTGGGTGATCCCAATGAGCATGCTTCGGGTTTGTTCTACCTTTTGGAGAGAAGGGGACCGAGTCAAATTGGTACAAGACGAGGCGCTGAGCTGTTCCTTCTTGCTCTACTGCGACTGGTGAGTGCTTAGACCCTCAATTGCGCTGTTCCAAGCTAACATGTCTCTAGCAAATCTACTCATTCCTCCACGGCGACGATACATACACCGACCCAGGCGCCATCGCCACCGTAATAGGCATCTTCGATCCCCTCCTCCGCGCTCTAGCAATGATGTCCAAGACCCTCTCCCTCCGCCACCGTCTCTTCCAATTCATCCAATCCGACATCTTCCAACAAATCGGCAGTCCCTCCGCCACCTCTGAAACCAGCAGCGACGCCGACCAAGAACGTCTCCTCTTACAAGAATGCTTCGACATGCTAGACGTCTTCAACGACTGGGACTGCGAAGCAGCAACATACTGGCAAATGACCTTTGAAGGCCGCGGCGTCCCTACCGTCCTCGGAGAAATGGGCGCTGGGAAAATGCACTACGACGCTGAGACAGCCTGCATCATGATCCTCGTGCGCTCGGCGCGATTGATCTTACTGCAGAGTATGCTCCTGTATCAAACGACCCTTCAGACCGTGGATGATGAGTATAGTAACTACCAAGCCATGTGGGCGCAATGCGTTCCCGTACTGGAATCCGACGTTCGTAAATGTGTCGACGACATGCTCTTCTGCGTACCCTACGCCCTCGGTGACATTGACTCCAGCGGTATGCCATCGACCATGATGTACGATGGCGCTGCTGCTATTATGATAGTGCATTCGATTAGGCTTGTTACGCATTGTGTTTACACTACGCCTGCGCAGGGAGAGCGGGCAGATATTATATTGACTAGATTGAACTCTGCTATTGGGATCAGGTCTGCTGTTGGGTGGTTGGCTGCTGATGGTAGTGAAGAGCAGGGTAATGTGCTTTGGAAGGCTTCGCCTAGGATGTTGGAGAGCAGGTTGTTGGATTGTAGACAGGATAGTCTTGGTGTTTTTAAGGATGCGGCGTTGCTTTCTCCTTGATGTTTTGTATTGCTATCTGGTCTAGTACTTAGTATACGAATCTTAATTGCTGTTGACTCATCTTGACGTTGTCGTGCCCTCAATTGTGCTTCTTCATCGTAGCCGCCTCCCGTCCGCCCATCACGATATCGTCCCTCTGCCAAAGCAACATCAACGCTGGGAAGATCGGACCTCCAACCAATGTGAATAGTATGACCTTGACAACTATAGCCACAGCACTGGGCGATCTCCTTGTAGCATAGAGTTGATAGCCCGACCATATGATCATGGAAAGACACGTGCAGTAAACATCCCAGCGCAAGAAAGAGACCACAATCTCTCTTGACTCCATCGCTGAAACAGGTGGGGCAAAGAGGACCATCGTTGGAGGATCTGCAATCGAGGTCAGGGCGAGAATATGGTGTGCCGACAAAGGCTGCACCAAACCCACCCAAGACGCAGCGATAGTTCCCATCACGATGAAGTGAACGCTCACTGTCAATGTAGTAATGAACATGTACGCCCGATTCAGAGCCGTTGTATGCCTCAGATCTACATGTCCCTTATCGCCTTCACCACGTGTGAACTGTCGCCACAAACTCTGCAGTGCCGATTGATAAAGCGGAAAAGGCTGCCATAGCGCAACCGCGATGAACTTTGCCTCTCTCGAAAGGTCAAACACCAGCGGCAGGCAAAGCCCGATAGTCGGAAGGACGTAGGATATAATCGTCGCAACGGGTAGGAAGTTGAGATCGGCTGGATCGACGAGTAAGTGCGCCTGGCGCGGATTTGAAGGGGATAGTAAGAGTTGGAGAGTCAGGTAGACTGGCGCGATGATGGTGATTGTAACTGCTTGGAACACTATGCCGAAGGTGCCCGTCCTGAACACGAGTCAGTATCATGAAAGCACTGGGGATTATAAACATGAAACATACCAACTCAGTATCGTCCCTCTGTTCCCAAATCTCAACCCTTCCAGAGCGACCAAATACCAAGCACCGCCAAATTGAGCAGCAAGATACACAAAAGCAACCAAAGCCTCAAGATCCATACCCTCGGCATCAGGACTCTTTCTCAGTCCTTGAGAGAAGAACTCAAGAAGAAGATTGATCATGGCGACGACTTGCTCAGAACCTGTAATGCGTCTCGACACCGAGTCTGTCATGTCCAGAACACATGCCTTTTCACCAGCATTGCAAACACGTATGGCATCGAAAAAGCCGTGTTTATACGACGTGAACATACTGGTGTAGCCTCCGAGGAGAGCACAGCCGAGGATGAGGCCAACGATGACGGTTGGAGCCATCGTGATGAGAAGTTGAAAGGGTTGCAGATCAGTCGAAATGGTGCATTGTCAAAATGCTCGGGCGTTTGGTACGATTCATGCCTTTTTCTTTAAGTCCGTGACCTCGAGTTGAAATTTCTTCGCTCATTGACGCAGCTGTGGAATGTTGAGATGAATCATCTTGTTTCGGAATAGGTTGCGAAAAAGGTCCATCTTCACAAGCCAAAATGACGAACGCAGCAAACAGCTCAAAAGACAACAGAATTCAACACATGTGAAGAAAAGAAGAATATCATGAAAGAGTTTAACATGCGAGCTGAACACGTGCCCATGTTCGTAAACTAAACCCTTCAAAATCGATGCCCCTCAGCTCGCATACTAAACCCGATCGGGTGGTGCTTGCACTGTCGATCATGCTGCTTCTGGTTTGGGGATGGCTTCACACCCACAAACCCTGCGCATTACTAACCGCGTACTAAGGGCTCGGTTGGGGAAGATGGTGAGCCTTCAAATGGCTCTATTGCGGCCTAATCTCACTTTGTTTGCTATTTTAGATAACCGACCGGGCCATTGATATCATCATCTTCTTGGGTATCGCACTTTTCTGAACTGACATCAACAGCAACGCCCACCATGGCTGTCATGTCAAAGATCTTGACTTTTCCGAATCTTACCCTCGCCGCCTGTGTCGAGGGCTTTTTTGCGATCAAGCTATTTCCGAATTACTACAGCAGTTCAAGTCACTTGGCAGTAGTAGCTTTCATCTTACTCATCAATTATGCCTTCGGCGTTGTGTTTTGGGTATTCTTGTACCCGGTGCTGTTCAGTCCACTGCGACGAATTCCTGGACCAAAGGTAAGCGTGGCTGTTCCCGCTGTGAGACATTCACTAAATCCTCCGACAGGCGTACCTGAGCGCCGCTCATAAGTCTCTCGTCGTCAAAGGAAGACCGTCAGGCGATCTGTTCCTAGATCTTGCCAAGGAATATCCAGAAAACGACCTCATCATGCTAAATTCCTTTCGCGATCAGCTATGCCTTATGAATCCGCAACTATTGGCAGATCTTCTGGTACACAACTGTTACGACTTCGCCAAGCCAAAACGAATCAGCTCTTTTCTGCGCCATGTCCTTGGAGATGGACTCATTATCGTGGAGGGTGACCAGCACAAGTTTCTTCGAAAGAACTCGACGCCGGCGTTCCACTTTCGACATATCAAAGAGCTGTATCCTATGATGTGGGCCAAGAGTGAGACTCTTACCAAGGCGATCACACAAGATATCACGGAGGCGAGATCTTCGGTTGTTGAGCTTAATGGCTGGGCCAGCAAGGTGACTTTGGATATCATTGGCATTGCTGGCCTGGGTCGCAAGTTCGATACTGTTGAGAAGAGGGTTGATCCACTGGCGGACATCTACGAGCAGCTTCTCGAACCTAGTCGGGAGAAGCTTGTTTTTTCCATGTTGTCTCTGGCGTTGGGACTACCGATCATTCGGCTTATTCCTTGGAAAATGAATGATCTGTTCAACTATCTCACCGGGTCGTTGAATAATCTATGCTACCCGATGATTAAGGAGAAGAAAGCCGCTATCATCGAGAAGGGAGATGATCACTTTGATCTATTGTCGCTGCTTATCAAGTCCAACAACTTCTCCGATGAGACTTTGAAGGATCAATTATTGACCTTCCTTGCAGCTGGGTAAGTCTACACATGGCACGTCACGACTCACTTTCTGACATTCACAGACACGAGACTACAGCATCCGCACTCACCTGGGCATGCTACCTACTCACCAAACACCCCGACATCCAGGCCAAGCTTCGAGAAGAAGTCCAAACCTTCTTACCCCTAGATGTAGACAGCAACACTCCCGACCTGGCCAGCATCCTCGAACAAATGCCCTACCTCAACGGCATCATGCACGAAACCCTCCGCCTCTACCCAACAGTCCCCCTAACAATGCGCCAAGCCCTCCGCGACACACACATCGGCAGTCAATTCATCCCCAAAGGCACAGACATAATTGTATCAATCTGGTACATTAACCGCGCTCCCTCAATCTGGGGACCCGACGCAGCAGAATTCCGACCCGAACGGTGGATAAACGACGACGGAAAGCCGAACCAGCACGGCGGAGCCAGCAGTAACTATAATTTCCTCACCTTTTTGCACGGACCGAGGAGTTGTATCGGACAAGGTTTCGCGAAGGCTGAGATGCGGTGTTTGTTAGCGAATATGGTCAAGGCTTTTAAGTGGACGCTTGCGATGGATGATAGGCTTGTCTTGCCGAGGGGAGTTATTACGATTAAGCCTGAGAATGGGATGTATCTTAACATGAAGGCTCTATGAAATGTTTTGGTAGATAATTATGAGTATACTGTTACGACATGCTGGGTTGCTATCCATTTGCCCCTCATATTGATCATGTGGTCGTCCTTACTTGATAAGATAACGGGAATGTTACCTTCCGCTTCCAATTTGAGTCTCTCCGAAATGAGGCCTTGACTACGCCAAATGCCAAGAGTCTATTTCAGCTTATCATTGGTTGACATAACCCAAGTCGATGCGCTCCAATACCATCAATGAATTGCATGGCAAAACCCGGCGAGAAAGCCGTTGTATCATTACAGCTTTGCCATTACCTAGATCAGGAATCTTTACGAATCAGGGAGTGTTCTCACATAAGACATACGGAATTGTCAATTGCCAGCAATCGGAGGTCGCGATACAACTTCTTTCGTATTCAATAGTTGCCTCCATACTATCTACCAATAGGGTATTTGAGGCTTGAAGATGAAGATTTTAGTGTGGCAACTGAGGCAAGGCTTGGCGAATCTGGCCAGGACCTGCGTTGATCTACGGCCTCATGCAGTGATTGTACTAAGAAGGCAGCTGATAATTATCCGGGTCCAATTACATATGCCAACATTCATTCTTCTCCTAGAGAGGCCAACAATTGCCACTCTTCAACCTTCAAGTACCGGTGTCCCTGTGAAAGGTCTCGATGGGTCGAGCTGAGCGCCATATCTCGCCTTTCCTGTCATCGATATACCCACTGAATCCTTCATAATCTTAAACTCATCTGCATCCCCTCATCAGGCCACTTGAATAGTCTCATTTCAAGGTCGCACTCGGCTAAGATCTTTCGATCAGGCTGTTATAGACCAGGTTGTGATATTCAATAATCAGACCTCAACTCTCCACCGCCACCCAACAATGGAGTGTTTACCCCGTAAACGATATGTAACCTTGATCGGTCTCGATCAAATAAAGTTGTAAAGGTTTGTAAGATTATTCAATATCCGGGGTAGAAACCGCAATTCCCTTCCAATCGGGTAAACATGATCCCTGCTTCACCATCTCGACTTCTACGACCAGCACACCAGTTAAGGCATATCACGACTCATTTCGGTAGAGAATCTCATATTATCCGCTGCGTGAGCCGATTGACGACCCATATTTGCGGGGGTCATTAACAGATTTTAAATGTCACTTGCTCTTTGAGGTTACAGCGTGCATCTTGGCGATGCTCCGTCATTTCCTCAATGGGCGTTGCTCGGAACTTGGTTCTCCGCACGTAGGGCTCCCAGAAACAAAGTCGTCCGGTAAAACACGTTTTCGTCACTATTGGTCGGGGTAAATATTTCCTATCGTTATTGACTGGGATGTTGAGTTATAGTCGGACTTTTCGAAGATCATGTAGACCGCTGTTTAGTAGCTATATAAGTCGTGGATAGCTTCCTTGGAATTGTGGTCCTTTCTTGTTCAGCATCTCTAAGCATCAATCACTTGGGACTCAGTCATCATGCACTTCCTCGCTCTCGTTGTCGCTGCCGCGCCTTTGGCCATGGCCCAGTCCGCCATCTGGGGACAGTGTAAGTCTCAGCATCTCTCAAGACCCAATGCAAGATACTAACGTACTCAGGTGGTGGCCAAAACTGGAACGGTGCCAAGACTTGCCAGTCTGGCTTGAAGTGTGAGAAGATCAACGACTTCTACTACCAGTGTGTTCCCGGCAGCGGTGGTAGCGACCCTACCCCCACCGAGCCCGAGCAGCCTCCTACCAACGGTGGTGGTAACGCTGCTACTGGTCTTGATGCCAAGATTCGCGCAAAGGGCAAGATCTACTTCGGTACCGAGATCGACCACTACCACCTCAACAACAACCCTCTTACCACCATCGTCAAGAGGGAGTTTGGTCAGATCACTCACGAGAACTCCATGAAGTGGGATGCCATTGAGCGTAAGTTCCAGGACAATATACTCTCAAAGCAATAGACTAACTTGCCCAGCTTCTCGTGGCCAGTTCACCTTTGGCAACGCCGACAAGGTCGTCGACTTCGCCATCGCCAACGGAAAGAAGATCCGTGGCCACACCCTCGTCTGGTACTCCCAGCTCCCTCAATGGGTCAAGAACATCAAGGACCGCGCCACCATGACCTCTGTCATTGAGAACCACATCAAGACCATGGTCACCCGCTACAAGGGCAAGATCCTCCACTGGGACGTCGTCAACGAGATCTTTGCCGAGGACGGAAACATGCGCAACAGCGAGATCTACCAGGTTCTTGGCGAGGACTTTGTCCGCATTGCCTTCCGCGCAGCCCGCGCCGCTGACCCCAACGCCAAGCTCTACATCAACGACTACAACCTTGACATTGCCAACTACGCCAAGGTCACCCGCGGTATGATCCAGCACGTTAACAAGTGGGTTGCTGAGGGTGTCCCCATCGATGGCATCGGTTCTCAGGCCCATCTTGCTAAGCCTGGTGGCTGGAACCCTGCTTCTGGTTTCCCTGCTGCTCTCAAGGCTCTTGCTACCGCCAACGTCAAGGAGGTTGCCATTACTGAGCTTGACATTGAGAACGGTGGTGCTCAGGACTTTGCTACTGTCACCAAGGCCTGTCTCGACGTTCCTAAGTGTGTTGGTATCACTGTCTGGGGTGTTTCTGACAAGGACTCTTGGAGAGACACCAACCCTCTTCTCTTCGACCGCAACTACCAGCCCAAGCCTGCTTACACTGCTGTCAGCAACGCCCTCAACTAAGGCGTCGATGAGATTGAGATTTTGCGAATGAGATGACGGAGCATGGAGGGACTATCAGTCGCTTCGAGATTTGGGGTTAAGCTTGGGCGAGGCCAAAGTCTTCAGCAACCTAAGCAATGTATATATTTTCTTCACACTTGAACATATTGAATGAGAGAACATAACAGAATATCAAGGCCCGAGCGCATATATTTGCAAGAATGTGATTCAATGATTGTTATCTACTACCATGCTTCATCGAATTTGCTTTGCCAGCCTTCAAAAGGTGCATATCATAAGATCCCCTACGGCGGTGGCTTCCCAACTACTCTGACAACTAGAGTAGATTTATGCAAACTCTTGCTAGAGCAACCCGATAGTGACAGTGAAAGATACCTTACGATAAAACTATAAACCAGAGGCATGATCGGGTGCGCAACCTTTGATTGGGTTTCCACCTCAATGCTCAGCTTTCATGTACCAAAGGAGCAATGCGTGAAAATACTAGAAGACTCGATTATTGCGGTTCATAGTCGTTAATGGAAATAACGTAACCTTCTAAATCAAATGTCTGCCTCACGAGTAACCTTGATCGATGTCTCAGAGATTACGGTTAGGGTTCTGACGAGACAAAAACAAACTTCGTTCATGGCAGAATTGAGTCTAGGTTCTTACCATGCAGCAGTGAAAACTGCACAATAAATGAGAGCCTTGTTTGTTCTCTTCCCACCAACATGTCTCTCTTCCTTCCCCCACATTCTTCCTTCCAACCCCGACAACAATATTGACAACAGTCCGAGTTCTTCACAATACCATATTCCTCTTTCGTTTCTTAGGATGCGTGGTACAGGCTCAACACTGCCCATAGCTTATTAAGAGCCTCCTTATCTCCGGTAACGAAGTTCTCAACTGGCTATGGGCTAAGTTGAGCCTGTAGCACGCATCCCTAGAAACAAAAGAGGAATATGGTATTGTGGAGGATTGGGGAGTAGTCGGCGTTGAAGGAAGAATGTCGGCCCGTCGGGCACCAAAGCCCTAGACATTGTTCTCCCAAGTTCATCATCGCACTGATCAAGTCACTGACATCTCGATCTAACCCACTTTACACCATCCATCTCGGCTTCCCCCACAATCGCAGATCTATCATGTGAATGCGAAATAGCTGATGCTTGACTTGTTTGTCGAAGTGCGGGGTGCATTAGCCCCCGAGCGGTGCATGCGATGCTCGCAGAGCATGGTCTAGTGCGCTTTGGCCCTTTTCCCAATTCAGGACCACTTTCCGACCTGTTGACGACGTCGACCAAGATCGGCGGAAAAAGAAACACCAGAGATTAGTGGCTGTGATTTGAGACACCGCGATGGAGCTCAAATAACTGGAGATCAGCTATCACCAACGCCCTCAAGAGCACAACACTTTCATGAACAGCGTCTTGACTTGCTTTCGAAACACATCATTTTCATCAGTCAGTACAATCGATCTCAACATGTCGACTTCATCTGAACCAGGAACTCGCGGCAATCTTACCATTGAGCAGAAGCGCAGTCTGCAGGAAGCTTGGGTTCATCTGCTTCGCCTCTCTGGGCAGAATGGTTCTCATGATGCACCCGAAAGGACGGGTGACTTTCTTCATCATCTGAAGAATAAGTCGCCAGAGCACTTCAGTCACAGTCTCTGGGAGACCTTCCTAGCTGATCATCCCGACACCACTATTCTTCGCTTCCTCCGCGCTAGAGACTTCGACGTCATTAAAGCCGTTGAGATGTTCGTCTCCTCCATCAACTGGCGCGAGGAGCGACAAGTCCAAAAGACCATCATCGCCGGCGGTGAAGCAGTCGGTCTCAGGACGGACCTTACGTCTGACGATGAAGCTTTCATGGCGCAGTATCGCTCTGGGAAGAGCTATGTGAGAGGCACGGACAAGGACGACCATCCAGTTTATGTCATCAGGGTCCGATACCATGATCCTCATAAGCAAACCGCTGAAGCTATGGAGACGTATGTCTTGCATAATATTGAGACACTGAGGATGATGGCGCGAGAGCCTAAGGATAAGGTCTGCCTCATTTTTGATCTCACTAGCTTTGGGCTTCGGAATATGGACTTTCATGTCATCAAGTTTCTGATTGACGTTTTGGAGACGAGATATCCCGAGACTTTGGGTGTTGTTCTTGTTCACAACGCGCCATTTGTATTTTGGGGTAAGCTCAATCTCTATTCCTACTCATTGACTATTTCTAACCTCTTCTCTAGGCGTTTGGACCGTCATCAAGCACTGGCTAGACCCAGTCGTCGCATCAAAGATCCACTTCACAAACGGCACAAAGGGTCTCCTCAAGTTCATACCCAAGAGCAACCTGCAGAAGTCCTACGGCGGTGAAGACCCTTGGGAGTACAAATACGTCGACCCAGTGCCTGGTGAAAACGAGCGCATGCAGTCAGAAGAGAAGAAGACCAAGATCCAGCTTGAGCGACAAGAGTTGATTGACCAATTCACTCAATTGACTACAGAATGGATTGCTACAGAGGGAGATGCAGAGGTGGGCGCAAGACGCGATGAGTTGGCCCAATTGCTTCAGCTCAATTACTGGAAGCTTGATCCGTATGTTAGATCTAGCACGTATTACCACAGGGTTGGGGTTGTTAATAGGGCTGGATGTGTTGATCTCAAGGCAGCGCGATAATTAGTTTGAAACAGCCACTCGTACGATAGCTGATCAATTGAACGTCCTCTCTTCGTCCAAACTTGTTGATCTTGGTGACTGCCGAGTAACCCATTGTCAGAACCTTGTCCCCTGTAAACCTTTTAGCCCATCCACCGTTAGCGTACCTAACAAATGTCCCACAGCGCATTGACAAGTGGCGCACATCACCGTGACCATCACGCATTCGACCATCGTCCAAAGTCCCAAGCACTCTGGTAGACAGTGACTGCTCACGGGATATGCCGAGTTGGCAGGGCCTCCTTGTCACTGATGCAACCTCTTCCGGTGCCCAAAGCGCAATGGTTTGCGAGATGCAGGGGTACTCCCTCCTCAAAACAAGCAACGATCGACAAAGCTCAATTTCCCTACCGCGGCTAACGAATCCATACTGTACAACCCAAATAAGCAAAATGCGTGTGTGATGAGTGGCTGTGATAAAAGCTGTCAATAGGAGATAAAAAGTACCAGAAGCCTTAGCGAGAAATCGTTTTTTTAACCTGTGTGCGAGAACCGGCGCTGAACTCAATCTTTTTGTTTCTGTCTGAGGGTAACAGCGACAATGAGGTTCTCAAAGCTCTTCCTCACTCTCCTGCCGTTCAGCTTTGTTTCTGCTAGGACCGTGTCTTCACCTGAACTTTCTGGTGAACTTGTTCAGCTTTTGGAGAAGCATAATCTTGCGCTTGTTCCTAGATCTGAACTTACGGATGCGCTCAAGGAGTTGAATACTTTGCTCAAGAGCAATGCGATTCCTAGAGCGCCTGTTCTTGTTAGACGACAGAATGGCACGGCTAAGGCTGGGTCAAAGTCTGGGGACTCGGATGATGATTCAGATGATGGCAGCTCTAGAATCGCGGCCATTCCAGGGCTAGATGGTCTTGGAGATCTGGGCGATGGTCTCAAGGGTCTCACTGGTGCCCTGGGAGATGTCAAAGACCTCTTCAAAGCTTTAGGTGATCTCCTCTCGCCAGAGTTTCTCCAGGCTTTCCATGATGCCATGGTATATCTCGCCGCAACACTCAAACCACCCGCGCCAAACCAAGTCAGAAACCTTCTCGCCAAGGCCGGACCACTCCTCGACCTGGTCGGCGAACTCAACCTGAAAGATCTCGTCAAAGAGATCCAAGGCGTCGACATCGCTGGCATTGTATCCAAGGTTCTCAAACTCCTCACAGACGACAACCTCAAGAACATCAACGGTCTTCTCAACAACGGCGCAACCCTCCTCACGCCCGAGTTTGTCAAACAGACCAAGGGCCTTATCGGCGACGTCGCGCCTGTTCTCGACGAGGTCGCTCCCCTTCTCAAGAAACTCACCAAACTTGACATTGAGGGCATCCTCACAGCTCTAGACCCCCTCCTCAAGAAGGAGTCTATCCAGGGCATTGTTACTCTTCTTAAGAACGCTGGCGATCTCTTGACAGCCAAGACTGTTGATGAGATCCAGGATCTTCTTGGTGAAGTCAGCCCCATCATCAAGGACATCACACCTCTTCTCAAGCAACTCACCAAACTCAACCTTGAAGAAGTCTTGAAAGCACTGCAGCCGCTTCTCAAGGATGATTCCATCAAGGGTATATTGAGTCTGTTGAAAAATGCGGAAAGTCTTTTGACGCCCAAGTTTGTCGATCAGACTCAGGATCTTATCGGTGCTGCGTCACCTTTGATCTCTAAGCTCGACGACGTTGATCTGAAGGGTGTTCTCGACGCTCTAAGCCCCATTCTTAAGAAGGATGCTATCCAAGGTCTCGTTGGACTGCTCAACAATGCAGAAGACCTCCTGACCAAGGAAACCGTGAAGAGCATCAAGACACTCCTCACTGAAGCATCACCGCTGATCGAGAAGTTGTCTGATGTTGACCTCAAGGGTGTCTTGGATGCCTTGAGCCCGATCCTGAAGAAGGAAGCTATCCAGGGTCTTGTCCAGCTTTTGAATAACGCTGAGGACTTATTGTCCAAGGACACTGTCAAGGCTATCAAGGTTCTGCTCAAACAGGCGTCGCCGCTGATTGACAAACTAGGCGACATTGATCTCAAGGGTTTGTTGGATGCTCTTAGTCCCCTTCTCAAGAAGGAAGCTATCCAAGGCCTGGTCGGCCTGCTTGGTAATGCCGAGGACTTGTTGTCGAAGGAGACGGTCAAAAGTATCAAGGTATTACTCAAGCAAGCATCACCTCTGATTGACAAGCTTGGCGACCTTGATATCAAGGGCATACTGGATGCCTTAAGTCCTCTCCTGAAGAAGGATGCCATCCAGGGTCTAGTGGGATTGCTCAACAACGCTGAAGACCTGCTCTCTAAGGAGACGGTCAAGAACATCAAGACTCTCCTCCAGAGCGCTGGACCGTTGATCAACAGCCTTGGCAAGATCGACTTGGCCGGTGTTCTCGACTCGTTACGACCTTTGCTGACCAAGGACTCTGTCAAGGGTCTGGTCAGCCTTCTTGGTAACGCCGAGAACTTGCTCACGAAGGATTTCGTGTCTCAGACCAAGTCGCTTATTTCCAAGGCATCACCTCTTCTCGACAGCCTTGATGACGCCGACATCAAGGGTCTACTGGACCAAGTTGGTCCTCTTCTGAAGGAAGTTGGCAAGCTGAAGCTCGAAGACATTCTTAGCGCAGTGCGACCGCTGCTCACGAAGAACTCTATCAACGGTATCATTGGTCTGCTCAATAATGCGGAGAATCTTCTTACCAAGGACTTTGTTTCGCAGACTAAACTGTTGATCGCCAAGGCTGCACCTTTGCTGAGCAGCTTGGACAAGGCAGACCTCAAGGGCTTGCTCGACCAAGTCGGTCCTTTGCTGAAACAAGTCGGCAAACTGAAGCTTGATGAGATTCTGGCTGCTGTTCAGCCTCTCCTCACCAAGGACTCTATCAAGGGTATTGTTGGATTGCTTGACAACGCCGAGGACCTTCTTACCAAGGACTTTGTTTCCCAAACAAAGGGTCTCATCTCCAAGGCTTCGCCACTCCTTACGAGCCTTTCCAAGTTGGATCTTGAGGACCTGTTGGATCAAGTTGGTCCACTTCTCAAGATGCTCGGCAAGCTGGATCTCGAAGGTCTCCTCAGCGCCGTGGCACCGTTACTCACGAAGGACTCTGTCAAGGGTATCGTGGGACTCCTGGGTAACGCAGAGGACTTGTTGACGAGTAAATTCGTCAATGAGACTCAGACGCTTATCACCGGTGCTGTACCTTTGATCTCCTCGCTCAGTGAAGCGGACCTTCCTGATCTCATCGACCAAGTCTCGCCTTTGCTGAAAGAACTTGGCAAGATCGATCTTGGTAAACTCATCAAGAAACTCGCGCCATTGCTCGATGAGATTGCCGATGTCGACATCAAGGGCCTACTCGACGCCGTTGCGCCTTTACTTTCACCAAAGGGTATTAAGGGCATCATTGGTCTTCTTGGCAATGCAGAGGATCTGCTCACGCCCAAGTTCGTCAACCAAACGCAGACCCTCATCGGTGATGCTGTACCTTTGGTGTCGGCTCTGGGCGACATCGATCTTAAGAAGCTCATCAAACAACTCTCGCCTCTTCTCGAAGCGTTGGGCGAGATTGACTTTGGCGATTTGATCAAGAAGGTCAAGCCTCTTCTTAATGCGCTCTCGAAGATTGATCTCGCTAAGCTGATTAGCAAGATCATGCCGCTACTAGATTCTCTAGATGACATTGATCTCGAAGGCTTAATTGAAGCAATCAAACCTTTGTTAACGCCCAAGTCTGTCAAGGGAATTGTCGGATTAGTTGACAACGCGGGAGATCTTCTCAGCGACAAATTCGTCAACCAAACCCACACCCTTATCTCAGGCGCAGTACCACTGATCGAAGTCCTGAACAAGGTCGATCTAGAAAGTCTCTTCGAAATCATCGAGCCTATCCTCGAAGAGCTCGATGGCCTTGACCTTTCTGGCCTCGTCGACGCGATCAAGCCTCTGCTCAATGCACTGAAGAAGATTGACATCAAGGGCATAATCGACCAGATCATGCCATTCCTCACGCCTAACACTATCAAGGGCTTGATATCGCTGGTTGGCAATGCGGAGAATTTGCTTAGCAAGACTTTTGTGAATCAAGTATCGGAACTCATTGGAGATGCGACACCGGTAAGTACATGAGTTTGTTTGGTATTCGGATTTTGCTAACGATATTCTAGCTTGTTGCCACTGTTGCGGATTTAGTACATGCTATTCTGAAGGAGCTTATGGGTCGGACGTAATGATGCGCGATGGGTAATGACTTGTAATTGATATGGAATTAATGTTTTGGTATGTTCTATATACACGATACCCAGTAATATGAATATTGAAGATGAACTGCGAGTATTCAATTGTTTGACGTTGTGTCCAATCGATGCTCAATCGGTGATGTTCAATTATTGGTGTTTCTCTAGGACCCCATTGAGAGTGAACACAATTGTTCGGACAGTGACTCGATGATGCTCGGCAGTTGCTCCTCGTCGCATTCAACATCCCAGCCCAATATGTTTTCTTTGTCGACGTCGCAACAATTCCATGAACATGTCCTTGTTCGTTGGCGGTCCAGACTCGTTTCTTGCTTTTGTGCTCGAGCACTCTAACCCTGTAAGCGTTCAAGACCGCCCGTGAGCCCAAGCCTGTCCGCTAACCTTGGCGAGAAATTACCGAGTTATCGCGCACTGTGTGCCCTGACAAGCCATGCGCCGTTGATCCGAGCCGTTGAAGACGTGAGCAAGCGAGCTAACCGACGTCATTCCTCCTCGCAAGATGCAAGTCAATTCAGCTGCCATTCTTTGGGAATCAATCGCAAACTAGACTACATGAGTACACACCCAAATCTGCATACACTTAACCATCTTCACCAAAACAGAAAGTGAGGGGAAGAGCAACATGATCATGCGACCCATTGCTTCTGCCATGGTTCCGCCCATCATTTATCAGATTCCGCCAAGGATCAACTCGTATTGATCCGCTAGCGCCTTGACCCCGCTGAAGATCACTATTTGGTTGCCGTTCTGGTACTGGGATGTGCCCTGTTGTAGATTCTCTAGCGCATTGACCCTTGTATAACCTTTTGCTCGGCCGTTGAAGTCGGTTCCCCTTATCTTTGCGTCTTTGGTGATAGTTGCTCGGCTCGTGTTGAGTATCTCTGTATCGCTGCTTCAAGATGACTTCAACGGAAGATCGAATGGCGGGTGCTGCGCCTGTGTCGAATGATAAGACCATTCCAGCTGATGCGCCAGCGCAGGACACTCAGAGCGACAATGCGCCTTCTGACGACCAGATTCGCGATGAGAAGGCCGCTGCAGGGCCAACGAAATGGCAGAAGGTGAAAGCCCATCTCATCAAGTTCAAATGGTGGTATCTGCTCGGTATCGTCATCCTCCTCGCGATCTTGCTCCCATTGCTGTAAGTCTTCCGTCCGTAATACACTCGTGGCCCTGTCTAACCGATCCATTAGCTTCACGGTCATCATCCCAGCAATTGTTCAAAACATTCTCAACGGCCAAAAGCTCCCCATTGAAGGTGGCGCTCTGCAAGTGATCTCACCAGATGAAGTCAATATGAGCATCATCACATCGCTGGACACACCGCTGGCTGCCAATCTGAAGCCCGTCGACTTGTATCTGTACAACAAGGAGACTCACCCCATGTCCTCCTTCCTCATGTTGAAGCTTCCGGATCTTCATCTCAACCACAAGACTGGTGTGACGGTTGTCAACCAGACGATGAAGGTGACGAACCACACTGAGCTTTTGCTCTGGTTTAACGAGTTCTTCGACAAGCCCAAGGTTGAGTTGTCGCTGGAAGGCAAGCCGGAGATTCATTTAGGAGCGCTGAAGTACCATCGCTCGTTAGAAAAGACTATTGAGATTCCATCACTCACCTATCTTGATGGCTTTGGTCTAATTGACTTGACGTTCAATCTGCAGTCGAACCGCACGTCCAAGTACAACATGAAAGGCAACCTGAACATCCCCAACTCCGGCGTGCTTCGTCTTGGTCTCGGCAACTTGACCTTTAACGTCATGTCCGGAGAAACAAGACTGGGTCTCATCAACTTGTACGATCTTCAGCTCTGGCCGGGCAACAACACAGTTCCCTTCGAAGGCAACTTCTTCTTCGATGAGCTAGTCCCCAATCTCTCAGAGATTCTTGACAGCCAAAAGGGCTCGCTGAGTCAAGGGTATATCGAGTTCAACGCAACGGGCAACTCCACTATGGCGAACGGAGAGCATATCAAGTATGTCGAAGGTGTCTTGAACAAGAAGCACATCCGCTTTACGGTGCCTGTTATCTCGTTGCTTGGAGATGTAGTTGGAGGGTTGTTGGATGCTGATCAGGGCTCGCTTGTGAATATCTTCGGGGGCGCGGTTGGTAACTCGACTTTGCTTGAGCATGTTCTTGGTCATTGGGACGGCAGCGGAGGGGGTTCTAGTGGGAATGCCACTCGAGGGCTTTTCGGTAGGAGTAACGGCGGGAAGTCGAAGTCTTGGATGTGGAGTTTGATGAAACTTGGTTTGACTAGGAAAGGACTATAGCAACAGTTAGCACATGTCCGACGATTCATGCAATGATTTTTTGTTTCAAGGAATCGCTGAATGTTCCCCTCAGTGACTGAAGTTTAGCCATCGTCGGCGCCTGTTCGCGTGTTCTTCTGTGCGCCTTGAAGGACCACTGGTTCCGCCACTCAAGGACTTGGACAGAAGCTCAGCATGCACGTAGCGACAGAGCGATCAAGTTATGTCATGAGGATCAAGTAGTCCATTCGGGGCTAATGGGGACATCTGTATCTCAACACTACTTCCCAGTGAAACAGTAGATAGAGCCACTCTCTATACTCTCGATTCCCTTGATGCCCTGCCCATTACTTTCTTCATCGCTATTACTCCTTGATCTTGGTCTGGAACCGTAACCGATCTAGGGCATAGTTAGTATCAGCGTAAACTAATATTGAGAATGGCAAAGATTTACTTGACCACCGACGTGAGGTTACTCATGGCCGAAACAAAAGTCTTCCGTGTCGTCATACGAGAGTTGGCGGATAATTCAGTCGATTTCGATAGATTCGAGACGGGCTACTTCATCCTCGAAGGTCTCCCGATCCTCGTTGTCCAGCACGCGATCCAGCTGCTCGTCAAACCTGCGAGTTCATGGTCAGCAAAGTCTTCCTCTTGCAAGGAGTAAACAACTTACCAGCCCATGGCGTTGGCGTTGAGCTTGGCTCGGTCCTCGTCGGTGAACTCAGGCAGGCCGTCGGCGTAGATGTTCTCGAAGAGCGCGATCTCGGGGCCGCTGAGGCCTTTGAAGTACCAGACGTTCTCTGCGGCGCCTGGATGATCGTGACCGTCCCAAAGCTTCATGGTGTAGTGACCGGTGCCATCCTCCCAAACCTTTCCGCAGGTTTCGCCAGGGTGACCAGCTTTGGGGACGTCAACACCCTTGGCCTTAATCTTGATCTTGGCCTTGAGCTTTGCAGCTCTTTTAGCCTTTGCCTGCTCTCGAAGAACAGTCTTGCATGTTCGGTTACGAATGCAGATCGGGCAGCACAGGGGACAATAAACACGCCAGATGGTGCCAGGGGGGGGAGGGGTTTCTTCGTCTTCCTCGACGATAGTGGTAAGCTTGGGCTTGAAAGCCATATAGGGTTTGAAAGGCATGGTGAGTTGATTTTCAAAGCCGTGAGTTGTGATTGTTGTTGAAGGAGGACTGCTGACAGAGGAACAGAGAGGACTACTGAGTGAGGAGAAGAGAGGAGACGGAGAAAGAAGCAGAGAGTAGGTGAGGAAAACAGGTGGGGGACACAACGATTCTCCTCTAAGAACTAGGCAGCTAACAGAAAATAAGCTAAGTGCAGCACAAGGCGACTGATTCTGTCTCAAGCAGTGACAGCTGAGGAGCAGGACTACGTCAGGTTGCCACTGGCACTGTTACAGACAAACAGACTTGCGTTCGCGCTATAACTACCTGAACGCGTTTCCTGTTCCCTTATTCTTTTCTTTTCCTTCTCCATCATCATCAACTCCCACTTTCGCATGAATTCAAGTTTGGTAACTGCAACAATGATCTTTGTCCTACATCTCAACTCTGTTGATCTTCTCTTTCCAGCTCATCAGTCTTCTGCACAGAAGCCCACTTCATCCCCTAGAGGTCTTCTCTACCTCGTGTCTCATCTTGCTCTTGGTTTTTACAGTTTTGCATTATCCTCTCTTGATCCCCAAGCTCTAGTTGCTACCACTATCCTCTTCCCTGATCCCACGTCGACTTTCTATCTGGCACTTCTACAGTCGCCGCACGCTCACCTCTATATTAGCGCCATCATCTCGATCTCGACATCTTCCTACCTTTGACACTTTCGAAGATCTTGACGCACCCAGACCTGTTCATAATGTCTAACATTTCTCTTGGTAAGTATCCTCTTCCTTCACTGATTCGAACCAAGCTAACTAGTCACAGAGGCCTACAAGGCTAACATGGTTCCCGGTAAGTAGAGCACAACCCTTCTTCCCCCTCCCGTTCTCGCTGACTCTCTCACAGCTACCCTTAAGCCCATCAGTATCCTCAGTTTTCAACTCAAGCCCGACTACACCCTCCGTCTCGAGCTCCGTCTCGCCGGAGGCCTGCGCATCAGCATGCCCGAGCGTCGAATCCAGGAGACAACCCCCCGCCTTCTTTACAACTATTAGCGATCGTTCAATGGAGGTCGGGCCCATGCGACGGGCTTTGATAAGTGGCACGTATTCGCTGTTCTCGGCCACCGTCGCAACCGAAGCGCCGGAACTATGGAATACAAAATCCACTGGGAAGGGTATCCCAAGAAGGAGTTTACCTGGGAGGACGCCCTCGACTTCGAGCTTTGGTCCCCGGATCTCAAGAACGAGTATGACCAACTCCATGGCTTGGCCTAGACGATCCCTTCGAGGACGGCGCTGTGCTGTTTCTCATCCTAGAGAACACACCTTCATCGAGAAGAAGCCACTGAGATTTTGCGCTGAACGGTTGACATCGTTGGAATGACACTTGGAAATGGTGTGGGTGTGCTGGACTTTTTATTGTTTTAGTAAGGGCGCATCGAGTCTCTCGACATTGACGGAGGATATCTGTCAGGAACTTTCCTTTTGTGTAATATCAAGTCTTGGGATTTTGGAACGTATTTCGTTCATGTTTGTATGCCCGTCGGACCACCAAGACGTCCCGAATCGCTTTGCCTATGCTAGTAAATTGACAGAACCTCTTTTCTTGCGCCCTTCATGAACTTGACATTGATAACATTGAACAGTTACTATGTGCTCATTGGCACAGCCTGAAAAGACTGCTGTCCGTCAGCTGAACAGGGGACCTGACCTGTGTGGAACTATATGAGCCTAAGCATGAACAGTACCAGCTCTCAAGCTTTGACTTGCCCTTGCCGTACTGACAATAGAATTACAGTATCTTTCCCAACTGCCCGCTGAGACTTGCGTTCTTGTTGCCAATCACTCCAACCTCGAAGATTTCTAGATTCGGGATGTCTCGATTTGAACCTGACCTCGATAGTGCTCAACAACTAATCAGGCCACTCGGTAAGACCATACCTGCACGAATTTCCAGATCCGATCAAGACCTGACTGTCTACAACTTGAGGATGTCTCTCAACTTCTACAGTAGCCTGTTAAGCTTCGTGTTGAACTAGGAATTGGAAGGTTTATATTCAAGATGAGCGCTAAGATATACCTGGAATAAATGTCGTCCATGGAACCACTTGGTAAACACCGGCCGGTGCAGCCCTCAAGCAGGTAAAAAGAAGCACTATAGTCATCAGCCGGCAAGCTATATAGATTATTCCACCACACACGTTTAGTGCCTCCATCATTTCCAATGCGACATCAAGTCTAACCTCCAGCTTGTCGGTCTGAGCATTAGTTTCTTCGTATGCCTCCATTATTGTATCGACACATGACATTTCAAGCCGGTTTGCAGGTGGTATACCAAGCTTCTTTACAACAAAGCCCTCATATCCGCGCCAGAAGCCTCGAAAGTCGCATTCATCCTTGTAACCCCCACAGGACGCCCCTATCCATTTGCAAATAATTAGCCAACGTTCTCCAGATTGAAGATCGTCACTTTTTTCCCACTGTCGATGTCGCCATCGGCCATGAAAGCGCCTTAGTTCGTGACTAAAACGTGAATAAGCCTGGCGTCGCTTTTCGCCTACCCCTGACCTTTTCAGACTTTCAACGGTCTCTTGTGAGGGCTCTTCTTCCCAATTGCAATCTGAGTTTTTCGGCGTTGCCATGAAAGCCACTTGGATTTCAAAATTCCACTGGCCAAATTTAGGCCCTAGCAGGTATTCCCAACACTCCTCACTAATGGACTCAAGGGGCTGCAGCTTACTCAAAAACAGAGTCATGCGCTTCCTTGCAACGTAATAAGTTCTTAAGTATCTCATGGCCATACTTAGTCCCAGAGCTGTTCCAGGTAAAGTAGCTGACAGTAAGCTTACTACTCTCCAGCGAAGCAGTTCGGTCCTCGTTGGAAACTGAAAGTTCCAAGCGATGCAGTGCAGGCTACCGAAAACCAACGATGTGATTCCTAAGAGGTTGTATAATAAAGGTGTCTTGCCTTCCATCCACACCCAGTCGTTTGGCACTCGCCTGAACTCGGATATCTCTTGAGAATCTTTGGCGGCTTGGTGAGGTTGTCGAAGGCGGGTCATAAACGACTGCATGAGATCAGATTTTCGTGACCGGCCAAGAAGGCTAGGTAATAGACGAATAGGTTGGGAAACGTCCTTTGGCTTCCACCAATTGATTGCATAGGTGAATATTGCCATGACTGCGAAGGCGATCGTCGCTATCTCAATCTGCGTTATAGGCAGCTTTTTGATCGCGCGGGCGATGACATTGAAGATCAGCCATGTAATCTGAAGGACGGCGATGCTTTTCACAAACGAATCCGCCTTGCTCTTGTCCTCTATGTCGTGTTTTCCCAAAACCAAATGTTGTAGAGGATGCGTATTGGGCCAAATGTATCTGGTAGTCAGTTTTGAGGCTGTGAGGACCGAGTGTTTATGAGCCTTCTGGTAGTCGTGCTCCCTAATGGTCATGTCAAATTTGTCTATGTACACAAGACCACCCATTTGGGCGAAGTACGAGTGGACAACAGTCCAAACCTGATTCCTTCGTTGTAGCCGAGATACTTTCTTTGGATGAGTCGAGTCGATTTTCCGCCCCAATGACCGCACACTTCTGTCAGATGGAGTTGGGTCTCTACCGTGGTCACTTGAACCACGAATACTACCCTGAGCTTCCAGATCCCGTGTCGAACCAGTCTTTGGGTGTTGTGGACTGCAAGTTTCTTCCTCTACAGGTTCGAGTTGTTCTCTTTCTCCCTGCTCCTGTTCTCCCTCGTTGTTATGTAAAGTGTTTGATTCCATACCTACGCTTTCGGCTTGGCTGGGTGATGGAAGTGTTTCGCCAAGATTCTGAACTGGAGGTTTCAAAAACAGGAGTCGATAGATTAATCTGGCATGCCGCGGATACTCGACTTTCCAGCTCCACTCATCTTCCCAGGAGCGACCTTCCATATCATAGGAAGCCCTCCACTTCACCTTATTGTCATCGCTTTGAAGGTACTCATCAAACTCGCATAGCTCTTGTAACGCTAATCGTAGATCGCAGATGGCTTTGGACAGAATAAACTCGGGGAAGATGATTGTAATGGCCATCCACTTTGTCTTTCGCAAGATCCTTGTCCAGGCAGAGTCGGTCAATGCGGGTACGTTGAGATGCAGGATGGTCCACGAGCAGGCAAAAATGGTGGTGACACAGCCCCAGATGAGAGTCACCGTGCCACGGTCCATTGGACCCTTTTGCCATCCCACAGTGTCGTCGGTCGTAGTTTTTCCGGTCGTCATGTTGGAAGAATTATGCAATACTGAGATAATGGGTAAACTTTGCTGATTATTATATATTTACAACCCCGTCAACCTGTGGCCTCATAAGCGCCCAACCCACTGACGTAGCTTAAGTGTAACCAGTGATACGTTGGCCACGGTACCTAAATATAGGAGGGGTACTCCCAGATTGGTTGCTTGCTTTTTCTTTGGCTTTGTTATTTCGAATATGATACGTCGGGAGCTCAGCCATGTTTTTCAGCTTTCAGCTTCGCCACCATATACTATACTTAGGGCTCAACATCGTAAATGGTATTAGAGGTGAGAGCAGCGTGGGCGATGGCTGTGCAAGGCTTTATGTCCGCTCTCCCATAGCCTTATGAGTGGCAAATTAGTTTGGGTCGGTGACGACAGCCTGCGAATCCCTGCGTGGTATTTTGCTTTTTACCATCTTGAGGCTATGACTCTTTAACAAAGAGGATGCGCATCTACTGCAGTCACGTGCGCATTTAACGATTGAAGCGGAGAATCATTATCAATTGATAATCGGTTTAAAGCAACTACACCGAATTGGAATTATCAGCGCACGACCACGCACTCGTACCGCCACCCGCCTTATAAGCGTTGACGATATCCAGAACTGATCCATAGGTACCAGCCACCTGCAGCATAGTACCAGAAGCGATGACGAAAACAGCCCAAGCACACGCCAATATCCACTGAGCCGACATGTTGCGATGCTGCCAGTTGTCGTGGAACCACATGAAGCCCATCGCTTGGAAGGACAGGAGAGTGGCCAGGAGAGCTCCGATCAGGGAAATCAAGGAGTAGAAGATAGGGATGGCGCTTGCGATGATGTAGGCGAGGATTGTAACGCTGAAGGTGCAGCCGAGCCATGTCGTCCAATGGACCCATGAGTTGGAGGCGAGATGCTTGGTGTTTCGGAGGAGTCGGACGAACATGTACTTGCTGGGCAACTGGGCATTGTTAGCATGGAATGAGAAAGGGAAGCAGGTTGCTTACGTGTGTGACCAAAGTGATCGTGACGATCAAACCTGGAATAGCTACACCATAACTAGCCTTCTTGATGACAACACCAGCCGATCCGAGCGCTGGCGAAGACACGTAAGAACCACAGTAGTAGTACATAACAACGCCCACAGTAACGTAAACCACCGTGATGGCGCCCTGACAGATAGCCAGTGCCTTCGTGTAATCCTCTGGCTTGCGCATCTCAGCAATGATAGCGAAGAAACCCGGGGTGCCACCATAAGCAGACACATGCGAGCAGATCGCGGCAACTGCTTGGAGGAAAGTCGGCTTTTGGAAGAGCTTGTAGTCGGGGACCCATTCGCCCTGTTGAGGAGCAGCGGCCGGTCGGTCTTGGACACCCGTTGCGATGGTCACCATCAAGACTATGTCTGTTAGCTATGCAAGACGATCGCGAGGACGAACATACCTGAGATCATGATGCTGATGACGCCAACCCATGCGAGCCAGCTCATCTTGCCCAGCGTTCGGATGCTGGAAAGACCAAAGCCCAAGACTGCGGCGATGGCGATGAAGATTGCTGTACACGCGCCATGCGTCGAGACAGCGTTGAGACCAATAGACAAGCTCAGCATACCGGCGCCTGACACGAAAACCCAGACTAGTACAGTTAGCACGCCTCTTCTTCCATTCGAAATTTGAAGAACTTACGTAGCCACATGGCAAATCCAAAGAACTCTTTTCCAACGCGTCCAAACATCATACCGCCTGCATCATCAATAGCGTAGACATGGCGATGGCGAAGCTTGAAGACGCCGACGATCCAATCTGACCAGGTCGTGATAAGTCCGACGGCGACTAGACAGATGACTCCGGGAATCAAACCGAGCGCGTCGAATGTCGCTGGGATTGACAGTACGCCGAGACCGATTTGCGTCTTCATCATGAGACCAGCTGTGCCGATGAGACCGACCTTGAGATTGTTAGTTTGTCGAACATTGTGACGAGATGACATGTCCTCACGCTTCGGTAGTCGGGGCCTTCTTCAGTGATCTCGCCAAAGACGGCATCGTGGTTTTCAGGTTCGTATTCGTCCTTCTTCCCTGCGGAGGGCACCATCTCCATCTCGAGATCATTCCGGCTATTAGCCGCTGGCTGAATATTCTGATCCATGGTATCTGTGATTTCTGAAGATGAAAAGGGTAAAGATGGAGAACCGACTCCACCACGACAGAACAAATCTCTTTAAACCTTGTCAAAAGTCTGAGATGAACCTTATCGCAGATATCTCCCCAGAGATATCAAGGTTCCACAGATGAAAAATCTACCTTTTTGGGACCCACGGCAGATGACGACCCCTTTATATACCTCCCAAAGCCGACGATCGCTTTGACCTTTACGTGGTGGTTACCTAATGATATCCATTCTTCCCCAGACGAAGCCCCTTGCGAAGCCAATTAAGTAATGATTATTTCCCTAAGCCGTGGATTTCCCCGGATATTGCTCCACAGCTGAAAAGAATGTCGTTGGCTTGAAAACTTTAATGTCAAACCTCCGTACCCACTGCGGAACAGGCGAGACCTCGGCTTGGTCATTTACCGTATTCATGCAGACAATGATTGGTACGAATGAGTTCTAGAAGCACGAGTCTGGAACAGGAAGCTGAAGCTGGATTGTGGAGGTGGGTTTCCATGGATATTTTGTGTTGTCGTAGGGCGCGTTGGAGTGCGTTATCCGCTTTGTTGGAGACGCGTCGCCTGTTTCGGATAGTGGTTCTTAGCCGCTATAATTACTTCCGATGGCGGGCTGGGAATGACTGATCTTTGAGTGAGTCAGTGGGCATAAGAAGCGGGCATTCGCAACAGACAATACCCTCAGAACAACGTGTTCTGAGTTTTGAACGAACATGCGATGTGCATGAGCTGTTCAAATGAACATTGAGCACAGATCTTCTGACAATCGTGGCGTTGACTTCAAGTCTCCGCCATTGAACTCTCCAAGCTCTCTGTGTTCTCAATTCGTCGCAGATGTCGGATACACTCCTTGCCAAAACTTATCCGATCCTGGTAAAAAAAATGTACATATTGGGCGGAAACAAGATTCAAATAGATGAATGTGGCTGGATTGATGCACTTCTGAAAATAACACAACATTGTTCACTCACGCTGGTCAAACATGACATGCTATCCGTACTCACAGGAAATATCCGCTGTACAGTTTGTGACCCTCCATAAATGATCGAATCACCTCATTCGTCTGGCACAAGCCGTCGCATTCTCGTATTACAAACCTTATGCTTAATTCTTGACGCGCTACCGTGTTCCAACCACTTCTTTTATATCTCGCGTGTCGAGTTTACCCTACACCATCAGAAAAACGCAGCGATTGCCACTGGCGGGCACTAAAAAAAACTCAACGTTCCTCGGCCCGATTCCGTGTCGCCCCTTGGAGGTACGTACCTGGCCCAATCGATAAGATTAGATTAGATTATGTTATCAATTTCATTATCATCTCTTGTTGAAAATGATAAAATGACCGTTTACCATCGTCGCGAAGCAAATCTGCCTATATCGTGTTTTTTAATCTCTTTATCTATCCTCGCCATCAAAGTATGCTCGTATCCCATTCCAGCAACTCAGATTGCCGTGCTGCCAACGGTTGACCGAGAGAACAAGTACGTCATCCTACAGTATCAGAGGGTTGGCTTGATGATCTCAACCTCTGCATAACAAAGCCCTTTCCAAAGATCGATCGCAAACTAACATACTATTGTTTCTCATGGATTGCATGGATTCATCCACCGCGCCACCTTGTCCATAGATATCCTCAACACCAAAACTCTTCCCGATTCACAGCCTATAGCAACTGTACTTCCCGAAACAGCTACTTCCCCATTCCGGCATTCAGGAGGCAGCCAAAGCAAGTCTTGTCCCTCCACAGTGATCCAGGTACCGTCTGTACAGCCTAGGCCTGGGGCTTCTGAGGATGGAGGCGGCGTAAAATGAGGTTGTGAGTCACCTTTCAAGGGAAACACACCACTATGTGTGATAATACCACTCCCATCCGCCGTGAAGGATTGGACACCTGTATAATCGTCAAGCTGAAGGATCTCTTCGCACTCGCCAGTCTCTGAATTCCAGATCCGTATCGTCTCACCACCAGCCGATGCTAGCTTCGTTGAGTCGTTTGAGAACACCACTGAGCCAACCCAGTCGCCATGACCTTCTACTACTGGCTTGCATCTGCCTTCCTCGGTGTCCCAAATGCGTATTGTCTCGTCGTCAGAGCCAGATGCCACCTTCTTAGAGTCATGTGAAAAAGCAACTGCCCTAACACACTTACTATGGCCTTCGAGTACTTGCTCGCATTCACCCGTCTCTGCATCCCAGATCCGTACCGTCTTATCATGGGACCCTGATACCACTTGCTTTGAGTTGTGCGAGAAGACTATTGAGCTGATATAGGAATCATGGCCCTTGAGCTCTTGTTCACACATGCCCTCCTCTACATTCCAGATCCGTATCGTCTTGTCATCAGAAACTGAGGCTGTCCATTTTAAGTCGTGCGAGAATACTTCTGAGATAGTAATACCGTGATGGTCCTCCAGTCCCTGCTCATAATGGCCTGTCTCTGCATTCCAGATCCGTATCGTCTCACCACCAGACGATACTATCTTCTTTGAGTCGTGCGAGAACGCCAGGGCTTTCACATCGCCGTCATATATACTTACCTCCTTTATCTCTTGCTCACACTCGCCAGTCTCTGCATTCCAAATCCGTATCGTGTTTTCAAAAGCCGATGCTACCCGTTTCGAGTCATGTGAGAACACCACTTTCCGACAATACCTACCAGCGCCCTTGAGCTCTTGCTCACACTCGCCAGTCTCTGAATTCCAGATCCGTATTATCTCACCACCAGCTGATGCTAGCTTCTTTGAGTCGTTTGAGAACACTACCGAGCTAACACAATCCAGGCTATGACCACCTAGCCATCGTTCACATTGGCCCGTCTCTGCGTTCCAAATTCCTATAGCTCTATCATTGGACCCTGATGCAATCCACTTCGAGTCGTGCGAGAACGCCACGGAGTTAACGCAATTCTCATGACCCTCGAGAGTCAATAGGCATGCGTCCCGGTCTTGTTCAAGCCTTGACAGAGTAGTTATCCATTGTGGAATATCTCCCTCGAATGTCCTTCTCACAATGCTGTTCGTTGGTGCAAATGCCAGACAAGAATAAACCTGCAGCGGTGCTTCAGCGATCACGGTAAAATTGGCTTGAATGAATCGCAGCACGTCAGATACAAAGATCGACAGGCTCGAACCTTTGCGATCCTAACCTTTGTTAATAAGGCTGAAGCTCAAAGACGGTAAGACAAACCTCGAGAGATCCTGCCAGTAATCTAAGTGAATCGAGACACTCCTTTACTCGCCCCAGTAAACTCATTATTTCCAACCAGTTCAGGAAGTGCTTCCTTAAAAAGCCATAAGTTTGCTCGCCATCGCTGAGCTTAGGGTCCCCTTCGGTCAAATGATACACCCAGTGCATGCAGGCATATTGCAGTTGCGAAGGTATGCTCTCCTCCAATCGCCCACGACTCAACTCGTATCGATGCGCGCCTGGGAAAGATAGACTACACATGTTCCTACGCAGACCACCACTCATGACGCGCAAGCAGTGTTTCGCTAGGCTTTGGTGAGTCTGTCTCTCATCTACCTGGAACTCTGCCAACTCGCTATCCTCCAGGCCTACTAGATACTCCCGAAACGACAAATGGAGCAGTCGCACTGGTGCGTCGAGAGTAACGGGGACATCTAGGACTGAATGCAACGCACTTAGTCTAGTCGTAACTTTGCTGATGTCGATATCGAGAAGTAGTGCAAGAGCACGCATCGACAATGGGTTAGCCAGCGTGACGATGGCCCCGACGATAAGACGGAAACTCTCAACAATGTTCAATCTCTCCCTTCCTGATCGATCAACAACCTGTTGTTTCAGGACTGGCGAATATGCCATGTCAAGCCTCGAGCCTTGGCCAGCACTTGCAACTTTGAGCACGTTCTGCAAAAGCTCATCAGGGCTACCGAGATATCGATCATTAATGAATCGGCAAAGAGTTGCAGCAAAAATGAAGAGAGGCACCGCGGCCGCTGTGAGCTTCTCGAGGTTGGCTTCCCCAGGCCAGTCCGCTGGCAGTCTCAGCTCTTGTACAGCGTCTCCATTAAAGCTGTTGCGGATGTTCGCGAACTCCTGATGAAGAAATATAGATATGTCGTGCTTAATGATCAGCGCCGGGATTTTATGCAGTACCAGCTCTTGATGGGCGTTGCCGATGGACGAGAAACCAAGACGTACGGGAAGCTCGGGTCTGCTTGTAACGAGGACTCGAACGCACAAAGGACCTGCAAAGCGCAAGTTTGAGAAAAGCTGGAGCAAGAGCTTGATGTCAGCATCCTTTTCGCACTCATCCAGTGCATCAACGACGATAACAACCGACAGTCGAGATGTCGTCGCCGTTGCCGTCGCTTTTGACAGCGGCTCTTGAACAAGCTTCTCAAACTGTTCTCGAACAGACTTGTCAGCAATTGTTGGATCAGCGTCGACAGCACTCTTGATAAAAGGCGCCACGGCTGGCGTGCTCCAGGCCAGCTGACGGGCCACAGTGGGCACGAACTTGGTCAGGTTCCCTTGATCAACAGCTCCTCTCTTGAAGAAGAAGCTTGCACCGAGATCACCCTGCCTGGAACGCGACCAAGCTACGGTCCGCGAGATGGTCGATTTTCCCGTGCCAGCTTTGCCATTCAACCAGAATATTATCTTTGAGTTGGGATTGTCTATCCATCTGTCGATACCCTGGAGAAGGTTATGGCGCGTACCAGGCAAGCATGTCGAATTGTGTTCTTCAGCCTTGGAGTCGAAGGAGGCACCATGCGCGAGCGGTAATTGATGGATGGTTGTTCGATCATCAATGTTTTGAAGGATGACACTAGAACCGACCCTGTTAGTTCGGCGATTGTTCCCCAAACTAGTTTACTTACGTTTGATCAATATTCAACGCTAGAGAAATATTCTCTCTGCAACGCGCGAAATCTTGGATGATGTCGTCGACGTCCTTGCGCTTGAAGGGCCATTTGAGCGCACGCGCACCAAACTTACTCATTACCTTTCGGTGAGTTGGAGTTTGAAGCTGCTGCCCGAGCTTTTCCAATCTTGAAAGGCTGTCCTCGATCGTAGATCTCAACTGCCGCGAAGCGCCTAGCTCTTGGCCACGGGGTCCTTCAACGAGAGCCTGGAGCTTCTTCGTGGTGTCTTGGAAAGCGGCAACTTCTGCACTAAGCCTTTCAACATCGTCCTTGGCGTTCTTTACCTCTCGCGAATATTGAAGACATAGCGAAAACACCTTGGCCGAAAGGTCGACCACAGCGATAACACTCGACGCAACGCCGAGCCCTTCAGCCATCGGAACCGATCACAGGCTGTGATTCGCAACGTTTATTCCCAGGTTGTGGACAGCAGCATTATGGCCTGACCATCTTGCGGGGTCAACGAAGGTCTGTGATTTCGAATGTGCATGATACACGTGACTCATGCCAATCAGAACTGCTGTGAGGTCTCATTGTAAGCGTTCACATGAGCCGGGCGTAAGCTCTAAGTCTTTGTCGCGAGTGAGAGGCATCACGTTGATTATCATCTTGCGATTTCGGTGGGGAAAGCTAGGATGGGTGAAACCATAGCATTTCTACTCCGTAGCGTTAGCATTATCGCGTTTGATAGGGGTACGTGCTTACCCAATGGTAACTAGGGTCATCAAAGATACGCGTCTGTCCACTTACGATATGGCCTTTAGCTCCGAACTTTGACTGTGACGTCCAAAATGAACCCAAGTGTTGAAGGTGCTGTTGCGTCGAGTAGACTTCTGTAATCATCCTCTCATCTCTCACTCAAATGACAGAACGGTAGTGCGGAATTGATCAGTGGAGTGGTTGAGAATAACCAATCACAATGCTGTGTTTGATGACAGATAGAATTTTGACAAAACTCCTCCTGGCGTTGGGATGGGTTTCGTTGGGGTGGTCGAAGTAAAGTCTAACAGAACAGAAAATGGTATCACTCATTGCGTTATCTCACAAGAGGACAGAGCATATATATTTACTGTTTTATCATTATTCAATTGGATCTCGCCCAGTTCCGGGGATTTTCGTGTAACACGGCGAATATTCGCAAACGCGGCTATCCGGTTCCTTCGGGCATTTGTTGCGCATCGCTAGTCACAAGATTGTCTTGCCAGAGCTTCGCCCTCCTGACGACTGTAGCTGTGCTTCAAGTAATGATCCCAATTATATTTCATCGTACAGAAACAATACAACGTTGGCTTCTTTTCGTCGTGTAGCTGCACACCTAATTGTTGGTTCACTACCCTACACCATCACCAGAATTCGTCAATTGCGTAACCGCTCCACAACTACTACCAAACTGCTCTCTCCACGGCCCGATTCTGGCCGCTTTCGGCTCTCAGGTACGTACTCTACCTACTCAAAACCAATCTGATTAGATTAGATTGATCAATCCCATCATCATCGCCTGCTGGTCACTTAATGCATCGCCCTAGATAATCTTACTGACGTACACAGTGGAACCGACCGTGCCGTTTTACCGTGAGCTGAACCTCAAGATGCGGTTCCAATTGGTACTCATCACTAACAGATTCCACAATTTGATGCCGGTCCTGCCGAGATGGATTCAGAGACCCATTATTGATCGGAACCAACAGGCAAAGATGATCTTATCTGATGCGCTTTTTTGTGATGAGGTTCCACCGACGTCGGAAATGGATGGGCTTTATGAGGGCGAGTGTTCCCAGTCGATGTAACGCGAGCTGTCACTCATTCTTGGCTTCTCGATACACCAAGCTCCAATCGCTTTGTTCAATATGGGTGTCTTGAGCAGATTTCGTCCGCGTGTGAGCGAGAGCTCAGATGTCGACGCGACGGAAATGAGGACTACCAACCACGAAAAGAACGGACAAGCACCAGAAGATGGAATTGGTCCTGATGCGAATGATGCCGTTCCAGCTGAAGATGTTACCGAAGGTGTCAAGAACATGGAGGCGATCACACTCGTGTGGACCAAAAAGTCTCTCATCACCTTGTTCATCTGCATCTGGTTCGTCTATCTTCTCAACGCGTTCCAAAGCTCGACTGTTGGAAGCTTGGTACCTTACGTTACAAGTTCATGGGGCGCGCACTCGCTTCTTAACGTGATTGACGTCGTCGCGAGTTCGATGACTGCGGCGGTGTTCATCCCTTTGGCGAAGCTGCTTGATCTTTGGGGTAGAGCTGAGGGGTATCTTCTTATGGTCGCGTTCGCGGAGTTGGGTCTTATTCTCATGGCGACGAGTACAAACCTGTCCATCTACTGTGCCGCCAATGTACGTTCCAGCAATACTCTACACCAGTTACTTGAGTATACTAACGAGATGATAGGTCTTCTACCAAGTCGGCTTCACGGGCCTGATCTACAGTATAGACGTCGTGACCGCCGACGCAACCAACCTCAAGAATCGAGCCCTCGCCTATGCGTTCACATCATCGCCATACATGATCTCTGCGTTCGCCGGGTCATATGCCTCGCAGGAGATGCTGGTCAATATTGGGTGGCCCTGGGGTTTTGGTACCTTCGCTTTCTTGACGCCAGTCATTTGCGCTCCTTTGTATATCCTGTTGAAGGTCAACTTGCACAAAGCCAAGAAGAATATTCTGCCCAAGGAGGCTAGCGGTCGGACGTTGAAAGAAAGTGTTTGGCATTATCTCATTGAGTTTGACGGTATGTACCTCATTTCCCTGCAGACATTCCATAGCTGACGTTGAGCTCTTAGTTCTCGGCGTCTTCCTATTTGCAGTCGGTCTGGTCGTCTTCCTCCTCCCATTCAACATCGCCGCCACAGCGCCCAACGGCTGGGCAACAGGGTACATCATCGCTATGATCGTAGTTGGCTTCGTCCTGCTCGTCGCCTTCGCCATCAACGAAGTTTACTTAGCGCCCGTTCCTTTTCTCAAATTCCACTTCTTGACCGATCGAACGCTGGTAGGCGCGTGTCTTCTCGATTTGACCTATCAGATCTCGTATTACTGCTGGAACAACTATTTCACGTCTTTCCTGCAAGTGGTTAATTATCTGTCCGTTTCAGAAGCGGGATATGTGAACAATACCTTCAGTGTTGTATCTGGATTCTTGTTGTTTCTCGTCGGTTGGGGGGTCAGGAAGACGGGGTACTTCAAGTGGTTGCTCTGGATGGGCGTGCCACTTTACATTCTTGCCCAAGGACTAATGATCTACTTTCGAAGCCCGACTGGATACGTTGGGTATCTAGTCATGACGCAAATCTTCATCTCAGTCGGCGGAAGTGTCTTCACCATCTGTATGCAGCTGGCGGTCCTCGCCGCTGTGGACCATCAGCATGTTGCCGCCGCTTTGGCAATGCTGAGTGTGACAGGCACAGCGGGTGGAAGCATCGGGTATACTATTTCGGGAGCAATCTGGACGAATACGTTCGAAAAGGCATTGCGGCAATATCTGCCCTCCAGCGCGCTCGACAACCTGGAGGCTATCTACGGCGACCTCGATACGCAGTTGAGTTATGCGAGGGGCACACCCGAGCGTATTGGAATCCAGAAGGCGTATGGATATGCTCAAACTCGGATGTTGGCTGCTGGAACGGCGATCATGGCTTTGTCGTTTTTTTGGGTTGCGCTGATCAGGAACTTGAAGGTGTCGGAGATGAGACAAACGAAGGGTAACGTCTTTTAGAGAGTTACTTTGGAGTGCTGGATCTCTATCGGATTATTGTTTGGATGGATCGATAGATCGACAGGGAGGTAGGAAGGTTGAACATTGAAAAGGAGGAAGATAGGTCGAGTAAGAATTGATTTCGTTGAATGTGCTCCGTATGACGTTTCCGAATTCCTGGAAAGCTGAGCCGAAAGCTTGAGTACCTGCAGACCCATCGGCCGTTAGAGACAAGGGGAACGCGGACGCTAAAGTCAACGGCCAGTAGTTGCGAAAGGCCGCTTTGCGTTATCCTCCCTTGGCACAGCTAAGACATCTGACCCAGCCACAACAATAGTCTACCAGCAGCAGCGGCCGGCTTGCAGAAGAATGTTACGAGCCCCTTGCTCTGTAATAAGGTGAGACCTTTTGGAGTTGATTGGACAACACATATTCAAGGATAAGCTATGGCTGGCTGACAGGAAGTGGTAGGCAAGGGACTGGCGGACCGAGCAACGCTTGATGCGACCAAGGAATGAGACTGTCAGAAGTGAAGAGTACTTTTCCACTGTCGCATAAGCCCCCTAGCCGATAACATGCGTCAAAACTTCTGTGCACGCTCAAGACTGTACAGTACCAGCGCTTCGAAAGAACGCCTCGATGTTCTGTGAACAAGCTCTCCCCGAATTAGCCAAAAGTATTCCGCACCAAAGACAAACCTCCAAACCTCCTCGAGAACGTCCCGGGAATGAACTGTCTCAGAATTTGGAAATGCTGTCAACACAACTGCAAGCTTATACAACCGCCACCAACACTTTGCATATCTACATCCGAACTCCTCGCATTCGCCCTGTTTCTTATCTCGCGCAGCCTCCCCGTCACAATGAGATTCTCAACCACGAACAATCCCCTTCTTCTCATACTACGAAATGAGGTCGCACGTCGCAGCCTTCGCGCTGCTTGGCAGCGTTTCCGCCTCCCCGGCTGATGTCTCCGATTACAAGGCCGCCCTTGGGACAGCGACGTACTGCATCACTTACGAGTCGACTTATCTTGCACCCATTTCTATCGGAGCGAACTCGTCTGAAGCTGACGTTTCTGCGACAGAGGAGCCGGGCTTCCCGCCCTCTGACTCTGCGAGTCTTCCTCTGTTTGAGTCGACGCAGGAGGCGCTCACCACAGGTGAGACTGTGAACACGGAAGATCCTGCTGTGAACACGGAAGAGCCTACTGCAGTTACAGACACGCCTCCTGTGGACACAGATCAACCTACCCTCACCACCGTCTCTCCCGAAGACACGGAAGAGCCCTCACTCCCAACCGCAAGTACGGCAACCCAGCCCGTGTTCGAGCCAACCGGACAGCGCGTTATTTTCCAAGTCACACCTGCAGGCGAGCTCACCAAGCGTGATATCGGAGGCTTCGTGGGCGATGGCAACCCTGACGTCTGCACGTTCGCTAGTGTCTACACGCTTGGACAAGGTCAGCTCTTCGTTGGGGATGTCCCGTTTTCTTACTCGGGAGAGGAGTTCCAATCGTTGGACTCCGCATCAACACCTGGCGAAGGCGCCATATCGAGAACCTTTAGCAATGACGGAGGAATACTCAGCTTCGCCAACCGTGGCCTTCCTGGTGGTAGGGCTTCGTTCTGTCAGGATCCTTTAGATGGCCAGGTGTATATCACATACAGATCGAGACCATCTGGCTGCGTCTTTGTCACGCTCAGTGTCTATGGAGGTGAGTACCGCTCCTCTTGTCGTCTTGCTCATCGCTAATATCCTTCGCAGTTGAACGATGCATCAATGGCAAGATCGATGGCCTCGATGACCCGACGACTACTGGCCTGACCCAATCCCAAGATGCCCAAACGACAGGCTCCCCCGTTACCGCGATCGACCCTGGCCAAAGCACCGATATTGACGTCCCAGAGGAAAGCGAGACAAATCTTACTGCAACTACCGAGATCGATGTCCCTGGGGAGACTGGAACTGAATCTCTTCAGACCACACAGGATAATGTCCCAGAGCAATCCGAAACCGACTCTCCTCAAACAACAAAGGATGATGTCCCTGAGCAAACTGAGACCGATCTGCCCGAAAACACAGATACTCCCCCCGATGTCAAGACAACGACTGGTGGGATTGTGCTCCCTACTTGGTCTACTTTCCGTACCTGGAATTGGGCCAATACGTCATTTACTGCACCTCCGAATGCCGAAACCACAAGACTGGCTGCTTCAGCCGATGTCCTCTCTTCTACCGATATAGAGGATGAAGACACAACTACAGTTGAAGACCTGGACACTTCTACCACGCTGGAACCCACGACAGGTGATCCTACTTCGACCACCGGCGAGACTACTACTACAATGGAAGCAGCAATCGAGACTTTCTTCAGTCTCACACAGAATGGCGATTTTCGTAACGGCCTTGACATGTGGGCCCCTCAAGGCATCACCAGTGAGCTCAATGAAGGGTGTTATAAGGCTGACGGAAGTCTTGACGACAGCTGCGCCACTCTGGGCTCGGCTGATGGGGGAGCTCGTATCAAGAGAGGGGCGGATAGCTTTTCGGAGATCGCACAACTTATCACTGGCCTTGAATTCGAGCTCTCTACCTATGTCTTACAGTTCTACTATTATGTCCAAACCGTAAGTGGAAGCGGCTGCACATTGCAAGGCAAGGGTGGTGAACAAGACTTCGCCACCAAACCCCTCGTATCATCAGATGTCGGTTCGTGGAAATTGGCTCGAGGCTCTGTCATTGCCGATGTTGAGCGGGCTTCGGTGAAAATATCGTTGACTTGCACATCTGGCAGTCAGGCAAATGTCAAGGTTGACTCAGTATTCGTTTCCAATGAGGTTACAGAAGATAACATTGATGAGTACAAATTGAGCTTTGAAAATGAGGAAGCATGAGGGAGTCGATTTACATTACGTGGCCAGGAGGGCATATGGGACAGCACTTGTTCCTGGTGCTATAATACGATCAATGGTTTCTTTTTACCTACGGACACGTCTCACTTTCATTCATTTATGAATATCCTTACTGTCTAATACTTTCGCTGTTTTAATTGAGATCAATTTTACACTACACCGGACATTTACTGCATCGTGGTCCGTCACTCCACGTACTCTCCTGTAGTTATCTCGAGTATCTCAAATTCCTTCTCGTCATAATCGTCCGCAAGCTCGTGCATTCCAGCTCCTTTTGCAAACTTTGCACACCAGCCATATGTAACGCCCAACTGCTCAACCAGTCCTTCTTCTTGAAGCAACGCGGCGTTCTCCTCAGCAAGCTTCAAAGCTTCCAAATCTGTTTTGGGAATTTCGGCAAATCTGGGCTTTTCCAAGTCGTGCTTGGTGTCCCGATAGATATCCAGTATACCTCTGATCTGACCAATTCTTCGTCTTCTCTCATCGTGTTTCGCAGCCTCAGGTCCTTCGCACGCTGAACAATCGCAGGTAAATCCCCAATTCGATAGCTCTTTCATCCTTGCTTGGTATGAACATGCGACTTCGATGTATGAGTTGGTAATCTCTTCGCCCGCGGCAATATCTCTCACAGCGTAGACTTCCATCATTCCCGACGGCTCATCGTATACCCAACAGATATTTGGTGTGCATGAGTGGTTCATACGACAGAACTCGGTAAACAAGCCACATTCTAGACCTCCGGCCGTGATACTCGCAGCGTTGGTGTAAAACTTAGCCAGGACAAGACAGCAATCAAGGTCCGTGCCGGGACATAGTTGATCCTTCAAGAAAGAAAACTCTCGGAATTTCTTCGGATTGTGATACAAGCCCATAAGCCTGTGTTGATCAACAGGAGGTAACCGGGATACTTGATCGATAACGCATCTGTACTCCGTTTTTGCTTTTGCTTCGGACTGTGAAACAGTCAGAACCGGCTTTTCGCGAATGATGAGCGTGCCGGGTTTGATAAGTTCAGTAGCGAAGAGACCATGCCCGTAAGGAGTCTGCTTCATGAGATATAAGCATTTTGGCTCTTGCATTGTCACCGAGCAGTTATGCTTTTCGACGGATCCATGATGGGACTGTAGAATGTCCAAAGCGCATATTGAATTTGGCGGTTGGCATTATGCAGGGTTTGACGCTTGACCCACCCTGATTCACAGCGATCGAATAGGAGAGCTCAGATAAGGTCGATAAGGGTGACGCGTTTTCTTCTTAAATCCCCTGTCTGCGGGTGACAATAAAACACGAGACAATTTGAGGTATTACACCACTACAAGCAAGTGGGGCCAGATCTTGCTCTTTTCTTTCTATCATGAATTGATAATCACTGATGCGAAGATAGAGGTCTCAGGTCTACTGATGGTTGGCTGTACAAGACTGAGGCCACGTGATGTGTCCCCAGGTCGCTCGGGAGACAAATGCACAGCCCAAGAGCAAGGTACTTGTCCTTTGGTATGATCACGACAACATTTACTGCACCTGGATTACGATATTCGCAACGAAATCATGGTAACTTCGTGCGAGGAGTTTCGAAGACCAAAATGCGGGGACCCAAAATGCAAGGGATGCAAGAACAGAGCCAAATCATCAGGCAGGGACCGCATAAACCCAGAAGAATACGATGAGGCCACCAAGGAGTTGGTGAATTGTTCGAGGCTAATCATGAAGGGGACTCTCACGTACCCAGAACGGGCAGATTCCTACGATCATTTCAACCAAGAGATAACAAAGTTGTGGCACAAAGATTTACCCGAATTCCCATCACCAGACAAGCTCAGCAAGGAAGCACAGGCGTACTCTAAATCTATTTTCACCAACTATTATACTCTGAAAAAGATATTGAACCGTCACGAGGAGACCATCCAGAAACGACGGATGAAGAAATCACGCCACCAACGACTACAGATTCTTCTCAAAGCATGCCAGACATGCCTCCCACACATCGACCAGACTACAAAGCCTTCGACTCGGAACACCAGGACACGAGAAGCTCAAAATACGGTTCCAAATTCAAAGATTGGTACATGTGGCCTTATATCAACCAAGAGGATCTGTCGCAGCCGAAATTGTTGCTGTTGTTCCTGAATTCCCGTGGTCGAAACCTCCCTCCCAACATTCGCCGCGACGGACTGTGACGCGATGCATGTTGGTCGAGTCACCGAGGGCTTGAACCCTTCTTGGCTCAATGGATATACCATGATGATGACAGGCACCGAAAAGGCGAGTCAATATGGCTACCCCTTGCCTTGGAAGGACGATGAGGTTATCGACCTAATCAAGCTTTCGATTTTCGAGGGCTTTCAATTCTTTCCTGGCGAGGGACTTTTAGTTCTCAAAGCACAAGCGCGCGTTATGGAATTCCTCGTTGACTGCTCTCGCCAAATCCTTCATGAGATCCCAGCAGACAAAATGATCAGCGCGGCGTATCCCATTCAGCCGAAACCAATCTTGAAGACTGACATTGATGAGTCGGGCCACTTATCAATGGCCGCGATGGCGCTTGAGGCCCCATACACAGTCCCCTCAGAACTCGACTTTGACCGCATCGCTTCCCTTCTCGAGGCTCAGACGTCAGCAATGGAAGATCATATCTGGGCTATGCGAGAAGATCCCGCCTATTTCTCCTAGGCGCTGCTGGAGAAGAAGGATCATTCCATGGAGGACATGCTCGACACCAACGGGAAGCAGCACCCTCTTGTACACAAGCTACATGAACACAAACTCTGGGCCACATTGGTAACCCGAATCTGCGCTGAGGATTATTCGAAGCTGGAGACCATGCATATACTGCAACGACAAGCACGTCATCTCAGTCGCCTTGAAAAGAAATACAGAGACCAATTCAACCCTAATACCCAGCTACCCGATGCATTTCGAGATGCACTCTACCGCTTCCGATATTTTCTGCGGATGGCGACAAAGGACCCCCTGAAAACACTCAAGGTGGAATACGAAGCTTCTCCCCCACTGAGATTCCATTACGTCCGACAACCCCCAGGCACATCCTGTTGTGGAGGAGACACCTGCAAGATCATTCCAGCTCAGATAATTATCCCCGCTCAGCAGAACCTGTTCTCTCTCATGGACCTGATCCACGAGGACGCAGAGAAGTGGACAAGGCAGTCTATTTTGATTGATGAGCTCGAGCGTCTTTTGAGGAGCGAGCCTGACGCGGACAGACTCATTTCCAACTTTGTCATGGGCAAGATAGGATACCTGTCTATTCTTTCGCATTGCATGAAGCAGTTGGAGCTGTTCCAGCCCTGGGCCCGACAATACTCGTACCAGAAACTCTTTGGCTACGAAGGCACGCATGATTTTGAGGAGGCGTATGAGGCGGCGACGGCGGAAAGGGACCTGATGGTAAGAGTACTCACAGGAGGCGGCATGCCTTTGGATAACCTAAGTCGGCTCGCTGATCCCTCTGGTGGAAAATTCGCATACCTATATGGCAAGCATCGAAACAAAGACACAGTCAATGCTTTGCGACAAGCTGAGGCGAACCTGGATGCTGTCTGGGCCGAGCTCGACAGTTTGATGAAGAAAAACGTGCCCTGGTTCGAGAACCTGGCCCTCTACGCGCTTCTCTCTCAACCTCGCAGTCTGCGGAGAACACCAGAGTGGGTAGAGCCCGATCAGAGTAAAGAGAAGAAACAGCCCGGTACTGAAAACGATCTCTGGTCTCTTAATCGTCCGTTATCAAATCTGTTTCTCGGTGAGTCTGAGCAGCTAGGTCAAAAGATTGAGACCGTCCCTTTAAAGAAGACCAAGGCGAAGACGAAGGGCGAACCAACTAAGGTACAAATTGTCGAAGTGCCTGCTGCTGAAGTTCCAGAAACCGAGCAGGTTGACCACCAACCAACTTTCGAGGTCGACGCACGAGCTCTGAAGGTCTTCCGTATGTTGTTCTTCAACCCTGAAGTAACAAGCTCTCCTGGAACTGTTTCCTGGAACGGCTTTCTTCACGCGATGGCCTCAACTGGTTTCCAGATGGAGAAGCTGTATGGCTCGGTGTGGCAGTTCCAACCCACTGGATTGGATGTTGAACGGGGTATTCACTTCCATGAGCCGCATCCAAAAGGCAACATTGCTTTCGAAATTGCACGACGACATGGACGAAGATTGGCGAGAACTTATGGATGGAATGGTGGGATGTTTGTTTTGAAGGGTAAATAAAGTGCTGTGATTATCGGATGTCTGGAAGAAATGGCTTGGACACTTTGTACGGGTAATGACTGGAGAATTGATTGTGTATTTCTGACTGCCCTGTCGTCTGAGAGCTGGACATGAGTCACGTGCCCTCAATAGTGTTAATTGGTGAAGGTGGTCTCGGCTGCCGGCATTGAAATGCGGGGGCTGGATAATTGGCATCCGTTCACCCATAGCCCATGTTCTACCACCTGTAGAGGAAAGACCTGCCAACTGCATGCTCCTCCTCGGCACTTGAAACATCACCGCCAAGTTATTGTTCAACCCAACATGGATAGACCTTTACCCACATTCACACAATTTGAAGTGCTGTATTCAACGCAGTCATTCCTTACTCTCAAAGGCCTTGGTGGCCTTCCGGAACAAGATGTCGACTTTCTCGAATACAACCGGTGTTTTCATCTACCCTCGCGTACGGTGCAGGAAGATTTCATCTACCAGTATTTTCTATACCTGCATCCTTACTACCCGCTCATCAACGAGAGGGACTTTTGGGATATGTATATGAGCCGAGATGCCGAGGGTAGAGAAAAGCCGACAATGTCACTACTCGTCTTCCAAGCCATGCTATTCGCGGCGTCCTCGGTACGAACACATCCATTTCTTTTATGTTGACCCACTAACGAACAGGCAGTTTGTTTCACCAGCTGTTCTGAAGAATGCTGGGTACACCAATGTCAAAGTGGCGAGGAACATTTTCTATCGTCGAGCAAAGGTATGTTCGACCCAACAAACCGTTAGACGAGAAATACTAATCTTCTTTCCACAGTTGCTGTTCGATCTCGGCGTAGAGACGGATGCCTATACCAAGGCTCAAGCGGCTTTACTCTTGACCTTCCAGTTCTCCGCTGTTGAACCGCACGCCGGAAGTACTTGGCTTGCCATCGGCATACAGAACGCCATTGTAGCGCAAGCCCACAACTTCCAAGCTCCCGGTGCCAGCGTGAGACGTAAGAACGGCAACAAACGGCTATGGTGGTCGCTGTTCTGGAGAGACAGGGTACTCACCTTGGGACTGCGAAAGCCCCTGCAGATAACCCCATCTAGCTTCAATGTCAACATCGATCCCATGACTATTGACGACCTTGCAGATGAGATCAGTCATTCGGCGGTCTATGACTCCAGAACCAAGCGGCAACTAGCGAGTATTCTCAACTTGCAGTGCCGTCTCGCCACGATTCTCACAGACCCGCTCGTCGTCTGTTATGGACCCAGCGCCTTCGATCTCACGTATTCTTTGGATAACTTCGACGAAACAGTCATCCGAATCGCGGCGGGGAAGGAGATCCTCGAGCGCTGGAAGACTGAGGTAGACGAAACCCTGGGCGATTCTCTTACCAAGACGGAAGCACACCGCTCGACGAGATTAATATCCAGCGTGGTGCACATATACGCCTAGTAAGTAACAGCGCCTTTACCAGAGGGCCCGACTAACTCGTATAGTGCTGCTCAGATTGCTTTGGGCAACCACGAGGCGATGATGATCGAACAGCGACAGAAGGGAATTTCAGTCCTTGATGATGCTGTCTTGAAGGACATCGGCAAGAACATCAATTATGCGACAGCCGAGACGACGAAGTTGGTCAGATATATCGTTCAAGAGGGCATGACACAGCATCTTCCCATCTCAGCGTAAGTACCACGACCGCCTCGAACTGACAGCCGCTGATCAAGGCGCAGGATCGCGTACATCGCCTTCCCTCTTATGCTCAGCTCTCTCGACGAGAGGATATCCCCTAATGATCTCGGCAGCAATGAGGATCAAATCTTGACAAGGTATCATGCTCAAGCGATGCACCTTTGCAGTCAGCGTTTCGAAGGAGCGGTGGATATTAGTCGGATGGTCACCCAGATAGTCCAGTCGACACCCATACAGCTCCCACTCCGCCCGCGACCATCTGCCAAGACAGAGTCGGTATCGTCAGATAACCCAGTGGGATACTGGGACGACCTGTTTGTCACACGTAATTACATGAAGCTCCGGCTCTCTCTCGACTACGCCCTCATTACCGGTAGACCCCCAACGGATATCGATCTTCCCTCAAGTCTTCTTCAAGGCACAAGAATGAAGCGCCTATCCGCTGGGCCGGTACACAGTCTATCCGCCATTACGCTACCCCAATCGCGCAAGCGGCGGGCTTCCGAAAGTGTCGCCGGCCTTCCACGAGTTGTGGAGCTCGATGAACAGGTCGACGAAGGGACGATGGATGATATAACGGTTCGCGATCAGCAGCCGCTTTTCGGAAAAGAGACCAATACGCTCTCGCGACCTTTTTTCGAGTATGACACCATCTGGGCAGCTAGCCTGTTCGAGGAGGTGACGGACCAACTTTGGGCGTAAGAACCCTGGTTGATGCATATCCTGTCTACATCATGCAGCGCTCTTAGCTTCGTGGTATCATTGACCCGAGGCATCCTTGCAACGACCCCGCAAGGAAGATCTTGCTTGATTCGAGAACAGGACCTCCGAGCTTCCACTTTCGGACAGTCAATTGCGTCTTGAGGCTTACAATGGCTTCGCATATATATATGGACTGGAGCGAACAAGAGCCAGTATCTCCAGACCACCCGAGTCAAAATCTCCGTCCAACTATCGACCATCCCAGTTCAAGATGAAGTTCTCCATCTCAGCTCTCTTCCTTACCGCCTGTGGCCTCGTCCACTCAGCCCCTACAGCGAAAGCCGCCAAACCACCCAAATTCTTCCTAATCGGAGACTCGACTGTCGCTGTCGATGGAGGTTGGGGTGATGGTCTCCTCTCATACCTCAAGTCCCCTGCTCAGGGCGACAACAGGGGCGTTAGCGGTTCCACCACCGTGTCCTGGAAGTCAAGCGGTCGCTGGGATGCTCTTCTCAAAGACGTCGGCGCCGCGAAAAACGACTTTGAGCCAGTCGTGACTATCCAATTCGGCCACAATGATCAAAAGGTCATGCAACTGGATGAGTTCCGCACCAACCTGGTCAGCATCGGAAATGACATTAGGAACGCTGGCGGCACACCAGTAAGTCAATTGCTTCATACTCCCTTCGACCCGATCTGACTCTCATATAGATCTTCATCACCTCCTTGACCCGACGAACCTTTTCAGGCGGCGAAGCCGTCCAGAACCTCAAAGACTGGGCCGCCGAGACGATCTCCGCCGCCGCAGATGTCGGAGCCCAGTATCTCGAGCTGAACAAAGCAAGTACAGATTACGTCAACGCGATCGGATCCCAGAATGCCGACTTCTACAACTGGGGCCCTGGTGATAGGACTCATCTTAACCCACCTGGCGAGATCGTGTTCGGGCGAATGGTGGTTGACTTGCTCTTGGAAAAGCGTGGGGACTTCAGTTCTTACTTCGACTCCAATGAGGCGCTCAGTGAAAAGATCAAGAATGGGGAGTTTGCGACGGGGGATGAATAATGTAAGTTACGGACAAAAAGTCTCTACAAACTGATGCTGACTCCGTAAACCCAGCCACGACCAACATTCCTGGGCACAGGGCTTCCTTCTTTGACTTTCCTTCTTGCTCGGCCTCTCCTTACAATACCTCATCTTGCTAGGTCTCTTCTTCGTCGATCTTCAACTTCTTTATCCTCCACCAGATATGGTTTCTGAAGATATTTACGCTTTGGATACGGGTTCCATCAATAAATAAACTCCAGCACTATGACTCCAATGCT